CTAATCCTAGTAAATAGTAGTAGATAGTAGACATAGATTAATTACTGTTAATTATGAAAGATTCTGTAGCAGTACAGAGTTAAACTACATTAGGAAGTTACTCCACCTACGGGTAACAGTAACCTCCGTCTGCACACTTCCGTCGCATCCGCCACCGTAGCCCCTGCGCGTCCATTTTCGCAATGTGCTAGCGTACGAGTCTCTGTCACCTTCCTTCCGGTCATCCAGAACACGCACAGTGTGGCAGTAATGTGCCATATACAAATCAATCATATGGATGCTTCGACGATACTCAGTCGTCAGGGAAATGCGCCACGCCTTTTCGATGAATGACTCTCCATCGAGAAAGAAACGCTTTTTGCCACGACTCGTGTTCAGGTGATGAGGCGGGAGGGAAGGCTTTGGGCCAAGCAACAAAGCGCAGGTAAGTTGAACTATCATCATCTCAGTGGCAGCCCGAGACCTTGCGCAACTTCCCATTATCAGGCTCTGGACCTTTTGCAGATCAGCAATTGCAGTCCTTTGGCAAAGCGCCGGGCTCTCTAACAACCAATCGCTTCCCCGGGTTGTTCGTATACTTGCAGATAGTCTACAGGCCCAAAGTGCCCGCATAAAGCGGCCATGGCTTGACCAGTCTCAGTGTGAGCCTCATGAGAACGAGGTCTTGTCCTTGACTTCACGTATATCCCTCGATCCTAGCCGTAAGAGCGAGACCATATTGCACATCGCTCCAATGGCACGTTGTACTCGTGCGAATGTACACCTATGGTCGACGACGTTTGCGAGACAACGAGTTCCGCGTACTCCAGCTCGGTCTCGACAATCACGGCAGCATACGTGGCAGCCTCGATGTGGTTACGTTCAACTCCAATGACCAGTATGCAACTCTGTCGTATGTTTGGGATCATGACAACCTAGATGGCTCCATCGAACTTTGCGGCTTCACGAAGAGGATCTCTCTTGGCCTTGCAAGGATCATCAGGCGACTATACGATTCACAGATACGCAGAGTCTGGATTGATCAGCTGTGTATCAATCAGGATGACTTACAAGAGCGCAATCGGCAGGTTGCTCGAATGCAGGACATATATCGTGGTGGCCTGGAATGCTTCGTATACCTGGGCGAAGGCACTGGCTTCAGAGGAGATCTGAATTCCATGCTGAGGTGGATTAGGTTCTCCGTGGATCACGCTGCGAAGGCTGCCAATGGCGATCTTGCTGTCAGCATCCTTGACCTCTACCTGCGTCGCGACGCTCGGTTCCATCCAGCTCGAAGCTCAACAAATATGGTGGCCGACTGTATTGATGGCAACCTCAGAGACCTACTGCCCTGCCATCGCTGCATCGATTACATCACAGCGCAAGACTATTGGCACCGAGGCTGGGTCGTCCAGGAGCTGTTATCTAGTCGCCGAGTGTATTGCCTCATAGGTGACGAGGAATTTTCGTGGGAAGCAATTCGTTCGTTGGCTTTCGACGTGCCAATCATACGATCCAGCGAAGCCAATACTGCGGCGCTGCGGAAGATTCGCGCCACCAACGCCGTTGATAGAAGCGAAGAGAGGGCATGGACTTGGTCGTGGGATTCCAACCTCGAGGCGCGAAGTGCCGACAACCTCCGCGCATTCAACCGCTTCATGGGGCTCTTAGAAGTGTGCAGGGACCAAAATCTTGTCTCATTATTGCAATCAGCCCGTATGTTGAAGACTAGTGATCCTCGGGACAAGGTATTCGCCATGCTCAGTCTAGCAAGTGATGCCGCAGACTACCCTGAGGCAGATTACACCTTGACGAAAGAGCAGGTGTATCGACTTTATGCAGACTGCATGATAAGGAACGGCCACGGTACTTCTGTACTTGCTGCATCCCCTAGCTTGGGCGGATCTGTGTACCGCCGCTGGCCAACCTGGACGCCTCGATGGAATCACACCTTTCCAGAATTCTCGTGGAACACAAGCACGACATTCTCTGCGGGTGGCCTTCAGCCTGCGAGATTTCACTGTAATGGCCAGACAACGAGAGTGAGTGCGTTCATGTACGACAGCATTCACTTCCGGTCCACAGCTTTGCATGTAAGAAGTGATCGAGTTTACACGGAAATGGCACAATTTGTCGATGGACTTGTCACAAAGCTTACTCGGTCTCGCACCTCAGCACAGTCATCGTCTTATCTGATGAAGAATATTGTACATCTCTTGCTTTGCGACCCAACTAGCCATCCAGGCTCTACATTCCTGCAAGACAGCGGAGCTTCTAAACCATTTCTATACAAGCTAGAGAAGGGCTGGAACGATTGGAACTTTGCCCTGCATGATACCGGAAGAGACGAAATGCAAACAACCCAAAACGGAAGAGACTTGCAAGAGATGATCCTAGCCCGGGACCACCACTTCTGGTTCGACAGCTGGAAAAGTGTGATGGGAGATACCGGCACGGAAAAGTACCTGCGTAAACTCATCGGCAAACATCTGAAGCGCCGTGGCCTACCATACTTCAACTGCTTAGTCGGCAAAGATCATGCGTCGATGTGTGTGGTGACACTGCGCTCCCGTCAAGCCGCTAAATGCGACGAGACTGCTCACCGATATGTCATGGGTCTGGCTCCGGCCACATGCCGTCCAGGAGATAAGGTGGCCATCATAAAGGGCGCCCGTGCTCCGTTCATCTTGCGAAGACGAGCGTCCGGCGAGTATTGGAATCTCGGGCAAGCCTACATTAGGGGCGTGATGAGAGGTGAAGTTGTAAAAGGGCTGAAGAAGGACGACTTTTGGCATATTGACATCGTGTGAAGATGAGCCTAATTCGCGCCAGAATCAGACGCGTCACTTCAATGTCATGTGGTATTGATTACGGACAATTATATGCTCGGACCGGGTGGCAATTCTAGCTGACCATGAAATCTGTGTCTGACCTGTTCGTCTTGTACCTGGATGCTGTGCGGCATTATACTTAGTACCTTGCTGGCTTCTGTCTTCGTGTGGCCGCCTCACAAATTCAGTCTCTCGGTCCACCACGGGCCAAGCACGCCCTCTACCAGCGCCGTAGGCCCGAACATGCCAACGCGGCCCATCACTCGTTGCACAAAACGTACCGATAGCGAGCCTTGCCGTTCTCAAGGTCCTTGACTGCCTCATTCGCTTCCTTCATGGGCCGGTTCTGGTTCCATGTGTGCACACCCGTCTTCGCAAAGAGGTCCAACATCTCCTTGATGTCTCTCGGCGAGCCAGTCTGACTGCCTTGAATCGAAGCCCGCTTCGGAATCAGACTGAACATGTTGAAAGCCGGCATCTTGTCCTCCGGTGCGCCAACATGCACGTACACGCCTTTGCGAGCAAGAAGTTGGAGATAACCTTCCAGCGGCATCTTGTGGCTCGAGACGGTGCTGACGATGATGTCAAGAGTACCCGCGTGCTTGTCCGCCCAGTCTTTGTCTTCATCGGTGGCGATGAAGTCGGTGGCGCCCATCTTCATGGCGTCCGCCTTCTTGGTGGAGGATCGGGAGATGACGACCACTTTCTTACACTTGAGAGCTTTAGACGCGCCGAGCACGCCGAAGTGACCGAGTCCGCCGAGACCAACAATGCCGACTCGAGTTTCCGGGCCAGCGTTGTGCTGGACGAGTGGGTGGAACGCAGTGATGCCGCCGCACAGCATGGGAGCTGCTTCGTCCGAGGGAATTGCTTCCGGGATCTTGGTGACGAACGAGTACTTGCCACGCCAGAAGTTGGCATATCCGCCGTATGCTTGTCAAATGAGTTAGTAAAAGTACTCGACTCTCCTGAGCGATGTAGGGAGAGGAAGGCCTACCTTTCGATCCGTCTGGCCAGTTTGAGCTGCGTCAAGTCAGTATTGGTACTCGAGTTGCATAGACCTGGCCATCACTCACTTGAAGGTATCAGTCGAGTATTTGCAGACGTGCTCCATGCTGTGCAGGCGTCAGTCGATTTGCGCGAGGATCTTATCACGACAGAGCTTACCCGTCGGCACAAGCCTCGCAATCACCCTTCTGATTGTGGCAAGCACCTGATTGCGCACCAACACCAACGCGATCGCCAACCTTGATGCCAGTTGGTACATCCTTGCCAACTCGCACAGCCTCTCCCACGATTTCGTGGCCGACTACGACCGGGTAGTCCGTCTCGCCCCAGCCCGAGCGAAGAGTGTGCAAGTCGGAGGCGCAGATGCTGAGGGCGTGGTCAGTATCAGAATCGCTGTGTGTTCCCGAGTCACTCACCCCGAGTGGGTGATCTTGATCTCAACATCATCTTCAGCCCATGGCTTTGGTTCGAACTCCTGCCATTTCATGTTTCCAATGGCGTTCTTGTCTAGACCCATCCATCCTTGAAACTTGTCTTGACCCATTTTGACTACTTCTAAGATGTGTGTGTCTTTGTAGCACGAGTTGTTGGAGTTTGATATGTCGTTGAAGGATATTTCACCGTGTGCAGGAGGCTATCTATCACTTACAGTGGAATTTTTATGTGACTGCCAGCCATTGGTAGATGACGTAGTGTTCAACGCGGAAGTTTATCCAGTGACGTGTAGATAGCGAGTATCGGCAGATCTCGACAAGTCGTCGCCTCCTGCTGTGTGCCTACCTGACCACCTGCCTTCGACACGAACGGAAGGTGCATTTGTTCAGGTCCAATGAGCAGCTATTTCTCTGTCAAGAGAAGGCGCAATTCTGTCATTAGCTGCTAGGTGTCTTCAACATTTGCTTCAGACCACATCAGTGCTCCCTCGGCGGCTTCATGGCTTCATCTGGACCGACACACCGCAGCATGTCGAACGAGGTTGACCTGTAGACGTTGGAAGTGAGCAGCAGCATTGGCATGCAAGGCGACACATGTATGTCAGCACTGATGTAAGGCGAGCGGCCCGCTCGAACGCCACCGTTCCGCTGTCGTACCAACTGAAGCTGGCGGCTCTTCTGGCATACCGTAACTCCATCTGCCAGAATTTTTCGGCTACCTAGGGGGGTCCGGAAATCAAATCCGCTGCTTCCCAATGATTCGTCCCTTTCCTGAACCGAAGTAAGCGTCCCCACCCATAGCCTCAAAATTTCTTTGCGGCTTGAGGCATTTCTATTTCTGAAAATACTACACGCTCATACAGCCCTGCTACCACCTCGACGCCTTTTTTGCTATCTACGCCGCCGGTAAGGGCGCGCAGGCCCCATAGTGCAAGAAATTTCTGCGAGCATGAGCTCCATGTGGGAGCGCTTCAGGGTCAAGGTGAAGAGTATATGAATTCGATGTGTCACACCTGCCGTTAGAGGTGAGTCCCATCGTCAAGACCTGTACTTAGGGGAAGAGCTCCATTGGCTGTGTTCGCCTCATCTTCGATCGTTCCCTTTGCATACCTCTTGATTCATATCGTCCGCAGTCATGGGCAAAGACGACTCAGTCCTTACCAAGCCGACCGAGGCATCGTCCGCCAATGTCTCGGGCCGCACCTCGCCATCCAATGACATCGAGAAACAGTCTTCGCTTGAGCAAGGCACCTCTGCCCCTCTGCAGCGCCGTCTGCAATCCCGCCATCTGCAGATGATCGCCATTGGCGGCACCATCGGTACCGGTCTGTTTATTGGCTCGGGCTCTGCTCTCAGCAAGGCTGGCCCTGCTGGTGCGCTAATCGGCTACTCTTTCGTCGGTACACTGGTGTATAGCGTCATGGTAGCATTGGGCGAGATGGCTACGTATTTGCCTGTGTCTGGGTCCTTCACGGTGTATGCTAGTCGGTTCGTTGACTCGAGCTTGGGCTTTGCTATGGTAGGTGGCTGTTACTGTGTTTGACGCCAGAATGACTAATTGCTACTCAGGGATGGATCTACTGGTTTTCATGGGCCATGACCTTCGCTCTGGAGCTGGTTGCCAGCGGCCTGATCATCCAGTACTGGGAACAGGATTTGAACATAGGCATTTTCATCGCCGTCTTCTGGGTCTTCATCATCGCACTCAACATGCTGCCCGTCTCATTCTACGGCGAAGTCGAATTCTGGTTCGCCTTCATTAAAGTTGTGACCGTTGTCGGCTTCATTATCTTCGCCATCTGCATCGACGCTGGTGCAGGTGGCAGGCCATATCTCGGCTTCCACACCTGGAGCAACCCAGGCGCATTCGCCAGCTACATCGTCGACGGCGCAACCGGCCGATTCGTCGGCTTCTGGGCGGTGCTCATCCAAGCCGGATTCTCCTACCAGGGTACCGAGCTCGTCGGTATTGCAGCAGGGGAGACTGCCAACCCGCGCAAGACCGTCCCCTCCGCCATCCGCAACACGGCGTTCCGCATCGTGCTGTTCTTCATCCTTACAATCCTGATGATCGGCCTACTGGTACCTTACGACAACGAATCTCTTCTGTCAGACAGCACAGACGCGACGGCGTCGCCCTTCGTCATTGCCGCACAACTCGCAGGCGTCAAGGCCCTTCCCGGGCTGATCAATGGTGTTCTGCTGTGCGTCGTCCTCAGCGCCGCCAACAGCAATGTCTACAGCGGTAGCCGCATCCTCGTCGGCTTGGCGTCCGAGGGTCTCGCGCCTAAGATTTTGGGCCGCACTTCCCAGCGCGGCGTGCCGTATGTCGCGGTCGCATTCACTGCGGCATTTGGCCTGCTCGGTTTCTTGAATGAGTCCAGCAGCGGTGCGGAGGTCTTCGACTGGCTGCTCAACATCACCGGTGTAGCCGGCTTCATCTCCTGGACGTGTATCGGCATTTCACACATCGCGTTTATGAAAGCACTAAAGGCACAGGGCATCTCCAGGGATAGCCTGCCATACAAGGCGATGTGGCAGCCGTGGTTCAGCTGGTATGGCGTGGGTTTCAACGTTTTGATTATCCTGACGCAAGGCTTCACGAGCTTCATGCCGTGGAACACGAGCGATTTCTTCATTGCATATGTGAGCGTCATGCTGTTTGTGGTGCTGTTTGTGGGGCATAAGTTGGTCACGAGGAGTAAGCCAGTCAAGAGCGAGGAGGTTGACTTGGTGACAGGGAGGACGGAAGTCGATGAGTTGGATGCTCTGGCGGAGAAGGAGCAGGAAATGGAGGGCCCACAGAGGAAGACGTGGTTGAACAGGGTGAGCAAGTTCATCTTGGGCTAGGCTACGCTGTTTGGGTATTTGAGGGTCAGACGAGTGTTCTTGCATGTTAGTCAGGATCGGTAACATAACCTACAACTGTGATGAAACTACACGATACCATTGTTATCCTTCCCCAGTCTGCTGTGTGCTTGACCGATCTCCCACCCCTTGATCAAGCACTCTTCTGATCGCTCTCGTCGCGTGCTACCACTGGCACCTATCCTGATTGCTTCGACCACGCCTTCCTCGAGCATGCCTTCCTCAAGCGGATCTTCCTTGATCACTCCTGCCGTTATCAAGCTTAATTTGATGGCTCCTTCCTTGATGGCTCCTTCCTTGATAGCTCCTTCCTTGATAGCTCCTTCCTTGATAGCTCCTTCCTTGATAGCTCCTTCCTTGATAGCTCCTGCCTTGTTCACACCTGCCTCGATTGCTCTTTCCTCGTTTATTCCTCCCATAGTCACTGTGAGCACAGGCATGTTTCGAGACGACTCGCGGATCAGATAGCCAAAGTTATCGCCATTGTGTTCTATCTGCAGCTAGAACTCAGGCCAAACGGCAGATTTCCGATCGCAATCAACAGCCAGCGCTCTCGTGCGCCCAAACGCATCGTCGCCCAAATCCCTTCCCCAATGGACCTTGTCCCCTGGCCGCTGCCGCCCGAGACCCAGCATCGCTCTAACAGCAAGGACAAGGAAACACGCAAAAGTCGCACGGCAGCGGGCACGGGATGATGAAGCAGAACCGGCCGGGACACATTCCTCCACGATCATCTCCTCCGCGTAGATGCATTTGTTGCTGAGGTTTTTGTTGTGGTGGAGCTTGAGGGACTATTGAATTGGGCATGTCAGTGAAGTTTTGATGAGCGCTGGATTGGAATTGCATACCCATTGACATGGTTTCAACCTTTCTTGGTTGCGTTGTATGGACTTGCGCCGGTGGCTGGATGTTTTGGTTCATGGTGGGCTGTTCTTGTGGCATGGTGGACGGTATTGTTTGATCGTTGTCGTGAAGCAACGATGTAATGCTGGAGCTTTTGAAGACGAGTTTCTGTTGATATTGCTTGAGCTGACAACACCGTCGTGGCTAATCAGGAGAATCTTGGAAACAGGGCATCGTCTGGAAACGGAGGTTGCGTCACGACCAATTAGAGTTTCCATATGAGCTCGGCTAAAATGGGCCTTATCTGCTTTCGTTTCTGGTGCATGTCAACCGGTCTATTGCAGATCTATCTGGAATAACTGCGAAGTGCAGTCGTGTTCATCAGTTCTTTTGCGTGGCTCTTAAATCAATCCATCTTGGGTGGGCCTTTGTATGTATAGCGTCTCATTCTCGACGTACTCAGATCATCAGGAATATCAAGGTAGCAATCGTTGCAAGATGTGGTCGACAGTGTCAATCGTCTCATTTATATTCATGTCGCGGGCTTGTATCCAAGCTCAATTTTCGTGCCTTTCTCCATGCAGAAAAAGTTCCTTTCGCTTTTCCCTGTCTTGGTATCATAATACATTGCTAATCGTTCCCACCGTGTCCATGCTTCAAGTTCAGCTATGTTGCTTTGTTCATTCTATGGTTGTCATTCATCCCTGTCCATAATCACAGACGGCACGTCAGTTCATACACCTAGTTCCACATTCCACCAGGCGGATGCATCGCTGTCGCACTCCCTGGAAGACTCCCACCCGGACCAGACACTGGAATGACAAGTCCCGGCGGCATCGACGGTCCACCAACCATTACCCCGTTACCGATGGTCGGGCTATGATGCTCCATCTTCACACCAGCACTAGAAGGCCCGCCCATGCCAGCAGTCGACAGGGGTGGGTAAGCGCTCCTCGGCGGCATGTTCATAGCATGATGATGAGGTTGCGGGTAAGGATGCTGCATCTGACCACCGTCCATGTGGAGCACTGTCATGTTCATGCCGTTGTGTCTAGGCATTGGATGCGCCAGTCTGTGAGAAGCTCCAACGACGTTGTTAGCGAGGGAGGCGTTCAGCTGTCGCAGCGTCAGCAGACTTTTCGTCATGCTGCGTGCCCATATGCTGCTGTCATCCGTCGATGGATGATCCGCCGTCGGTGTCAGATTGGGGTCGTTGCGACGAAGAGCATCGAACGCCGGGTCTTCATCGGTCAACTTGAAGATACAATTCTCGAGCTCGCGCAAGAGGTCGATGATGCGCGATTCTTGACTTGCTTCAGGCAGGGTGCCGAGAAGGAAGGCGGCGGAGACGGCACGCTGTATGCCGATCCAGCTGCGGGCGGCGAGTTCGGAGTGCTTGGTGAGCTCGACGTAGGCATCGATGGTTCCCTCCAGACCACGGAGACAGTCGCGGCGGAGTTGTTGGGGTAGATTGGGGTCCGCTGGTGGGGACCGAGATGAGGTTCGGGATTTGCGGCGTGCCTGTGATGAGGTCGGTGAGCCGACTGGTGTGCCGCTAGGCGTTTGGTCTTCTGAGCGACCTGTCTCGCGTAGCGCTGGTCGACAGAGCTCGCTGATCAGGTACGATGAGTGCAGCTTCAGGGCGAGTCGCTCGATATGATTCTGCTTGTCGCTGCCACATGCTGATCGTTCGCGGAGATGTGGTGCAGCGTCACCCACGATGTTGATGACGCCTTCCCTGTATTTCTGTATTGAGCTCCAGCTCATCCTTTGATTGGGCTTGAATGTCCTTTCGCGGATGATGTCTTGGGTAAGTTTGATGATGTTGTACATAGTCTCGGCATAGTTGCGATTGTCCTCGGTGCTTTCAGGAGCATATGGAATCTCTGGGTTGCATAAAACGGTCGAAGTAGGGCGATCATAGCTGACGCTAAAGTGTGAATCTTGCCAGGCGATTGCCCACCAGACCCGACGACGAAGCCAGCTCTCGTGATCCGAGAATCCGGTCGGCGTGATTTGCAGACCCATCGAGAAGGCCATGCGAATGACCAGTCCAAGGAAGATGTAAGCGACACCAGGGTTCATGTTGTACGACAGCACGTTAGTGATGATGAGTAGTGCTTGGATAGTCTCCAGATTCGGGTGAGTGAGGAAGTTCGCCATGCGCAGGGCTTGATATGAGCAGCAGACTAGTTGATGTTAGCAGAGGAAGTCACAGTGTCTCGGAGGTCTTACCATAGACTTGCGACGTCAACTCCCGCTCCTTAGCACTAATCTGAGAACACTGTGCACCGGAAGCCATGACAGCAAACATGAGTGCCAACGTGGGTAGCGAGACACCCATGGGATTGCTTGGGTCAAGTTGGAAGCCTCCTTGTTGTACCTTCGTTCGATTGGCGAGCATGAAGTTGAGGGTAGCTTCAAAAGCGGCCGGCTCGGCGACGACTGGATAGATCGTGCATGCAACATCTCGGTATGAGTAGAAGAACCTATGATGCAATCAGTCAAACACAGCGAAACGGGACAGGGAGGAGACTTACTGTTTGCAAAGATTGTCAGCAGGAATAGCGCTGCAGAGCCCATCGATATCCTTGATGCTGTTGTCGGTACTCCAGAGGTCCACGAAGGGATATGTGACGCTGTCGTTGTCGAGGCCCAGGTTCGGAAGGATATTGTCCTTAAGCATGTGAAGCGCCGTATCCTGTGCCGACTTGCTTCGGCCCAGACCCATCATGTACGCCAACACGGAGCGACCACCGAGATGTGTGGTTCCCATCTGATTGCTCTGAGCATGAATACCTTCACGGTCCGTCTCTTCTTGGCCAGCGACACCATCCTTGGCGACACCATCGGCCTCTCCGGGTGCGTCGACTGTGGTGGCAATCTGCTCCCTCATCTGTGCGAGCTCCTTGTTGATGCGCTCCCATTGTTCCTTGGGGACAGTGACATTGGGTCCGCTCTGGAGTGAAGGATCCTTGACATCTGAGCCGTCGCTGTTCTGGCGTGGGAAGCTTGTGGTCATAGCAATGCGACGCTTCTTGGTTGGTCGCTCATACGAGCACAGCTCTGGGTGATCTCTCTTGACACATGAGTCGCATGGTAGTTCCCTGTTGCACTTGACTTTTCGACGGTGGCAAGCATAGCAAGCCTTTGGATCTCTGACCTTCCTCTTGTTGCGGATGATGGCGTCGACATCTTCCTGGTTCATTTCAACACGGCCATCTGAGCCAGTCTCGAAGCTTGGGTCATCAGGGTAGTCCTGCGTACTCGGTTGAGGTGTTCCAGACATGGTCGTGGGCGAAGTCATGGCGTGGTGGATGCCAGTGTAGGTGTATTCGTCGACACGAGGTCGGTAGGCAAGGACACCATTGACGGACTGGTCATAGGCTTCGTATGGCGATTGTGGAGGGAGAGGCTGCTGCTGTTGGTGGTGATGGTGGTGGTGAGGTGAAGGAGGGACGACATCGAATCCTGGGGAAGGAGACCATGGCTGCTGTGAAGGATGAGCAGAATTGAGTTGCCAGTAATGGCGGTTAGGCAACCCCGCCATTGACGTCTGGCTTGGAGAACAGATGGCGAGCATTGAGTGAAGGCCTGATGATGTGTGGCTTAGGCTTCGGATAAGTACTTGACTGCCCCAATATTAGGCGGCTCTTTGACTGATGTAGGCGTAACCCTAAGCCGAGGGCTTAAAAATTTGGGCTTGTTTTTTGAGCCGTTTTGTGGCTGATGTTCAACCTGTGGCGTCCTCGTCGGTCAACTCTGCCGGATTTGCAGAGCTCGCTTTCGTGAAAGGGGTCTGCACTGACTCTGCAGAGTTCAGTTCATATACTTTCTTTTTGTGAGCTTGGCCAGCGCTTGATACTCAGAGGCAACAGAGTGAGTCGATGCTTGGCTTGTCTGAGTATACAGCGTATCTTATGTGAGGACCGGCTCAAGGATGGCTGTTGTAATGATGACGGAATTCTCCTGGAACTGGAAACGAACTCCTGGAGTTGACCATGTGATGCAAAAGAAATGAACTGGGTCTGGGGTCGAGAGAATTGGAAGACACTAAAGATGGTCGATATATCTAGTTCATATGGCAAACGCCTGGTGAGTGAACGGCGTCCGGACATCGTTTTCCAAGACTTCCAAGTGCAGAAGTGCAAGGGCATCATACAAGAGGACGCTGCTAGGCCTCATCGACGTTTTTACAGCACAAACTCTCTCAGGGATCCTAGCAGCAGATCACTGTGAGCTTAAATCACTATGATTCAGGGGATCTGCTGCTCAATCGTAACGATTCTTCGATATCCTCTGGGTCGGTGGAATGGGAGCCTCAATCAGCAGGCCTTCCAGAACACCGGCGATTGGATGCAGCGCGGATCATTGCATGCCTGGCTGCTGCATTGTTGCAACCGCACAAAAGACTATTCATGTGCGGGTAAGAACTGAAATACGCTGGCAATGATGTTAGGACGCATGGATCTGGACGAGGCCGTAGGCTGTGATCTCTCAAAGCTGGTGGCACCATTCGTTTGATATTGTTGTTTGACTTCGAGACTTACCATCAGTGAGCGTAGCGCAGAGAGGATTTCCCTGCTGGCGATCCCTGGGCGTGGCAGATCCTGCAGGCTTGACAGCCACTCCGCATTCATCTTCCCGTCGAATGAAGTGCTTCAAAGAGCATTGATTAGATCGTCTAGTAACTGGGCAGCCGTTGGACTTGTGCGACTAGTCCCGACCACTATTGCCAGAAGTGTGAGACTTTCGAGCACGTTCGGCGTACGGATATGGAAGGCGCCACTGGACTAATGCTGCAAGACCGGCACGAATAGGGCAGCCGCGGGGAGCTCATCCCGACAGCTGGTAAGCAAAAGCCAATGAGCGGCCGTTGTGGCCTGCTTTGACATGAGTCGTGCAGCAATAGGCTTTTCCAAGCCTCTGTGCCAAGGCTCTTGCATACCTTATTCGGAAGCCAGTCCCGTCGTCTGTAGCCTCACCATCTCTGTGTTGGGGGCGAACAGAGATGAAACATGGGTCAGCTCATAATGCTGCAGCTATGTGGACGCTTGTGATCTGATGATTATTGTTAGATTACTCACGCGGCTGTTGACGGCCAGTTTGCCGGTGGCTCAAGTCTCACCGGGCCACCTCAGCACTACGTATGCTGAGTACAGGTCTGGAGCACGGCATTTCATCCCAAGTGCTAGCATGGCAGCCGAACCGCTGTCAGAGCGTCACAAAGGACGGCTATTGATGTGCGATTACCGACGCGTTGGGTGATCTAGGCATGGGCCGGCCAGTAGCTTCTTCTAGACAGAGAGACATGACTCAAAGCATGGCGGCCTTTGATCGCATACCAAATGTACTTGCTTTAGACTTCAAATACCGGCAACGCACCAACGTGAGTTTTCGTATTTCTTCAATGACCATATACTGCGAGTCGCAGTGAGCACCTATTTGAATACACGTATGATGCATGCCAGAACTCAAACGGAACTTTCGGTCTTTTTCGGGCGTGTTCCGTACTCACCCCTTGCAGACCAAAGTCGTCACGAGTAGCGGCTTTGGAAGCTCACACGCTGGGTCGTTCGTCCCACAATCGCTATAGTTCATGTCGCATTGGCTTTTTGGCAGCTCTATTTGAACCGCCTGCCGCTCCTATATGCCGGCGGGTACCATTTGGGCTCTGGCCTTCGTCAAGCCAGTGTGGTCAGGAGCCAGAGGTCCATTGTGTATTGATGCTAGGACTGGTTTGGGGAACTGCCTTGGAAACATTTGGCCGACAACGAATCTGATATCTGACAGCCACCTACCCGACGTTCCACGTGGAAGAGGAGCCACGACTCTAGCACAATCGGAACGTACAGCTCCATGGATACGGCTGTGCGCACCATGTTGTCATCGTTTGGGGTTCGAGACGAGGCACGGTGTGTAACAAGGGACACCGTTGAACGGAGTGCCGAGATACGTCCATTTGACGGAGCCACGGAGGATTCCTGACCGCAAGTCACTGCATGTCAAGCCCCATATCGCGTGCAGTAGGTCCTGCTTGGCGATCTAACTTCGGTACGGTCGGCTCTTTTAGTGCAGCATGGTGCCTGAAACGCTCTTGGCGCTCACGCACTCTGAGCAACATTTGAGGCGGCAGCGTGGTTCAGCTGACCTGGTGACGTCTCACATGTCGGCATCGTACGGCGTCGTCGGCGGCGCGTCGCCGATGTATAGGTGTGTCCAGATGGGTGAATAACGCTTAAAGCGCCTGCATATCACGAGATGACGGGCTGGCCATTGCGTAATAGTATGCGTACCCGTCGGGTCCAACAGTCTTGGCAGATGCCTTCCAGCCGTCAGCAGAAGGACTGTTCTTTCGCAGCTCGAACAACAACGCGTCCACAATGATGGTGCAGATCACGGGTCGAGGCGTCCCCAGATCGACGGCATATGATCTGCCGGAATCATCAGCGATGAAGCCGGCTGCTATATCGAAACACATGGAGAGCTTGTCGCTTTTCTGTTTGTGAGCTCGTAGCCGTGTTGTCTTACATGCGGCTATCATCCGCATTTCTGGCGATGCTTTTCGGGCTAACAAGCTTCTTAACAAGGTTTCGTGTTCAGGTATCCCGTCGTCTATGCAACCTCTGCATGTGGTAAACAGGCCGGCCGGTCTGCCTCCAGGTGGGCAAAATAGCCTTTGGTCCATTCTTGACGCACCCAAGAGTGTGGTGCAGTAATCGAAGGCCATGCGCCGTAGATCGTGCCGGAGAAAAGCGCCGGTTCGAGGTTTTCGAGTTGCTGTCAAAGTAAGGTACAGCAGCCTCCACATTGTCGACGGCGATGGAAGGAATCGAAGCTTCTCGGTAGACGCGAAGGTATGCGGTCATCCCGCAAGGGCCGATTCTTCACCGAGTGCGCATGCTTTTGACGATCAATGCAGAGGCTCAACTTGAAGGTAGATCACCTTCCAACCCTGCTACTGAGTTCGGAATAGTGCAGATAGCGAAGATTGGTGGAAGGAAAAAGGATCCGTTGTGGCTGCTAGCAGTCAAATTAAGGTTTTTGGCACGAGTCGCGCACAAACCTTGGCAAGTGCTTCATCCGATGAGGGCGGAGAAATTCTACGGAACGTCAAGGAAATACTCTGGATCAATTCATGATCGATTGAGTACAAGTAAGCGAAGAAACGTTGTATGTGAGGACTTTTACGATGATCATTTCTCTATTGAAACACAAATCGATGAAAGAGATCGTGAGTCGTTCCATCAAAAGTCCGCTCCAATCCCGACATATTTCGAAGGGCCTTTGCTCGGGCAATCTCTTGCATCGATACATCTATGTATGCGGTGAAGACCGTGCTACAAGATCGCTCGATGACCCGAGTCAAGTAGGTGCCAATGCTCTGGTAGGGTCAGCGAACAGTTCCAGACCTGTCTGTCGCCTTCCCAGCCCCCAACAACAGCCAGCCAGCCAGCCAGGCAGTGGCGTCGCACCTGTATCGGTGTACAGTGACATACTGGAAGAAAGGTCTCGATCTATGCATCGATCGCACTTGCGGTCAGATTGCTCGAATATGCTGTGCCCGCTGGGCATGTCCATGCGACAACACCGCCAACGCCGTAGGCATACGAAAATCTGGAACTTTGCGGTCACAAGGGAGCGTCGCATCTAGGCATCTGAGATCCTCCACTTGCTTGACCATTTCAGATAGTCGTACTGGCGATTGCTACCTTGCATTCCGAAGACGACCGGACTGAAGAGGACGAAGAGACCGATCACGACAGCATAGAGTAAAGAGAAGATGCCCCATCGTAGTCCAGTTCCGAGTCGTCGTGTGGTCCAGTTGACACAGAATCCTGCGGACAGGATGGCGAAGTATAGTGCCGGGTAATAATGATGAACGTACGTGACACGCGCCATGATGACGAAGGGGATGTAGTGCAAGACCCAACCGATGACGGGATAGAAGCCAGCGTAATGAATTTGGTCGATGTCGGCTTGTGTAAGCTCATCGTAGCCACGTTGCCACCGGATTGCATACCAAGCGACTATCAGACCAAAGACGCCAAGAGACGCAGTCGAGCCCCAATAGACGATGGGGTTGCCAAGCAGAAAGTATTTGGTGATCTTATCGTCCCAGGAGCACATTCGCAGGCCGACGTTGAGAATGGGCCATTGCCAGAAGTGGGAAGCCAAATCATCCTGCTTGTCGGGGTCGGGGACGAGAGCATTGTTCGATGTCATCATAGCAACATTCAGATGAATGAAGTCTTTGAAGAAGGGAGATCGGTAGGCCTTGGCATCGCCAGGGGGCAATCGCTCGTTGATATGAGATTCGATGTTCCAGTGCGTGTAGACATCACGTGGATGGTTTTGCTTCACGCAAGTGGTCTCAATCTGCTTGAAGCCCCACTGTGGTAGATTCGTGTTGCCGGCTCGCAAGTAGCAGCCTAGCACGGGGTGCCTGAGACGGAACCCAGTAGTAAGCGTCCTGATACGGGATCTGTCCGATGACGCGGCGTCGCTGACGACCTCGACCTGCCAGTGATCCTTTTCGTCGCCAACGGTGGTATTGCCATAGCACGATACTTCATAGTCGCCTTTAGTGACCGGAGCCGCGACATTGTGAGAATGTAGATTGCGGCCAGTGGATGAATGGACCAGACGAATGACGCTCTTGTCAGCAATGAACTCGAGTGGATCTTCGGGGTCGAGAATTGCGGCTCGGCTGCGGTTTGGGTAGATGAACCAATCGTTGTTGGCATCCTTGTGATGATAACATGTGATTTGTTGTTGCTTGCTACCCTCGGGATATGTCTGGACGTGAGAGTGAAGGAGGCCACCACCATAGCCCATATTCTTGAGTGTAACTCTCGAGCCAAGTGCGATCTCGAGAGGAGCGTCTCTGCCGACCTCAGTTCCCTCGAGATTGGCCTGGAAGAGGGAGGACATCTGAGCGTCTCCGGGTCCGGATTTGTTGAGGATCAAGAAGTGGAGGTAGAAGGAGAACATATACACCATTAGGGGGATAACGATCAAGCCAACGACCCTTACCACCAAATGGCTGGCAAGCTCTTTCTTGGGCATTTTGAGGTCGCCGAATTTGTTCCACAGATCCTCAGCGGTGTACAGACCAACCAGTGCGGTAGCAAAGAAACCGACCCATTTGACACTGCAGACGCAGCCGATGCTGAGGCCGGTCAGAACAATCCATAGGAACCACTCGAAAGTCCATGGCTTCTTCTGTAGTGTATGAAATTTTGCCCAGCACAAGACCGTGGTGAACGTGAAGCAGAGAAGCATCGAGTCGAGAAGGATGAATCGGGAGATGGTCGCGTACGAGTTTTCGCACAGGACCATCAGTGTGACAAGCCAGACAGTCTCACGACGCCAGCCGAGTGCGCGGGCTGCAAAGTATGCCGCAGGAATAGTCACAACACCGAACATGGCGTTGAAGATGCGCATGAACGTGTAATTGACCTCTTCAGGATAGACCTCGCCTGACTTGAATTCGAAGGAACCGTTGTAGCCTGCCATATAGCCAGAAAGGCCGACCAGCATCTTTCCGAGGGGAGGGTGTACATCGAAGTAGAAATCGCGTTTGAGATAGTGCGATCCGAATTTACCAAAACTAGACAGATTTAGCATGGCTTCACAGTGAAGGAAGGGGAAGACTGACTGTGCTTCATCCCATGTGACAATGTTGGACAGACCAATCTTCCATAGTCTAGTGAAGAGCGCGAACGCTGTGAAGATGATGGGCGCGATGACTACTTCCCAGTCATCTAGCACCTGGAGAATGCTCCCCTCCGTCCGCCTCTTTTGAAGCTTCTTCGTGTCTTCAGCTTCCAATTTGACGACATGTTGACCGTTGGCCTTGTCGTACGACTGAACATTGCGGCGATGAAGGTCGGCATCCTGTCGACTAGCGCCAGTCGCCACACCAGCACTTGGTGAAGACGCCATAGTAGAAGATGTCGAAAAGGAGATGATAGCCTCTGAAGGTGAAGTTGATGGAAAGAAAAGAAAGCTGAATTAAATAACTTCGAGTACGCCCAAGGGGGCTGAGGGGAACTGCGCTGCCGTTTCGACGGTGTCGGTCTCAAGCCGTGGTCGAAGCGTCAGCGAAAAGAAGGTAAGGCAGCTATTATACAACAAGTGATATTATCAGAAAGACAGCGACGAACTCACCCTTTCGAGTGAAGACTGCTGATTTTGAAGTGAATGTCCCCTTGCCTACAGAGGGGAACACGGAAGAACACGTCGCGCTTTATTTTTGGAGAGCTAAACCGCGTTTGTCAGAGACTTTTGCTTCACCAATGCAGCGGACTGAGGTAACCACATCACTAAAATTGATCAGCATACCATTTCACAGCTGTCATTGTCCTTTCTTATCAAATCTAGGCTAAGCTAACCCTGCCTCGAGCACCTGCACCATCCTCATCGTCGCCAAACAGCATGCCAGCTTCTCGACAGTACCGCGCTCCGTTCTTGCCTCCGCTGGTCTCTGAACCCCATGCTACTGCGACTGCATCCACAATGGTTGCAAGCACGCCTTCCATGGCGCCCAGGATAGACCAACCGATTGCACCTGCGCACAGTCCGACGATCCAGCTATACAAGCTGCCACCGAAGCCTTGCCCTGGCACGTCTCGGCTTGTTGCTGTCCATCCACCGTAACCCAATGCCATGCTCATCATGAATCGGGTCGAATGTAGAATGAGCTTGGCCAAGCGGTATGGCTGCAAGGGTGCAGTGTCGCTTGCCCAGCCGTCACGTCTCCTCTGGTTGAAGGTGTTGGGATGCAATGATGTCGTTGCGTCATTTGGTACTAGAAAGTGCATCTGCGATAGACCTCGTGCGCTGACTCGTAACGGCTGGGAGTGGATCGCAGCATAGGTCAAGGTAAGCGGGTTGATGAGTACAGCAACCGGGCTCGGAATGAACGAGTACATCGCAAGACTGAGCAGCATCGTCAGCCGCCGTGGCAGCACCAATAGTGGCAATCGCACAATCAGGCTGAGGCCAGTGTACAGACTGATTGTACCAAAGAGCGTGGTTACTGAGTGCTGCAAAGCCGCCTGCACGATCGTCTGAGACGTTGGCGTGGGAAGTGCCAGTCTGTGGAAATACCACTGCGAGACAGTCGCCGAAGTAATTGTCCTTTGTAAGCCGAAGATGACCGATATTGTCCACAGATAGACCAGGATAAAGTAGATGCCGACCCACCATGTCGAAGTGTCGACTACGAATCTGACAACAGCATTACGATCGGCTGGATGACCGCGCAGGAAGACACGACTGAACATCGACAGCCATAGCCAAGTGAAACCAACGATTGAGCCAAGAGTCGCAAACCCAACCATGATCAAAGCCGGATTCGCTGCCAAGATTCGAGTCGAGAACTCCAGTATCGCAATCGCTTTCTGCATGATCAGCCTCGACCGGATCACAGCAATGATCCATAGCGTGGCCATGACGAATGGCACCAGTGAGCCCCAGCGCATCAGCCAATTCTGGGTCCGTCCTCCTTCCGGATAGCTCTTGAAGCTCGTGATGAATGGGTATAACGAGAATGAGTAGAGGATGACTGGTACCACCACAATTATAGTAAATACCAGGTATCGCGCGTAGTCGCGAAGAGCAGCGAGCCATAAAAGCGCCACGAATATGCTGACGATGGTGTAGGCCGAGAGAAGGCCAAATGAGCCATGAAGCGTGTTGTAGACAGTATCACCTTTAGCGTCTCTTGGAGCGGTCTGCAGCCAGAAAAGAAACCAGGTTGCAAACATTCCGGCCAAGGCGAGCAAGTATAGGTGGCCCCAGAATGCGTCGTGCTGGGGCGGTCTACCTTGATGCGGAGGAACTATCTCTGGTATCGAATCATGAGGCTGCTCTTCTGGAAGACCTTGCAGAAGCTGTTGACTGTCTCTGCCATCGTCCTCTTCGTCGGAAGCATAATTGTGTGTTGTACGCTTCTTCCTTGGCACTTGTATCGATGGCGGATTCTCGAGTAGATCGTCCGGCGGCTCGTCGTCTTCGAATTCACTCTGGCGCATTGTGTCGTTAAGGCCAACATCAACCAAGGGATTTGACAGACGAGACAGACCCGTGAGCCCCAGTGATTCGTTCGACTCTGCACGTCTTCTACCTCGGGAGATTTTGCATGACTTTTAGAAGCCTCCCCACGCCACGAGCTCCTTATGCCGCCCGGCCTCTGGAATGCCTGGTCACTACCAGCACTGTCGCCCATACTCGAACCCGCTGCATTTTCGGGCTCAGAGGACTCCTTTAGCCCACTATCACCAAGCTGGCGCCGCGATCTCTGGAGCGCGTAGAAGTCTGCGATTTCGCGTTCGTGCTCCTCTTCATCGTTCTCCTCTCGGAACTCGTCGGTGGCGCTGAAGAACAAAGGCGCCTGCTGCGGGTTCAGGCGCGATGCGAACGGAAAGCCGGACGCTTGAGATGTAGTCGAATGATAGGGATTCTGTTGTCGCGATGGATTCGCTCGAGATCCTCCCAGTCGCCAGCCAGAAGCTGTTTGTTGTCGAGTCCGGTCATCACGTGGGGCACGTCGTCGGTCGTCAGTAGGCGCAAAGGTGATTCGAGATTGCGACTGCGCTAAAAAACGTGAGGCATCTACATGCTGATCAGACAAGAGATAGGCACAGGAGAGGTGCAGACATACACTCTGAGAACATGGTCCCGTCCGTAGCGATGTGGTGTTAGTTGCGTGCATGCACGCGTGATCAAAGGCTTGTGGTCAGATAAGCTAGATTTGGCTGCTCACATAGGGCGGGACCTTCGTATCGTGATTGAGGGTTGTGAAAGAATGCTATTGATGATTGATAATGAAGATGGAGGTGCACAGTGTGGCAACAGAATGTCAGGCAGCACTGGTGACTCGAAATGTGTTGGTTCTACCTAAGTACAGCGAGAGGTACTTGTTGGTGCTAGAAGGCGCCGCAAACGAGCAGGCCTCAGGCGCCCCCGCAGCAACAACGTCACGCGATTGCCTGCACCTGGACATTACTCCTACTACTACAAAGTACTCATCACTGAATCAACTGTACCCCATTTTAGGTGATACAACAAAAGTCATTCGACCTGAACACCGCCCTACTTAATTTCGTCCCTTGCTCTTCGTGTACATCAGTCAAACGGACTTGTTCCTTCGTCGTCGATTGCTGAGATAGCATCTCACGACTTGCGAACAAGATTCATGCCAGCTAAGACGCTGACCGAGCCAGCTCCGTTACCATTCAGCTACATCGCGAAGATCGTCAGTCTCGGTGATTCAGCTTGCGGAAAGTCGTCTTTGACCGTTCGCCTGTGCGAGGGTCGGTTCTCGAATACACATGATGTCACGATAGGAGTCGAATTTGGGTCTCGCATCGTGCCGGTGGGACCGCCTGCTAGCCAGGCTCTTGAGACTGGCGATGTCGCCACAGCGGCCTCCCTAGACGATGGAAAGCAGAAGAAGATGAAGCTGTCCGTCTGGGACACTGCCGGCCAGGAAACATACAAGTCAATAACGCGAAGCTATTTCCGCGGCGCATCCGGAGCATTACTAGTCTTCGATATCACCAGGAGAAAGACCTTCGAGTCAGTGACATCGTGGCTGAATGATCTCCGGCAGATCGCCGAAGAGGGCGTTGTGGTGGTGCTCGTTGGCAACAAGGTTGATCTGGCAAGCCAGAGTACAGATGCCCAGGGTGGCAACAAGCGGGAAGTCACCAAAGAAGAAGCAGAAGAATGGTGTCGAAGAGAAAACGTGTTCCGATACGTCGAAACTAGCGCTAAGAGCGGCGAAGGAGTCGAGCGAGCCTTCCTCGAGGTTGCTGAGAGGATATATCAGAACATCGAGGCAGGGAAATATGATCTCAACGATCGACGAAGCGGCGTCAAAAGTGCTACAGGCGCTCGAGACGGTCGCCGCACGCAGACCGTCAACCTAGGTGTCGGAAATGCTGGTGGCGAACAGAAGAGCGGTTGCTGTTGAGACAGACACGCGCTTCGAGTGCCAAAACCGGACATGTGTCTTTGGGCGATCAGTGCGGATGTTGCAGCAATAAGCAGACACGCCATCGCCATCAGCCAAATGTCATGTAATATCACCCATGCAGCCTTCTACGCGTCTGGGGTGACTAGAATCACGCCTTCCCCCGGGCCGTGTCGGCGGATTTCCGCCCACTGCATGACGGAATACAGAACGCCGGCTATCTTCGCTCAACCCCACCCCCACTGCCCACCGTGACTTTTGGGATCTATAATGCCAGTGCGTGGTGAGGTATTCAAAATCAGTCCACACATACCGAAGTAGTCGCGCCGTGGACTTATCTTGCAATCCTCGAGCCTTCAAAGCTTTCCAGACAACCTTCATCAAGCTGTAGTAGAGCGCTACCAACTACCAACCATGGCTAAACTCGATCTCACAGTCCCAGATCTCAGCCTTCCAGATGGGAACAAGGTATATACCGAACCAATCAAGGCCACCAGGATATTGACTGATTACAGATCCCTATGCTTGGCTACGGAACTGGGTATGGATGAGGCGCCCCTAATCGTGAATACGTGTTTATCCGGGCGGTCTAACGCCTTTCCTCAGAACTGCCTGGTACAAGAAGGACGACGACCCGTACGACAAAGCGCTTATCGAAGCTACACTGACGGCCGTAAAGCTTGGGTACACACATCTGGATGGCGCCGAGGTGTACAACACCGAGGAGGTAAGTCCGCTTTGCCCAGTTCAGTGGGCAGAGCAAATTTAATGTATGACACAGGAGCTTGGTGAAGCTATTTCCAAGTCGAAGGTCCCTCGCGAGAAGCTGTTCATCACGGACAAGGTCGCGACGAACATCCAGGACATCCCGTCAGCAATCGACATCAGTTTGAAGAAGCTTGGCCTGGACTACCTCGACTTGTACTTGATTCACGAGCCGTTCTGGGCGAAGGGAGACGAGGCAGAGCTTCAGAAGAAATGGGCACAGGTAAGCCGCCTTCTGGAAGTCGTATCGGACGACATCCGAGTTCTTCGGTTCGAGCTGTCCCGTTGTCCTTTGACTAATAGGTGCATTAGATGGAAGATGTGCTCGCCTCCGGAAAGGTCAAGGTAAGAAGCACAGTCAGATAATGACGCCCCATCACTGACAGGCTCTAGTCGATTGGTGTCTCGAACTACCTGAAGCCAGACCTGGAAGCAATCCTGAAGACGGCCAAAGTCCGGCCCGCCATCAACCAAATTGAGTGAGGCTTCCAAGTTGTCGACACTGAAGGCATCTTTTTGCTGACCATGAAGCAGATATCACCCATATCTTCAACACGGGGATCTCATTACCTACCACAAATCTAAGGACATCAAGCTTGCTGCGTACGGTCCTCAGTTGCCCGTCACAAGATTCACTGGAGGCCCTCTGGACCCCATCCTCGAGTCCCTGGCGAAGAAGTATGCAGTCAACCCTGGCGAGATCTTGCTGAGATGGGTCATCGACCAAGGTATCGTAGCAGGTATGTCGCTTTCTTACTGGCTTCCGGGCGCGGCCTAGGCTAACAGTCACAGTGACCACCAGCAGCAAGGAGCAAAGACTGAGCGATTATCTGCGGATATTCACCTTCAACCTCACTCCCAAGGAGATCGAGCAGATATCCGAGACGGGCTCAGGTTACCACAAGAGAGGCTTCTGGAGTGCTAAATTTGCCGACGACGATACATCGTAAGGCAACGAGATCATAACCGAGCCATGTGACACGTCTACGAGGTCATGTCACTCAATCATCTTCGCCGAATGCTCGTGTTGCCTTCTTTCTAGAAAATTTCTCTCGGCATGGGCTGTGTCCAAAGTATATCTGCACCCGAAAATAGCTTGCTCAGCTACACCTCCCCGCACTCGATGCATCACTGACTGCACAGTGACCTTCTCAAAAACTCTCCTACAACGGATCTAGACCTACTTCAGTCAGCTTTGTCTCAGTAAGTCACACTGACGTCTGCAGTCAACCCCTCCATTCGTCGTGCCGTCCACAATTTTCAGCCTCAACACCTCAAGCTCTGCGGTTAGCCGCAGTCATGAGCTCTACCCGCACGCTGCAGCTGTCCATGAACGAGCTCAAGCTTTCGAATTAGCTCGCACGCGCAGGTCTGAGTTTCGACATTGCGTGATGCTGGTCTGCGCCTTCCCGCATGCGCGACTTCACCGTCACACCCGTGACCAAGGTTCTCGCCCAATTAAGGTAGGTGCACCCTGACCTCGCTTGCTGGCATCAAGTATATCTAAGGCGACCTCCATGCGAGTTCTTGTACAAATTCCATTCCAACAACACACAGCAACCACCATCAGCATCTTTCAAGCATTCCAGCGAGTCTACTAGTATCAGCGCACGGTCTACCTTTCAAAAGCACTCCAACTCAGCCTAATTAATCCATCGCCAACCCTTCGCTCAACCAATACACCCAAACTCTCACATACACCACCAAGATGCATTTCTCAATGATCGCAGCTTCCATCGCCGCCACTGCCGGCCTCGCAGCTGCCGCCCCTCTTGTTGAGGCTCGCCAAGGCCGTCCTCCTGCCAACTTCTACCTGCAATCCAAAGTCAAGTCCCAGAGCCCCAAAGACCTCGGCTCAAACAAGCAAGACCTCTGGCTCAGCAGCTATCACACCGGTGCTGGCCTCGGCGCCGCTACCTTCTTTCCTAACAAATCGAGCGCTGCTGTCGCCTCACTCAACGCCACAGGTGACATCTACCAGACCGCTTTCAAGCTCGGCGATTACGAGTGGCCCATGGCCGTTCAGTATGGTCCTTACCAGACCATGGAGTCAGTTACCATCTCAGTGGCCGGCGATCAGGACAACTTTGGCTTTTACTTCAACGACAACGGTCTGCAATGGAACTACACTGAGTTCACGGGCTGGGCAGCCTGCGACTTCTGGTACTCAGGCAGCCCATCGCTGTTCGCAACAGTCAGCACAAACAAGAACGCCGATCTGCCTGTCTCCTGCTCGGAGATCGAGCTGGTCGCTGTTGCAGCTTGAGAGCGACCAACTGTACAAACATCTGTAACATCATCATTCAACGGTTCACAAAAGCGAGCATAGCGGTGTCTTTCAGTCGAATTGAGCAAATGCATTCTTAGCAAGGAAAGCGCAAGGCGCGGAGCAGTAATAGCATAATACAATAATTTCGATCATACAGTCTTCCGTTCCCACTAATGCGCGTTGCACATCACTAACGATGCAGCTACCTTCACTTGGCCGGGCTCGTCTGTCACAGATGATGTATTCATGGCTTCACTTCTTCAGCTCAATTATTTCAGGTCCGCTGGCTGACCCCCACTTGCCCCGCGGCCTCATAGCCTCGACTCTTCAAATAGATAAAGGTCTCTTACCCTTCCTGTGCAGCTCAGCCAGAAGCATTCAGGAAAGTAGCACCAGTCCGACAACGCAATATCATTTCCGACACCAAATTGAATCGCAACCCCTCGATACTTCTCGACCATGCCTGAGAACAAAGGCACCAGCGGTGGCTACCATTACACTGGCTCTGGCACCAACAGCCAGGTAAGCCAGGACCTCGCCCGGCTCCCATCCTCAAAGCACGCACCCTGCCTCCAACATGGTGCACCGTACAATGCTGACAAGCTCACCCGCGAAAACAGGGCAACCACTACTGCTCCCGCGACTACGGCTCCTCCGCTTCTAATCAGAACTCCTGTAAGTTCCCTCCATTGCAGATCCTAGCATTCCCCTGAGCTTCACCACGTCTCCCCGACCCACTGACATCACTGCTTCCGACTGACGTCCCTGAAGACCACTACTCGAACTCGAACGGCTCGTACTACTACTACAACGCCAATGGCAGTACGTACTACAACAACGGGCAGGGTGGGTCGACGTATACGCCCTCATCTGGTGGAAGTGGTGGGAAGAAGTAAAGGACGATGCGATGGTAAGGGCTAGAGCGCAGCAACGGCGACAGCCGGTGACAGTTTCGAGCAGTGTTGGCGGCAAGGAAGTCAACTGGAGGTTCGCATCGAGTCGCGGAGACGGGACCGGCATCGAACATTCCCAGTGAGCCACTTGTGGTAGGTGGTGGTGGGAGGACTCCATCATCCACGTGCACACCGAGCGTCGAACATCATACTACAACCGCGGTCAGGGAGCCTTTTCCTGGACGTGGCAGTTCAGCAAATGCACCTTGAATCAGGGGCCACACCTCAGATATCGCATACTGGTTCACCGAGCAAAGCATTACTATGTGATATAACCTATCGTGCGCATCGCGACTCACGGCCGCATTCACGGCTCCAAGGCGGCTGACACTACGATAAGCTCAAAAGAGTACCTTTGTACCACTGATGGGTAAACTCAGCTGCTGCTCAACCAGGCAGAACTCTTGTTGACGCTCCTGCTATCTTAACGACTTCCATCGGTCCATCATTCCTGCCATCGTTCATCAAGACCTTTCATCTCTTCCACTCGCCCAGGTATCCTCCAACGCCATAAAACTCAAAAAGACATCGCAATGGCGACGAAGGCCGCCCCAAAGGCTCCCCCAAGCCCCAGCACTGCCGAAGGTGTGTTGCCTCTTTCCTGCACTCGAGGCCATGTCCATAATCATGCCTACACGATCTGAACCCTGACGTGAAATATTTAGGGATCTTGCTTGGTATCTCCGGCGTGTTCTTTGGCATTTTGTTTCTGGCGCTGTTCTGCTTGGGCTGTGGACTGGTCTTTATCGCAATCATGGGTTGCTTTGGGACCACGTATGCCTTCTACGCGTGGCTTGGATGTCGCATTGGTCTCATGACCCCACCGGAGGCAGGATGTGCATCACTTTGGGGCAAAATTGTTGAGGTTTTTGCAGAGCTTAGCGAATCCGATGCTGATCAGGCGGGCGCTACAAGAGTGATGGCTGCGGTCTCGGAGGAGATACCTCTGGCTGCCGTTGAAGCCAGTGCCGACAACGGTTTCATAACACCTGGAACGATCGTGGGCTTGTTAGTCGGAGCACTATTGCTGTGTATGGCACTTTTGGCTTGGAACACCCTGCGTCCAAGCCCTGAGGCAGACGCTGGACGAGGTGTGAATATGGACCGAGAAGAGCTACGGAACATCCTTCGTAAGGTTGAAGATATCGCACAGAAGGTTGATGGCATCGAAAACAAGGTCAACAGCGTGGCTCGCAAGGTTGACGAGATCGCTATGAGAGCTCAGATCTTCGATGAGATGCCTGAGTACACCTATTGAAGCTGGAGACGCAAAGATGGCGCCGAAGAACCCCATCGTAACTGGTTATTCACCGACAAGGACATGTCGACTACCGAGAATCACCTCTTCCACGACCACCAAGGAAGCGAAGCAGAATGTCGATTCCATCACCTATAACGCCGTCATCAACCCTTTCTATTCTGCTTCAACCCCGTCAATGACTCTGTAAACACATCACACCTCGTACATCACTTCATCCATCCCTTCATCCCACGAGAGCCCGCCCAGCAACGTAAACACCGGCACCAACGACAACTCCGACAGGAAGAGCCGCAGCACCAAGCACGCCGGTCGCTGCACCCGTCATGCCCCAGCTTGTCAATGTTGCGAACCAGCCACCAGCGGGTACGGCACCAGCGTACAAAGCACCTTGAGCTGCTGCCGCAGCGGACCCAGCTGTGATGCCCTTGGCGCCAAAGCCGACGATCGGGAGGAGGTATGGCGTGACACCGGCAGCGACGGTGCCGGTTGTGGCGGCCACGGCTGTGATGGGACCGGCGACGACTTTCAGGGGGGCGGAGACGGCTGTGACAGGGATTATTAGTCTTGGGTCTTAAGGCTTTAGTGGATTGGGGCAAGAATTGGACGGGCCTTCGTTGAGTCGGAACGGTGAGGAGAAGAGGACTGCTTACTGTTGAGGATGGCATTCATTGTGGATGGCTTTGGACTATGTGATTCCGAATGAGGTTGAAGTTGAGACTGTTTGTGCGGTTGACGTCGATGTTATCTTACCCGAGGGTTGCTGGAATGTTGAGCAGGAGAGTCGTGGAGAGGTTGCTTGGGCCAGTGAGTGTGATCGGAAGGTTGAGAGACTTTTTGAAGATTGAAAATATTGGAAGACTGCAGAGGGATACATAAGTATATATCCTTTCGTGCTGCCTTTCTGTTTTCTTGTGTACAAAGACACTAGGGTAGCAGGCCAATTTGCTGCGGCTGTCTGGTCTGGGATCTCCGAGACACAGGCAGGACCTAGTCTACAGCTGTCTTGCAGGCTCTAGATCCGTCTGCCTTGCATTCTTTGCATTCTGAAATGAAGATCAAAGACTGTCATTTGTCTATGGTGTCGCGGCGAGGCAGCTGGTCAAATGGACCAGCATGTCGGCCACGCTGACCACAACATGACCGTGGCTTAGCGGGACTTTTGGACTGACGGGCTTGTGGCGTCGAATGAATGCAGCAGTAGTGCGTTCAAGTCAGCATGTACCGCTAATAGTGCTCCGTTGAAGAAAGTGACTTGCTAGTGTCGATCATCAATCTCGATGTTGAGACAAAAGCAATAGATCACAAAGTGCCAAGTCCTCCACTGCCTGATTTGACTCCATTCCGCTATCGCGCTACCGGTAAATGACGCCACCGACTCTCAATTTCTCCCCGCGTCGCCGATCGCGGGTTGCTTACAATTCACCAAAAATCCATGGCTATGTCACGAGCACCAACACTCGTGCGAGCTGCCGTTTGCTCACTCTCCTGACAGCATCTCGTCCCGTACTCCAATCATGCCGCTAGACAACGTGTCAAACATTGTCCTCATCCTCTCTGGCAAAGGCGGCGTCGGGAAGTCGAGCGTGACGCTCCAGCTCGCGCTCTCGCTAACGCAGCAGGGAAAGAATGTAGGGATACTAGACATAGACCTTACAGGCCCATCGATACCGCGGCTATTGGGACTTGAGGCGGAGAAAGTGACACAGGCGCCCGGCGGGTGGTTGCCTGTGAAGGTGCATGATCGGGTTGAGGGGGCAAGCAATGGCACTGCGCCCGCTTCAGGACAGAACGGCGCGAATGGGACGAATGGTGGCAGCAGTAATGGAGATGCACACACGACAGCGGGCACCTCAGAAACAGCTTCGCAACACCCCACTACAACACCTCCCTCACAGCCACAAATCCGCGGCTCCCTCCACGCCCTCTCCCTCGCCTTCCTCCTCCCCTCCCGCTCCTCCGCCGTCATCTGGCGCGGCCCCAAGAAAACAGCCATGATCCGCCAATTCGTCTCCGACGTCCTCTGGCCGCCCAACACGGACTACCTCCTCATCGACACCCCGCCGGGGACGTCGGACGAACATATCGCTATCGTGGAGGAATTGCATAAACTCTCCGCTGTCGGCCAGCCTCAGAACGGCGCTGTGATCACACAAGGTCCGAGATTAGCAGGTGCAGTAGTAGTAACAACACCACAAGCGATTTCCACGGCAGACGTGCGCAAGGAGATCAATTTCTGCACGAAGACGCAAGTGCCCGTTATTGGGGTGGTGGAGAACATGAGCGGGTATATGTGTCCGTGTTGTGACGAAGTGACGCATATCTTCTCGAAGGGTGGTGGCGAGGTGATGAGTCGGGAGATGGGAGTCAGGTTCTTGGGCGGAGTCCCTGTTGATACTGGATTTGGGGAGATGGTAGAGGCAGAAAGGCCGAGGACGAGGGTTTGTTGTTGGTGGAAAGGTATGCGAAGACGGGGCTAGCGAAGATCTTTGAAGGGTTCGCTGGAGAGGTCGTCAAAGCTGCCGAGGGGAGGAGTTAATGGCAGCTGCGTTTGGCAGCTGTACACGGTGGTTGGGAAGCTCTAGCACGCAGAAAGATACCTCTTGGATCTTGCATATGGGCAAGGGAGCATAGCGAACGGCGTCAGGAGGTACATCAGGTCTTGAGGCACTGTGAATATAGAAACGTCTCTCGAGTTCAGCTGGGATAGCATTCTTTGATCTGTCTTCAATGATAGTACATGGCATTCATATCGATGCCCGCCTGTGCCTCATAATTCGTTCTCGCTGGGTCATTTAAGCTCGCTCATATATCATGTGTCTCATCTCATTAGCTCGTTGTGTCACGCTCAGCCATGAAGGCCTCCTCTCGGCGCTCACGCATGTGCAGGACTACCAATCGCGCCCGTTGGTCCTGCTGCATCTGCGGCACGAGAAGCACCCCCCGCAGGACCCGCCTCATGCCGTCCTAATATAACTCTGAGATGATTCTCCGCACCGCTTGTCTTCCTCTGACTCGTCCCTGCGTCTGCTGTGCCTGGAGCGGACGGCGATGATAAACTCCGCTGTAGGTCTTTCAGCAACAGCAGTCGCTGCATACGCTGAGTAAATGTGGCAACGGGAGTTTTAGCGGTTTCCGGAACACGCTCGAGCTGCTCGTTTCCGGCGAACAGCTGGCTTTCATCAAAGCTGTACAGCGGGTACTGCTTCCCAGCTTCCGAGACAACAGGTGGATCGGAGACAACGATGCCGTTTGCGCCGGCGGACAGCCAGACTTCGGAAACGACAGCCGAGTTTCGAGGGGCTGAAGCTGCTGTTGGTAGTCCTCGTGATTGGAGGAGGTCGAGAGGCGCTCGTAGTGGTGACGGGTGCGCCGCTGGCTCGGTCTGTAGTAGTGCTTCCGTCGTTATGATAGAGTCATGAACAGTCATGACAGCAGGGGACGAGTTGCGAACATCCTCCGCCGTTGGCAGCTCCGGCCGTGGTGGAGACAGTATCACATCACTGTACATGCGTCCTGTCCGTGGCAGAGCCTGCAGCCGCTCGAGTAGTCCATAGGCTTGCGAGCCATTCTGGCTGCCATCGACCAGGCTAGCGTTCTCGTGGAGAATCATCACATCATCAGCCAACCTCTCCGTACTCGAGCTAGCCTCAGCAACAGACTGCAGAGGAACAGCTCTGATCTCGCCCGTAGGCGGCAGGTGTGCGTCATGCTGATCTGCGAGCGCGAGACGACTCCTACCCCATATGTCCGCTATACCGTTCAGGTCTTCCTCGATGTCCTCTTGTATGGCAGCCAGTATCCCCTCGAAACTGTAGGCTGACAACGGAGGCAGCTTGTTATCCTCCCTGGTCATCACTTCTCTTCGCCTGGGAGGTCTTGCGATTGGATTGAGGAAATTCGATGCGACATTGGAGTGTATCCTCGACAACACCGGCTGTGATGGTGCCGTAGCAGTACTGTAGCTCGTACTCCCAATCGACGCAGCGTTCACCCGGCTCAAGTTCGAGCCGGAGGTGTTGAGGTGGAAGAACGGCGTGGCACCGCCAGACCCAGTCTGTGGCAATATACTGCTCCGATCGCTGTGTAGGTAGCCAGAGGACGGCGGTAGAGACCTGGTGCCATGATGACTGGGTGGATTGATGAAAGACCACTGTCCTTGAAATCTGCCCGACGACGTGGACGACGTGTCTACTCCAATGGGGCCTTCCATGGTCGACATCCTAACAACGCATGGCCCGGGATCCTGGTAGTATGCCGCCTCATCTGCATGCCATCGGAGCTCGGCCTACGTGTGTGGGAGATCGGCCGAGTCAAGGAGCAGAGAGTGCTGGGTCGGTGAGTGCTGGCATAAGTGTCAGAGCGGAAACGGTGGGACGCGCCACGAGACAGCGGCCTAAGCGCATTGCATGACAGCTGTTGTAGGGCTGGTCCTGTGTAGAACGCTGTGAAAGTCGAATGCAGACTGAACTGAGCTATGAGAACTTCGAGAACGTGGCACAGCACCATTTGTTAAGTGCAAGGATCTCTGATCAGGTGATTGACCTGTCGCGAGCTAGTCAACCGGTTTGAGCTCAGATTACCCAAGACCGGATGACAGAAACCATATCCGTACAAGCGACCTCCTGCCATGTTCAAGAATAGGCAATAAGAGGCAGGAGCACACAGCGATCGCTGCTTCTTGTCGACGTGATGACGCCACAAGTAGAAGCTGCGAGGTGAGGCTCCTGCCTTATGTCCGAGGAGAAGCAACAGAAGCAGGAGCACACAGTGATCGCTCCTTCTCATTTTAGGATCACTCACCTCGCACCTTCCACTATTGCCTACCTCACCCCGTCAACCGGCTCAGACGAACTTTACGTGAGACCGGATGACGATATTCCCGCATAGCTACGCACTCGCTCTTAATCACTACAGTCAGATAGAGCCAACTGTCGTCGAGGTTTCTGACAGGGTCATGAGCAACAACTGACTCGGCCACGTTCCCACAACCGTGTTGGTGTCCCAATCGACTAATCAAACGGTTCGGATTGGCCATTCACGGAATGTCAACACACCTCTGATGTTAGTGATTCGCATTTCATCGGATAGCAAAGTCGTCCTGGGCAAGATATCTGACTGCAGGTCCCCCGGGCTGTCCTTGGAAGCGAAGAGTCGTGTATGCAGTCGGAGCAGGTCGCGAGACTCCGCGAAACCTGCATTCCTGCCAACTTGGTATATATTCTGGCGCTGACATGGCGTTATTATCGCGACCAGAACGCCACCAAGTCAATGAGGTCCTCATACTTCAAATCCTCCACCCTCGTCTTCCTCTCCCGCCGCTTTCCCGTTGACTTCCCATTTACACCTGCCCAGCGCACACCACGCTTACCCCCTTCGTCCTCACCATCGTTCCCACTCTCATCTCCAATTACCATCCCCGCTACCCTTCCCACCATCTCTCCCTCCTTCTCACTCTCCACCGCCGCCTCGAATACCGTCTCATACAACTCCCAACACAAACTTAAACACATCTTCGCTTCCTCCTCACGATCCAGCTCCCTCAATGCCGTCGCCCTCTGATACAACGCGCGTGTCCGCTCAGGCCTATACGTGCTTCCGCCTTCATTCGCACCTGTACCACTTCCGTAGATCTTGATCGCTGCCTCCAGAAGAACCAACGCTGTCTCTTCTTGCCCGCGCCAAAGATGATGTTCGGCGACTTTCACGAGGGTGTCTGCTGTGCGGTGGTGGTTGTTGCCAAGGGTATACTTGTAGTGGATGAGAGCGCGGTGGTGAAAGGTCTGCGATTCTTCGAGGTTGTTCAGGGAATGATAGACGTTGCCGAGGGCGTGGAGGTAGCGGCCAGTGCTGGAGACTGTGTCAGCGCTCGGACGGAAGAGTGGGTCGGGAACAAGAAAAGGGAATGGCGTTGATGAACTCACATGAACGAGACTCTATGGTCACGATCGTCTTGTCCGTAGACGACTTCGCGGTGTTGTAGACCTCGGAGGAGGACTTTCAGGGCGTCATCGTGCTGGTCGAGTAGCCAGAAGGCTAGGCCAATGTTGACCAAGGGTAATGATATTAAAATCTCCTCGTAGTTCTCAAGCTGTTCCATGAGAGAAATCGACTGCTCGAAGCAGTGTCTCCCGTCTGCCCAACGACGGTTAAGCATATATGCGTTGCCAAGTTCATTCCAGGAAATCGCCAGACGCATGTCTTGCCCGCCTTTGACACCGCCCAATTCTTTTTGCATCAAGTCATTGAATTGGAGGTGGTACTTCAGTGCGTCTGATGGCTCGTTGACCTCTGTCGCAATGCAGCCACGGTTGTGGTCGATCTCGGCCAGAATTCTGTCGAGCTGGAGGTGGTGAGACTGCGAAAGATCTGTTGTGGAGCCCTTCAGTCGCTTTTGCAGGGACTTGCAGATCTCTTCCGCAAGGTTGTTGAAGATCTTTGCGTCGGAAGAGCGGCCTCTTTCGTGATGATACCACCCAGCAGCTGTCAGAAGTCTCGCGAATGAGTAATCATCCTCAGAGTAGTCTGTAGATGGAGGGATCTCGTGGTAGAGAGACTTCAGTCGGGCAACGTGCGGGAACAGCGGCTCGCAGACCGTCCATTTGCTGACGTCGTGGCGCCAGTCAAATTTCTCGAAGGGCCACGAACTGGAGATGAGGTCCACGCAAGTCATAAAGTTGTTGCGGAATTCCCGAGGCGACATTCTAGCCCTTGCCACATCTTGTACCAGTCGGTGTATCGACAGCCGGCGCTCGATCTTATCACGGCTGAGCAATGAGCATGCCACAAGCTCATTTCGTGCATCCGTGTACTCGCCGTACTCAGTCCACAATGCTTGAATGGAGTTCCTGCGCTTTGGCCTGCCCAGGGACGCCGTCAGCAGCGACTCAGGGATGCCGTCTGGATCAAGCATCGAAACAAGGTTGAGCATCGGCACACCGTGCGCAAGATTCTCAAAGGCCCAGACAGAGGCAAGGGTATGCTCGTAGCCACTAGCGCCCAGAACCAGATCGCTGTTGGCTTGTTTGAGAAGCTCTTCTTGCTCGTTGTACGATTCAAGGAACTCGGCAAAGGAGAGCTGCTTATGTTGGATAAGACCTGCCATCTGTGCAAGTGCGAGCGGTAGGCCACCGAGCTGGTCGTTGACCTTTCCAACCGCCTTGCGCTGCTCTTCCGAAGCGTCCTTCTCTGTCAGCTTCAGCAAGAACTTTATTGCCTCGTCTTCGGTAAACGGCGCCAGTTGAAGTGAGCGTGACCACGAGAACGGACTGCGGCTGGTGATCAATACTGACCCGGGACCATTATAAGGCCAGAAATCATTCAGCACGTCCGGATTCTCGACGCCATCAAATACAAGCAGCCATGAGGCTTGTGGCGCGTTTGGCTTGCCAGCGTCTCGGAAGTCTCTCAATGGCTTCAGTAACCATTGTTTGACAATCTCTCTGGTGAACGAGATATCCTTAGCATCAGCGGATGTCTCTTCCACCAAGCCAAGCTCAACTGCGATATTTTGGAAGCCTTGACTCAGCTTGTTGTAGTCATCGGCATGTACCCAGAATATAGCGTCAAACTTGTCTCGATGCTGAGACACGAACGCGGCGCTGAGCTGAGTCTTCCCCATGCCGCCAGGTGCATACACTGCAAAGGTCCTCGGGTAGCTGGTAGGACTAGCCGGCGTCTCGTTATCCTGTGCTCGTGGTACAAGCGCATTCGACAATGCTTGAAGTGCATAGTCTCGTCCGAAGAAGTGTGAGACTGGCGTCACAGGCAACAACTCTGCAGGAAGGTCAGGACCCCTGCCGCCGTATGTCGTTGGATTGACGTCGAGATACATCTTCTGCAGGAACGTCTGTAGCGTGGGGTCTCTATCGTGTCCGAAGTATGGGGTCTGATCGAGGCCGTAGAATTCCCAGTCTTCATATGGCGGATACCACCCGACGCCAGTTTTCAGAAGCTCCCGAGATATTTCAATCCATTCGGCTAGCGGTTGCTCGCGGGATCGCACAGCCTCGTCTTCCTCGTCCTGAAAAGCCAGATTTTGCGCTTCTGGACCTTCTTCGTCCTTAACGGAGTCTCTCTCCACCTGGCTGGACGACAAACGATCGTCTTCATTTGGCAGCTGGAAATCTTCCTGCCATGGCAGGGCAATTTGTGACATCTGCTCGAGATGGGTGGCGAGATGTTTGACGATGCTGTTGGAAAGATTCTGCAAGTGCTCCGCAGATCGTGTATCACCAGAGCTCGACACTGTAGGCACCCACTTGCACATGGGACATGTGGAGAAGATGATAGAAGACGCCTTCCGGGCCTTCTTCTCCAGCCAGGGCAATTGTGCTTCGGTGAAAGAGTCGGGATGCGTCTTGCGCATATGCTCCTCCCATTCTTCTTGGGTGACGACAGTGAAAGGCCTGCACTGGCGGGCTGTACACGACCACTGTGCAGCATGCACATTTGACATGTGGCTGAACCATTGTGAGTACTCCCTCATAGTAACGTGCTCCGTAGAGCAGTCCAGAAACGGACAAATATACGGCTCAAGATCCGCCATCACATGCCGCCTGTTCCAGAAATGTCAGCCAACAGGAGTCGTTCCAGGGCAGTCGTAACGTACCTCCATCTCATTGCAGCAGTTTCCTCGGTCGGGAGCATCAAATGACAGTAAGGGCATTCGAACTCCTTGGCTCCGCGCTTGGTTGGAGGCGGTTCCGGAACCGCCACAGAAGATTTGTGATCGTTCACCACGTGGGCTGTTACGATTGACCCACCTTCTAGGCGCGATGATCTGAACTGGTTGGTATTGAATTTGGAAGCCGAGGTCGCTGATATGATCGAAGCAGTCGTCCTTATACGTGGAATGGGGCGGATTGCTGTCTGCGATCCGTCCATTTTGGTGCTTGGGCCAAGTACAGTGGAGCGTCCATCCACGCTCTGCCCTGTGTGCTTCGAGGAGTTGCCCCGACCAGCCTTATCCGGCACAGCTTGAGCTAGCTTGGACTGATGCCGACTTCTGTAGTTGAATCGCCGTCGTCGAACAGTGATGGCTTTGGCCATTCGCGTGAGAAGGAAAGGCTCAGCGTCTGGCAGGCGATGGGACAGAAGGGTGGAGACGTATGCTCGAATGCAGCTTCGGTGTCGTTTCCGTACTCATCACGCATCTTCGCCTTCGCTGCAGCTTCACTTGGGCCTAACATCGATGCTTGGCGGATTGCCAGGGACACGCGATACAGACGGTCGATTGCCTGCTCAACACCTCGGACATGCTGTTCATATGGCTCAAGCTCAAGCAGCTCGTTCAAAGATTCGGTCTCAGTGCCTGCAAAGGACGAAAGTACTCCTGTTGTGGAGGTAGCTGTCTCAGAGACTGCATGTGGACTTTCCACAATCTGCGTGACCCATGAGGAACCGTTATTGCTCTGCGCAAGCTCGATTGCTATGCAACAAGTCAGTTGACGTCTACTGCGATATGGACCACGCTTGGACAGACCTCTGTTTGCGTGATCTTGTAGTGACTGGAGAAGATCAATGGTGACCTTGCGCGCTTCCCAGCCATCGCGAAGCCGGTAGTCCAGTGATGCATGGCCGCCAGCATTGACGCCGATGTTGGCAGCCATATCCTCAGGCGTCCTTGCTGATCCTCTATGAAAGGCGACCTAGCCTTACTGTTGTCGGTGACGAGCAGAGACTGGACCTTGAGCGCGTCGAGTTTGCTTTTGGTTGCCTCGTACTGCGACAAGATGGTCGTCTCCTCCATCGCGCATCGCTGTCTTCTGGAGCGACGCGAGGACACAACGCACGCATCTGTCGCCGATGATAGTGAATTTGCCAGAGGCGAAATCGTTATCAGGCTGAGGGAGGGGCAGCACTTTCGACACTCATCTTAGTGCGCCCGGTTTTCGAGGGAGAATGCCTCGCTTGAATAGCGAACCGGTGTGGATGCAACCCCGACGCCCGATTTCTGTGCAAAAGCGCAGGACTCCGCACGGATTGACCAGGGTGTGACAGCAGCTTGCATACAGTGATTGGGGCCAGAAGTTCGCACAGCCGCCTGAGCCCGGAGAAAGTACTCTTGCTTGATCAGAAAGCTTGCCCTCAACTCGACTCAACTTCTGTTCTGTCTCCCGGAACCATCCCTCGACTTTTGACATATTTGCGTTTGAGCTTAAGAGTTGGTCCTTGGAGCGTTTGTTCTCTGGCTGTCGAGCCGGACGACCAGCAACACTTACTCTTCGTCCACACCTCAAAATGGTCGCCGTTTGAGCCTTGCAGTGCTTGACACTGGATCCGCAAAGGACTGTTCACTCCAGCCTCACCTAGAGCCAGAGGAAGGCCATCCTCTGGGACAAACGTCGCTATGCTCACTGGTATCGAGCTGACCCTGGCCATTGCACCCCTGGTCATTGCTGGAACAGAGCCATACAAAAATCTGATCACCAAGGCCAGGACGCTGTCAAATCGCAAGGTGAAGAGAGAAAAGCAAATCGATTTTCTGCGCGATCTGAGCGCGGAGGTCAGTCTTTTGCAATTCACGCTCATAAACCTGGTCCACAGCTTGCCTGAATTATCAGTCGCCGACAAACAACAGCTTCTCGAGTATACGGAACTCGATGTGACTAAGAAGGACAGGCTCTGGGACAGCGTTCCAGTCCAGGAGGCCATCGCACATCGACTGAGCGGCTGCGAGGCAATTTTTACAGAACTGCTGCAAAGAGTTCTGAGCTCTCTGAATGACCTCATCAGTGACAATTCGAATGGACTAGAGGCAGTTGACATCGTCAGTAAGAGCTTATACAGTCAGACGTCACTTACTCATAGTGAACTAGGGCCAACTGGAGTCAGCGGGTATCTATGCGAAATTAACAGCTATCCGCAAGGATGGTCGGAAGGACAGTTTCATTGAGAGGTTCCAATTTACAAAGAATGAAAAGAGGCGGCTCCATGGACTCAAGAGGATTACCGAGACCAACGAGAAGCTTCAGAAGCTCCTGTCTCAATCGACCAAGGCCTCTTCTGGGACCAAAAGGATCGTCAAGGCGCGCAGCCACCATCGGAAAGGCTACAAAATGATGTCGTCGTTGTATAATGCCATGACGAGTTGTTGGACCTGCAACTGCGATGAGCCGCATGAAGCACGAGTGTGCTTGCTGAGGAGCGAAAAGCATCGCGCAGATCCAGCAGTCGCAAGCTTGGACATGTTGATGTCAGTTCGTCGAGACGGCTTCAAGGGTAGTTGGCAAGAGAGCCACGTACGCATCGTTGCCGAAGAGTGAGTAAAATTTACCTAGGGAAGGTGCAAGCTGACATTGTTGCCTCAGGAAGAAGGAACGCAGTCCAGGTATCAGCTTCCAGATAGAAGGAGCTCCTGACGTGTCGTCCCGGGAGGATATCCAACAATTGGGTGGCCTGTGCAAGCTGATCAGTGACGAAAAATATCGACAAGTCAGTCTCGGATTTGACTACGACGCGGCAGCGGCTGACAAGCTCTGGAAAGCGAAGCCTCGTCGTCTAAGCGTGATACCGGAAACAGAAACGAAGCTCAAGGAGCTGTTGTCTCAGGCTGATAGGAAGTGGACACTGAAAGAGCGGCGGCTTCTGGCAGTCGTCATTGCCCATGCGGTACTTCACTTCAGCGAAGGGCCCTGGCTGGATGAGCACTGGGATAAGGAGCACATTTCCTTCTTCCCACCAGCTGAGGAAGGCGCCGGGGTTGACTTCGCGAGGCCCTACCTCAACACCATGTTCGGCAAAGAAGTCAAGACCTCAGCGGGTGAGAATGAGGAAATCATATGGCATGAGCATCCGTCCATTCTGGCCTTGGGCGTGATCCTGCTCGAGCTCGAGATGCGCGCCTCGATCGAAGAAAGGTACACCGCAGACGGCCTGTCGAAGGGTGCCGCCAATGCGGCTACAAAGCTGACCACAGCACAGCGTCTGTTGCAGGAGTATGTGGACGAGACACATGAAAAGTATCACAGAGCGATCCAGGAATGTATCGACTGCGAGTGGATTGAGGACGGCGATGAAAGAGATGACGAGGCTTTTCGCGATGAGGTGTACCAGAGGATCGTAGCTCCCCTGGAGGACGAGCTGCGCATCGGTTGGGACATCAAGCCAGGGGACCCCGAGTTGACGCTTGTCTTTCAGGAACAATTGAGATAGTAGCATGAAGTGAATGATACATTGTGATGGCAAGAGACGACTTGAAGCCCGATCATAATTCACGCGTCGGTGTTCACCGCCTGTAGCCGCCCAGAGTCTTGTGTGCGCCGGGCCGAGCCCGAGCTTGGAAAACATCAAATTTGCTCCATTTCTTAAGGAACACCCCGCCTCCACCTTCTGAACCTTCCTCAAATCTACACCCACTTGACTCCGCCACTTGAACGAACAGCCTCCGATCTGACGAAGCGCAAGGTACGTGTACTCTGCCCGGGCGGTCCTGAGGCTCACAGCAAGTTCTATAGACTCCAAGATGGCGAACGAAACGGAAGGACAGCCAAGAGAGGTCACCGCCGCGCAGCCCAAAGCACAGCCGTGGAAGTCAATTTGGCCTGCTCCCCGCGAGTCGCAACCTCAAGCCCAGATCTTCGGTTTCAAGAAAGGAGAGAGAATGTCTTCGACGGAAATGCTGGCAACTTCTTCGCCAAGGAAGGCTGGAAGGTTGAGCAGGAGAGCAGCACAAAGTGATGCACCGATGAAAGGAAATGAGTCTGTTGATCGCGCCTCGCTCCACAGCTACAAGCTGCGATAGCGACGGCGGTGAGGACATTATGAGCCACAGGCGTCGCCCATGATCAACAATATCGCGCATCCAACGATATGTCCTTTAGCCCTTTGGTGCTTTATGCTGCTGTTCGAGCATGGTCCGGCGTTGGGCGCACTCTGCTGTTGAACTATAGCTCCACAGCTTGACTGTCTGCAAGCAAAATGAAAGTGCCTTCAATTCGCACCAAAGCATCCACGCATCATTTGATGTCAGTAGGTGACCTAGGAAAAACCAGACAGTACCGGTCGGAGGACAAGATTTCGGCCGGACATTTTATTATTTGTGCTGCCCAACGTGTGTCGTCTACCCCTCTACCACTATCACTATTCAACCCGGCATGCAACCGCCACAATCCAATCCCATACCCATTTCCTCGCCCGTGACCCACTATATGACACTGAAAAGCCATACTCTTTACGTTTCACCGCACCAGAAGGCTTCCCACGTGCGAACATCCGGCTAGAACGACATGGCATTACAGTGCGAGATGTTCGTGCCAGTTCCAAACCAGTCTCACTCTCAGAGGATGGCTGCATGCTACTGGATGACTTTACGACTCGGATGGCATACAGCGATTATGATGACGAAGACAAAATCAAGGCAGTCTATCTTCGTGATGTTGCCAACCGTCTGAAAACGCTGCTGAATGCTCAACACGTCCAGATCTTCGAGCACACTGTAAGTCATGGTAATCCCCTCTGCATCCCTGCCCACGATTTCCTGATCTGCCAACACGTTAACTTGCTTTCAAAAGGTCCGAAAGCGTCACGCCACATTCCCAATCTCTACCGGCTTGGCCTACACCTACAATCAGCCACATCCATTGCCCATGTCGACACCACATCACCATGGGCTGTCGCAATGGCGGCGCAACTCAACCCATCTCGAGCCAACGAACTACGATCAGGCAAAGCCCGAATTCAGTGCGTCAATTTCTGGAGGCCAATCACTGGACCCGTACAGGACTGGCCGCTCGCACTATGCTCAGCCACTTCCATCAAAGAGCCTAGCAAGCAACTCGAGCCATGCGATCTAGTCTACCCAGACTACGTGGTCGAGAACCGACAGGTGTATCACGACACGGGATATGATTGGTTCTACGCGAGCGAAATGATGCCGAATGAGGCATGGGTATTTCTGCAGAGTGATACTGATCCTTCGACGAAGCCTGGTAAGTCAAGTTTGCCACTGTTGTTGCTTTGGGAAGCATCGTGGCGCTGACGAGCACCAGTTGCACATACGGCATTCCCGTTGTCTGAAGACCTCGATCCGTCGTCAATGCCGGCAAGGGAGAGCATTGAGGTCCGAGCCTTGGTCTATTACGGCGGATTCGAAGACGTGGTGGATGTGGACGTTTCCAAGAGCATAACGCCTTCATGATGTTGTCCTACATACGTCGGCTGACCATTGCTGTGTCCGGGTGATATTACGGCTGTGAGATCACGCAGTGATTTGAAATCCAGACTTTGACCAGGAGATGTCTATCTCATCCTGTTTGTCCGATCCTCATTGACTGACTCTTGGCTCTTGTTTGACCATCTGGACATTGGCAACGATCAACCGATTGCGTCTGTGTTCCCAGTACTTCCAGGTCAAGAGGACTGCGACCGTCAATGGCAACGTTATGACCCAATATAGCCAGAAAAGCGGCGAGACAACACGAACGCTATTTTCAGAGGACTCAAAGTTGAACATGTTCATCCCAAAGAGGCTCTGTTGTCTGGTCAATCATATGCAGGCCGGTGGAGGGGGCGGGGTGAGTCACACATACGCAGACGAATGTCGGTGGCAGGAAAGTCGCGGTCAGAAAGGCTATTGTCAGCATAGACGAGCTGTCATAGCGTGCAGCTCTTGCGACCTCCAAGTTGCTCCTGCTGTCAATCTGGGCGACGATTGTGTTCAGCTAGTCAGACAAGTCAGTCTAGTAGCTGCGGCAGATCATTGGCGCATATACCGTAGTCATCATGCTGCCGAGCCTTTTGTCGAGACACCGGGTCTGATGCAGCTGGTTTGAGACCAGGTGCACAACATTCTCAAGCGCTTCGGCTTGCAATTTGTTCGCAACAGAAATGTCTTTCTTGCCAGCGAAGAGGCTCGGTACCTCATTCTCAAGCTGAGATAGACTGTCGCGCAGGAATTCAGCCAATGAGATCAAGAATACCAAACGTCGCTCCAGATAGATAGGGCCTGTGGTTATTCGATAAAGCTGTTGTGTATAAGAACGTAGAGTCTCCGGACTCCAGTTCCAGCCTTGGAAGCCTTCGAAGCCGCGAGTGATACCAAGCGTCCTTTCCAGCCCGACGATCTCGACCTCAAGGTGCTGTCTCATAGTGGTGTAGTATGTGGCCAAAAGCGATACCGTGAAATTCAGCATGGCATAAGGGTGTACGAAGTCCTTAGTGGCTATTTGGGCGTACTGCTGGAACTGGGAGAGGTCGTGAGACGTCAAGCCATCGAAGAGGACACGAGTTGAATTCCTCTTGACGTCCCAACTGAAAGATGCCGACCAGATCGATTTGTCCTCATTGCGCGGTGAATGGGGTACTCGAAGCATAACAACTGTATCTAGTCAACCGATGCCTTCCGAGCCAGTGGTATCGCACCAATCGATGTAGCGTTTCCTTGGTCGTCACGACCTACACGTCTTGCAAAAGCACCTGACGCGTTGCCATGCTCTCGAAGATACCAATACTGTGCTGGCACGTTCCACGCAAGAGCAATGTCTCTGAACACGGATCTGCTCACGGCCATTTTGGAGGGGTGAATGCTTTCGAAATCCTGCTTGGGGCCGTTGGGTTTCTTGCGGTGCTGCGTAAGTCTGCAAGGTCAACTTGACTTGATGGCCTGCTGCACAGCATTGTGTAGACTGACATGGCTCGAAACGAGAAGTCTGGAGTGTCTAAGTTCATCCAGTCCTTGAGCCGGTCTTGCTGCAAGGTAGCCACGCGTACTGTCCGAGTCGCCCTCTCAATCTCGAGTGTATGGATCTCATGTTGTGCGGCATACGTGTCATCCGCCCGGGACAGACGATCGAGGTACCAGTGGTCATACATCACGGATCTCAGATATCTCGCAGACGCCGGCACTAACAAGTCACAGATTATGGAGCAACCACATTGATCTGTGTACTGTCGAAAAGTTCGCTGTTGTTGCGAGTAAGTACCTGCCTGCACATGTTGAACAGAAGAAGAAAGTCCGAGTCTGCTGGCGTACCTGCTAGTACCTGTCAAGCAACCTTGGAACAGGAGCTCGTCTTCACTCAAGCCGGTAGACAAGACCGGATTTAGGCTTAGCTATCCCCTTCACATCTCTTGCTCACTTGCCAAGAAATCCAACATCTATGCTTGATACCACATGGAACCTGCGACGACAACGGGTACCTTGACACGACCTGCGACATCGCTACGGCGTCTAAATTGGGATTCGAAGCGCCGTGACCCGTCAGCAGATCTTAGTAACCTATCAAGCATGGCGTCTTCCAACACCACCAAAACATTCTACATCTCCCCCGAAGAATCAGCCACCACTTCCCGCAACTCCACCACCTCCTCAGATTCAGATGACCTAGACGATCTCACGAGCCTTCCCTTCCCGCAGCCACTTCCCCGCCAAGCCTTCGTCAGTCCCGACTTCTCCCCTGCCACGTTTCTCAGCACCCTCACCTCCAACCGCTTCCAAACCCTCGAGGATCTCCGCGCTGAACTCACCACGTTGTCACGTACCATCGAGACAGAGCTCTTTGAGCTGGTCAATGACAACTACACTGATTTCCTGGACTTGGGGAATGCGCTGAAGGGTGGGGAGGGGAGAGTGGAGGAGGTCAGGGTTGGGGTTCTAGGGTTTGAGAGGGAGTTACAGGGGCTGAGGAAGCGGGTGGATGGCGAGAGGGGACGAGTGAGGGAGGTGCTTGCGGCTAAAAGGAAAGTTGGCCGTGAGATCGCTGTTGGGAGAGGATTGTTGGACGTGAACAGGGAATTGGACGAACTTGAGGGGTGGCTGGGATTGAAGCCTGGGAGTGGTGTGGGCGGTGCGGTATTGCCGACACAAGAGCAACAGACGGCTGAGGTGAGAGACGAAGACGATGAGGACGAAGAGGGTGGAGGCAAGGGTGTGGAGTGGAGTTCCGCGTGGGACGACGACATCGATGATGATCATCTTGAGGACAGCGACGATGAGGCAGAGGAAGGCGCCATCCCTCCACGGCTGAAGCGCAAAACTGAAAAGTTCCTGGTGGTACGCGTGCTCTGCGAGAGGTTCGGAAGAGAGCACCCGTTCATCGCAGCGCAACAAGATCGGATCAGGAAGATCAAGGAGACATTGTTGGTTGACATGGATGCAGCAATCCGAGCAGAGACGAGCGTCAAGGGAAAGCAGGCAATATTGAGGTTGCGGAGCGAGGTACAAGAATAGCAGGCAGGCAGACTCCTGTCCATTTATTGAAATTCCAGAATTTCGATGCTCCACGGCTCTCGCTTCTAGATGGTGTTCCAACCATCGTCTTGCTTCCAAATGGCGAGACTTTATATAATGGTCTGATGTACACAATGCCTGGTTCTCCTGCGACATTAGGCTGCGGACAGCTGCGCTGTGCTGAGCGAATTCTCGCTTGCGAATGTCCCATTCAAACTGATCCCCGGCCCTGTGCTTGAGCTCAACACAACTTCATCAATGCTCTTGACCGCATTCTGCGGTAACCTCGAGATCTCCTCCCTGATCCTCTTCAAGAACGACTGCAAATTATCCCTTAACATCTCCGGCTTATACGCCAGCGTGCCGACCGCCAACCTCACACATCCGAATCGCTCGCGATATACGGCACCACCCATCATTTGCCGCAATAACTTCATCGGATCCGCCGTTACGGTTCCGTTCTTGACGTTCGGCATCAAACCCCTTGGACCCAGTATTCGTGGCAATCCAGCAGAAGCCATTGGCTTCACGGAGTTCGGATGCGCTATGCACCGGTCAAACTTCATCTCTTTCAACTCCTCAAAGATCTCCTCCTGTCCCACGAGGTAGTGGCCGGCGGCTTTGGCTTCTTTGTACACTTTGCTGTCGGGCGGGCAGATGATGGCGTATTTGACTTTGTCGGATTTCACAGGGTGCGGTAGCTGGATCTGATTCTGTCGGATCACAGGGCCCGAGCGGTTGGTTTTGAGCTTGACGTGCGCTTCGTATTTGATGTTGTCGGGCTTGTGCCGGACTTCGGCGGCTTGGAGGTATCGCATAGCGTCACAGAGCGAGTACTGGTCAATCTTTTTCAGGTCGTAGGTCTTGAATTGTGGGTTGCGGTTCTTCTTCGCTTTCTGTTTTGCGATCTTCTCCCGCTCTCGCGCCGTCTTGCTCTTGCCAGAGTTTGCGCTTGATGTTGGCGCCGTTGTCGAGAAGCATCTACATATTGACGAGCTAGGAGGATTGTATGATCGTGCAGTCGAAAGAACTCGAAGGTATGAGGCCCTGCTCACGGGGACAGCGTTCATGGTACTTCGTGGGATTTTCTGAGCTGCGAAACAGATAGCCTTGCAGCCTACCAGATTTAGTCGGTCGTGGAGGCGTGATCTCTGTCAGGTGTATTATCGAAGTCTCCTGGCGAGGAAGGTATTTCGATGTTCAAGTTGGAGTACCTGGTTTTCGGCAGCGGCGCGCAAGTGGCCCAAAAAGGAAAGTCATCAGCTCGTGCTAAATGCCCCTGTTATTCTGCGCGGCCTTCGTCTTTGAATTTGCGCCTCACCTCTATCTCTATCTGCTGGCTCAAGTCTGAATGTGGTATTCTCCTTTGATCTTACCACGCTATATCAGACCAATGACTACGTTTTGCCGCGTCGATGATTCCGAACAGCCAGCCAGGTTGTGACCAAAAGTCCTGGGCGGTTTTCCTACAGCGCCCTCCCCAGCCCTATTTCACGGGCGAACCCGTGGAACGGTCGCTGTGCGCCTTAGCGGAGGGCTTGAGCACACCCGCTCGACCCGGTACCAGGGTATAAAATTCGTCGTTGGGCGCACTACTGATCGAGTTGTCATAACATGACTACTGTGGAAGGGCAATCATGAACCAAGTGGCCTTTACGCTGATCTGATATGCTAGCGACTTGGCGGCATGATAAGATTAGATGAAAAACTCTGTCTAGCCAATGAATATCAGGTAAGTCTGGGAGCCACCACTTGAGCGGAGGAGGTTTGCTAGAGAGGGCGCGACGGGATGGCATGGCATGGCATGGCATGGACATGGTGCCATGCCGTGCCCGATGTCGGCAACGCCTACCGAGAAACATAAGAAGGTATATCTGAGGGAGTGCTCCCATATTCTGCTCCCATCATAAGTCTCTACAGTACGCAGTCCTGCGGCGAGGTTGCTTCTTGCCATGGCTTCGACACGTCACCCGACTGGCCGACTTAGCCCAATTGATCATCCACAAACGATCACCCCAGCGAGCAACAGTGAGAACGCGTGCCATGACATGGATGAGATAGTTCCAGTCGACCAGGACAACCGGGCAAGCGCCGAGAACGATATTGAAAAGCCAATCGTACCGGACGCGACCGCTCAGGCAGGTGTACGAAAGATTGAGGCCATTACTCTGAGCTGGAGCAAGGTCTCCCTTGCGACATTGCTATGCTTGTAAGCCACATCTACCCGAGCTCGACCACGATGTCGTACCTACACATGCTAACGGCGGAGCGCACAGGATCTGGATGCTCTTCCTTGTCAATGGCTTCAGGGGGGTCATCATGGGTAGCCTCCTGCCATACGTGACCAGCGAATGGCAGTTGCATTCCCTGCTGAACGTGGTCGGAATTGTCTCGAGCTCGATGACTGCGGCTATCTACATTCCCATGGCCAGGGTTTTGGATGTCTGGGGTCGTGCTGAGGGCTTCCTGCTAATGCTTTGCTTCTCTGTTGTGGGACTGGCGATCGCGGCGGGTTCCGGGAACTTGCCTACATTTTGCGCTGCACAGGTATGTACTAGCAGTTGACCTGCCTACAGACATGTTTCTGATGGAGGAGTAGGTCTTCTATTCCATCGGCAACTCAGGGGTGACCTACGTTATTTGTGTGCTCGCCGCAGACGTGACGAATCTAAAGAATCGTGGCCTGGCTTTTGCTTTCACTTCCTCGCCTTACATGATCACGCTTTCGCCGGATCGAAAGCAGCCGAAGGCTTCCTGCTTAATGTTAATTGGAGGTGGGGGTTCGGAGCGTTCGCGATAATCTTGCCTGTTGTCGGAGCTGCCGTGTTCGGTGTACTCAGGCACGCGCAGGTCAAGGCGCAGAGAAATGGTCTTCTTACGGAGGAGAAAAGTCGTCGCAGCATGGCTGAGACTGTCACATGGGCGGTCCGCGAGCTCGATGGTAAGTCCGCGTCTGGCACTCCCAATATACTGCATGGAGCTGACACTTTGTAGTTCTGGGCGTCGTGCTGTTCGCTTGTGGTTTGACAACTTTCCTCCTGCCTTTTACATTGGCAACATCCGCCCCCAGCGGCTGGCGCACAGACTACATCATCGCGATGCTGGTCACCGGCTTCGTGCTGCTTGCATTGTTCGCGCTACAACAGATCTACCTGGCGCCCTTCCCGTTTCTGAATGGCCGATTCCTGCTCGACCGAACAGTAATCGGCGCATGTCTGATCAACTTCACCTACCAGATAAGCTACTACTGCTGGAACCGATATTTCACCTCATTTCTCCAGGTCGTCTACAATCTGTCGGTCGCTGAAGCAGGATACATTAACTCAACCTTTCAGGTCCTGTCCGGTGTGCTGGCATTCATCGTTGGATACGCGATACGCCGTACTGGCAGGTTCAAATGGGTGTTCTACGTTGCAGTACCCATCTACGTCTTTGCCCTCGGCCTTATGATCCACTTCCGCGTCCCTAATGGCAACGTCGGATACATCATCATGTGCGAGATCTTCATTTCCATCGGCGGATCTATCTTCATTCTCTGCTGCCAGCTCGCCGTCCTTGCTGCGGTTGACCACCAGCACGTTGCGGCGTCACTAGCTCTGCTGTTCGTAACTGGGACCATTGGTGGCGCCGTGGGCTCGACTGTTTCGGGCGCCATCTGGACGAACACTTTTCCAACGGCATTGGCGAAAAATTTGCCAGAGACCGCCCTGCCAAATTTGGCTGTGATCTATGGCGATATTGTTACGCAGCTATCCTACTCGGTAGGCAGCGCGGAGCGCTACGCTATTCAGCAGTCGTATGGGTATGCGCAGGTGCGAATGCTGGCAGCGGGTACAGGAATCATGTCGTTGTCCTTCATTTGGATGTTCATGATCAGGAACTACAATGTGGCAAAGATGACACAGACGAGGGGTGTGGTATTCTAGCATGATTCCGCCGCTTGCGCTGGTGCACGACTAATCCAGGCGACGCTCTGTTGGTACTCTATGTACTCGGAGGTTCCCTTCAAGCTGCGTCAGTGCAAAATGGGCCACGGTGTTCTATCACTACATACTTCTCATACGCGCAAGGCATGCTTTCGAGGCTACAGAATAGAAATACAGGTACCTTACTGCCACCTATGTAGGACTGCGGGATCTTGAGTATGCGAGCTCGTACATCTGACATTCTGATCGATGCTTTGTGAGACTGGAGTGTAGCTTGTACGAGACGCGTCGCGGTGAATATATCCGCTCCCACTCGTACTCGAACGCCAAGACCGAAGGTACTCGTTCCGATCGACATCGGATGCGACGACGTAACTCACAGTCGTATGGTTGTCTTTCCATATATCATTTATACTGTATGATAAATTACCACGATCTCTGGACCGACTCTGCTACTAGAATAGATAGCTTCAGTCCACCAGCCAAAGCCAGCCGCTGCATATACCGAGTAGCTTCAGGTCAATACACGCCTCGCAGCTATGGCAGCATATAGCATATGATTGTCGAGATGCAGCACCACGTCATGCTAATATAAATCATTGCCATCTCACGAAAGGGTGGTCAGGTACAATTATAAAGTGTATACATATACAAAGCTTACGAAACGATGCAACGATCAGTCGCGTCACAACTTGTACGACACAAGATCGTTACACAGTATCGGGTAGGCGCGTCTACCAGTCGCGCGTTTTCAACATCTCTGAAACGAGATGTCGACTTCACGCATGCGGTAAGTCTGCTCATGCGAACCACCGAAGCCGGAGCGATAATTGACAGACTATGGCGTAGGTCATAGGTGGCGGCGCCGTTGGGCTTGCGATCGCCCGAGAGTTGGCTAGTCGCGAAGGTACATCAACTCTACTGATAGAAAGGCATGGGAGCGTCGGGACAGAGACTAGTAGCCGCAACTCCGAGGTATGCTATCTCTATCTCTATTTGTCGCCAGCGAATTCGATAGCGGAAACAAAGAAGCAGTGAAAGTTGCCCTGTTTCCATTTCCTGCTAACCCCTTTCCCTCTCTGCTGAACCGTCCAGAACCAACCGTGTACTGACGATCGCTCTGCCCAGGTCATACATGCCGGTCTGTACTATGGTCCGGATACGCTGAAAACAGAGCTGTGTATGAAGGGCAAGCACATGCTCTACGACCTCTGCCGCAAACACTCCATCCCGCACCGGAACACCAAGAAGTGGGTCGTGGCTCAGGATGAGCAGCAAATGGCCGCCCTCGGGAAGATCGACTCCTTCGCATCAACAATAGATGTGCCTACGCGCTTCTTACCCCGGAAGGAGATCGAAGAACGGGAGCCCGACATACGCGCCGAGGCAGGCGTTCTAGAGAGCGAGAGCACCGGCATCGTCGACTCCCACGCTCTCATGGCCTATCTCGAAGGCGACTTCGTTGAACGCCTGAACGGTGTCGAAGCATTCCACACCTCCGTCACCCGCATCGAGGCCATCGACAACGGTCGCAGTGGCTGGCGGATCTATACGCGTCCAACCTCGAGCATTGGCGACTCAGCCGTCGAAGAGACATCATCGAGACATCAACCCTGATCAACTCCGCCGGTCTCGGTGCCATTCCCATTAACAACCTCATATTCCCTGCCGGCGATGCCCGCAACAGAAAACCCTACTACGCCAAAGGTTCCTACTTCAGCTACGCCGCGTCTCACCCGAAACCGTCCACCCTGATCTACCCCGCTCCCGTCCCTGGACTGGGAGGTTTGGGAACCCACCTCACTCTCGATATGGCAGGTCGTATTCGTTTCGGCCCGGACGTCGAGTGGACGGACGACCCGACCGACCTGGCACCGAATGCTTCGAGGCTGGGCGACGCAATCAAGGCTATCAAGGAATACCTTCCTGGGATTGACGAGGATGCGGTGGACTTGGACTATTGCGGAGTGCGGCCGAAGTTGAGTGGAAAGGGCGAGCCGGCCGCGGACTTCTACATCAAAGAGGAGGAAGGCTATAGCGGGTTCGTGAACTTGTTGGGGATCGAGAGTCCTGGGCTGACGAGTGCTTTGGCGATTGGAGAGATGGTAGGGAGATTGTTGTATGGCAGTGAGAGGGGAGGTGGCGGGGGCAAGGCGGGGACTGAGGACTCGGATTCGGATGATCCGAAAAGGTGGTTCATGGGGCTGAAGTAGGAGGCGAGCAAAGCGATACTACTTACGTTGGGTGGTTGTTGCCTAGGCTGTCGTTGAAGAATTGTATAGGTGCTTCAATAGTGACTCCGCTGGCATGTAGACGTGCGCTGGCCAGCCGTGTCGATTGGCCATACGGAAATTTTGGACACGATACCTAGGTAGGATGTCATACCATGAATATAAATCCATTGGCTTGTGACTGCAGGGTTTTCGTCGCTGCCAATTCAGCGCGGACATTCACGGTCCATTCGTGGGCGAGTCCTTTGCTACATGCCTGGAGGGTCTATATGCTGCGCTGATTCCACCAGTGCGCAGAACGATGAACAAAGACAATGATGGATGTGCACACGACTTAAGCATGGGAACGAGCTCGGGTCAACCGGCTTCACATGTGATTCGAGCTCTGTCATCCGGTCTGCCGAAATTGCGGTCTAGTATTGTCAACCGGTCTGGCGAGAGGCCTGATTCCCAATCTGATCAACCGGTCTCACAAAGTTTGCAGTAATCTCTTCGTCCGGTCCTGCCAGACTGCCTTCGCATTTGCTTGTTCCGTGCGAGATCTTTGAAGCGCGCTTCAGCTGTTCCTTCCCTACCGTGAATGGGTGGAGCGTCTGTCAGACTCGATTTAATTTGACTCGACGCATACTTATTCTAAGTATACTTGAGATAGAAGTTGGGTTCGTCTGAAGCCCGAGTCAGGGCCATCACTCGGACAGAAAACAGCCGAGTAATCACAAAGACGGAGATGCCACCTGAGCTTCACCGGCGCAGTGATGATCTCCATCCGAATGGAAGCTCAGGTCAAGTCGATTGCAACCAAAGGCAAGGTTGCCTCGACGTGCTGCGGCAGTGTGCTGCGTGGAAACATGTACTCTGGCCTGGCTACGCTGAGCCGAGACTCCAGCATCACATCCACTGCTTCTGATATCCTCATGTGGTGCTGTTGAGGAATTGTGCACGATGGACGTGAAAGAGCAAGTAAGACTGACCAAACAGCTCACAGACTACCCGACCACGATCGATAGAAGCCTTAGGAGGCTTGAAAGTAGGAGAAGCGATGAACCACCCGGTGATAACGAAGCTGCACGCGTTCTTGGCCCCCGGATGAGACCATGTTGTACCTGAGATGATTTGTAGTGAGTTTGGGAGTATTCAAGTCCGGTGCCGGGCTCGCAAAATCGTCGGGCGTCCGCTTGGCATGGATGATTATCACGAGTATGAGGATGTGGTCTTGAGAAGTCGCACCTCTCTGAAATGGAGATTTCTGGACCCGAAGTGCGAATACCACCACATGCGCCACCCTGACAGTTCAGAAACCCTCCAATGGACCACGCAGTTGTGGTAGCACCCAAGCATGTCAGTCTGACTGTCAGAGGCTTCTCACTTGGGTTCCATTTCAGTCGCAGGCTGAGGTAGAGCAGTGCGACAGCTGGCTGGCAGTCTTGGCATGATGACTACACTCCAGGCCGTTCTCGGATGAGCTGCCGAGGACGAAGTGCGAGTGTTTGCTCTTACCCGCTAGAGCTCCCGTACGAGCGACCGTCGCTGGGTCAAGATCTCGTATCCCTAGGCCAGAGCCGACTGTGTCAGTTTTCTGAGGCTACAGGCCTGTAATGTCTGCAAAGGGACAGACTCGTGACTGGTATAAGACGATGGCGTTCTGCACGTTGGAAACAGAACACTTATACCACATACACACATCAGCAAGCCAGCTCAACATCACGATTACTTTTTCCTTTGTTATTTCCTTTGTCTTTCCTTTGTCGTTTCTCTCAAATATGAAATCGAACTCAGTCATTCTCTTCACCCTCACCTCGCTCGCAGCCGCCCTCCCACAGCATATTTCGAAGACGAATGCGCTCCTTCAATCACGCCAGGCACTCTCGGATCCCGGCTTCAATACTATCTGTAGCGGGGTCACCTCCTGCGCCCTCAGCAAACAGGAATGGGACGACTTCAGCCTAGACGACTTCCTCCTCTTCAACATCCAATCGTTAGGTCCAGGTGGCAACTTTCCTCAGAAGTTCGCGGATGGAAACCGAGCGTTCGACGGACCATCTGACGACCTCAGCGGCTGTGCATCGCTTGACGGCCCTTGCGATCATCGGTCCGGTTTCTCTCAGTCAACGGTCGACAATTGTCCGGACTTGACTTCGGAGACTGTCTGCGCGAAATACGGTGACGCAAGAGCGGGCATTGTGATCGATAACTGGGTAGCGCTGCACAATGGAGTGAAACTCCAGGCGCTCGCTGTAGCTCAAGCGCGGGACAATCTGGTTGCGCAAAACTTCGTATCTGACCTGCTGGATGGAATGGCCGAGGAGCAGGGCTCATTCCTTGATGAGATCGTGGAATTTGTGGTGACTCTGCCGTTGCAGCTATTCAAAGCTCCTGTGCTTGCCGTCAAGCTCGCTCTGAAAGCATTTGCCACCCTGGACAACCTGACCATCGACACAATTCCCGACGGGGGTATCTCACCGTTGTAAGCATTTGACCTTGTACCCTACATTCGTCCTTTGGTCTCAAGACAGCACTAACGCCAACGCAGCATCAAGCAAGCTGTTGCCAACCAGGAAATCAAGGACGAGAGGGACAGAGCCAAGGATCAGATGGCGAGACAACTCGACCTGATTGTTGAAGGCGAGCAGCAACGTCTTACCTTCGTTCTCAAGTCAGTGTTCAACGGCGTGTCTGAGCAGAACATCTTCACGGCGTCCGACAGGGAGCAGGCAGCTCGCGATACTATGGTCTTCAAATTCGCCCAGTCCGGCGGATTTCTTCAAGGCAACGGCGACATGGCCACTCTCGAAGAGCTCACAGCGGCCGCGGAGACGACCATGAAGAACACTATCGTCTCTGCCGTGATGAAGGTATACAAGTGGCAGGTCATCCGCGTCTTTGGCCTCGTCTTGAACTTTCCCGGTGAGCCCGTAGACCCGAAAACCTGCATCGATGGGTTCAAAGGTCTTCCCGATGCCTTGGGAGCACCCTGCCTGGAATTCCGCAGGGGTGGCTCAATTTCTGATCCGAAGATGGAGAACCCGGATGTCATACAAAAGGCCGTCGACTGGCCGGCCATGGCACAGAACGCTGATGACTGCAAGGGCGGCGAGCCTGACAACTCTCCGAACGCTGAGATCGGGCAGGATGGATTGCCGAGATGTTTCTACAACTTCCCAATCACCACTGTCGATTTTTCGTAGTGACAGTTGGCAATGCAGCGTGGCTGTGTATGCCGCTGCCGTTGACACTCATTTAGTTCTCTAGCCTTAATAACATATGTGGTCGCGACGTTATTCCGAAGAGAAGGTCCGCGGCAGCCAGGTTGAATGACTGCCTCGTAGACGACTTTTCGGGCCCGGGGCTGCATTGCGCCGACTGCGTAAACATAACGCGCAGAAAAGCGCATCGTGCCGCCAAATTAGGTGCCGCGTTGCGATTCGTGCTTGGCGGTCGTTGCCTCAGATCGGAATCGGTTTCCTGAGATTTCGCCGCGATCCCACGATCGTCCCCTAAACATCACTGCGTCATCCTCCTTTTTTGTACCAGAGCACTGCCAGGCTCACAGTGTTTTGCGTTTATCAGCACCTCATCACTATTGTTAGCGACGTTACGGACGTTGAAAAATGGTCAGGTGAGCTAAGTTTGACTGTACTTAAGAGTAGTGCTTTGGCACGGAACCGTGAACATCATCTGCAACTGATCTGCTCGTGTTTCGCGAGCCTCAAATCGCCAAGATGGTCGTTCACGTCCTCGACAACTATTACCTGGCGATCACACTGCTCATAACAATCGCCTACCAGCTGATCGCATTCGCAATCGCGTTCTCTCTCAAGTTCGACAAGATCACCGACTTTGCGGGCGGCACCAACTTCATCCTTGTGTCTGTTCTGACGCTCGCATTTTCAGAGAGTCCCGATGCCCGACAAATCGTCGCATCGTTGTTCATCATGATCTGGGCTGCGCGCCTGAGCGGCTTCCTGCTCTTCCGCATTCTCAAGACCGGCAAGGACGACCGCTTCGACGACAAGCGCGACAAGTTCTTCCCCTTCCTCGGCTTCTTCGTGTTTCAGATGATTTGGGTCTGGATTGTTTCAATGCCCGTCACGATACTGAATTCGCCAAAAGTCCAGCAGTACCCTCAGGAGAGCTTCGGCACAGCGAATGATATCATAGGTGTGATTGGCTGGGCGATGGGATTTGGAATCGAAAGTGTGAGCGATGTGCAGAAGTATCGCTTCCGCAGCAACGATGCCAACAAGGGCAAGGTCTGTGACAAGGGCTTCTTCAGCTGGTCTCGTCATCCCAACTATGCTGGCGAGATCTTGACGCAGTTTGCGATTTACACCATGTGCGTGTCGCCTGCCTCATACAAGAACACGCCGACCGGCTCAGGACCTTACGCCGCCCTGTACGCCTCCATCGTCGGGCCCATCTTCCTGACGGTCTTGCTGCTCTTCGTCTCTGGCCTCACTCTTCAGGAACGACCAGGCGCGAAGAAGAAGTACGAGAAATCTGGCCCCAATGGCAAGGAATGGCTTGACTACAAGGCCTACACGGAACGGACGAGCATTTTGATCCCAATTCCGAGCAAGCTGTATGCGCCTCTGCCGTTGTTCATCAAGCGGACTCTGCTCATGGAGTGGCCGATGTACCGCTTTGATCCCGCGAAGCATGCAGACCAGGACAAAGTCAGAGAGCGCGAGGCGGAAGAAGGTGGAAGGCAGGATCGGAGCGAGAGCGAAGCCACGCGTGTTGATGCCCAAGACGGGAATGTGAGTCGCAATGGGAGTAAGGATGGTTTGAACAGTGACAGGCATTAGTTGTGGTGTTACGAGACGTTTGGGTGACTTTGTGCTTACTTTTGAGCGTTGTGCAGCGTGCATTGCATCCGATAGACATGAATGACTTATACCTCGATTGATTCACAAGATGTTTTCAAACAGACTTGCTGTCACATCAGTCCAGACCGGCTGACGCCAACTCTGGAAGCTTGGGACCGGATGACACTGGCAATTGGAGTTGGGGCCGGATCGGTCATCCAAATCCAAGGATGCCGGTTGACATCACTTGGAACTCACGTTTGTATCAGGTCCTGCTCAAGTATGTTCCATGACATTCCACAGACCACAGCGACGGGGCCACAAACCGGCAACCAAGGACTAACTCTCAACGGCTGTCAACCTTCACCGCTGTATGAAACCATGGTAGAAGTTGTCGCACACCCACGAAGACTGGTCTGCAAAACATGCAATCCTATCTTGCTCAGAAAGGATTGGGCAGCAAAGTGTTGTCGCCGTTTACCAGGCCGTACTCTGCACACATGGCAGCCCACTCCGCATCACCGATAGGATTGTTAATGAAGTCGAAGGGATCATACTGACCAGGTATACCGGTTGCAGCAGTCAGTGGCAGCGCAAAATCAGGCTGTGCAACTGGGAATGTCGCTGAAGCCCGCATCGGTGTGCGCGAAGGAGATAGATTGGAACCTGACCCCAAGCCATTGAGTACGAGGCCGATGGCGTGAGCGACCTTCTTCGCGTCCTGACTCCTCGGACTAATGTCAATGCAGATATCCAGTGCACGCCGAAGGGTGTGAACGAGCTCTTGCTCCAGAGCAGTTCTTGAGGCAAGGCTTTCGCGTCTTGCCTTATGCTGTATACAGCCAAACACGCGGTCGTGATTCCGAAAAGGAAGTCGTTGACTGTGAAGCAATTCAACATCCACTTGGTGCTCTCCAACTGCCCTCCCGGTGCGAACTCGGCGTACATGCCGAATATCAAATTCATCACTGCTCGAGCAGCTTCAGCCCCGGAGGTAATGCTCTTTTTGCGTCCCTCTGGCATGTAAGGCCGATGAAGGACGCACAGATTCTTGAGGTAAGTCAACTCGACATATAATCTGGTCATCACAAGGAATGGAGAATCGACTGCAGATTCCGCAAACGGTCTCACTCGGAGGACCTGCGGGACCTTGGCGTGCATTCTCCGGACCTCAGCATCAAGTCGTAGAGCGTTATCGTAGGAAGTTTTGTTGCACCATAGAGCGTTCTCACATACTCTGCTGAAGGTGGGTATGAATCTATCCTTGACAATGAACCACAGGAAGCGCGTAGCTCAGACTCTGGCCGAGATGGAGGCAGACTCACAGAGCTCTCATCGAAGTCCGAATCCAGCAGATTCCTTGGTGACTGCGTATCACTCAGTTCTAGCCTGATATTGCTGGGCAGACCGAGTTGAAAAGACAGCATGAGATCCATCTGCTTACATGTTGCCCAAAATCGACGTCTCATTTCTCCTTCGAAAGGCGAGAAGGAGCCGACAACGTCGGGATCTCGGTGATAGCCCAGACGATATGCGTGCCGGACGCTCATGGCTAGGATGGCGCCAACCTCTGGGGATGAATCCAAGCTGTGGAAGTGCTTTGCTTGGGCATACAGAAGCAGGGCTTCTGGCGCAAGCTGCTGCGCTAGATTATAGTGACCGAGGACAAGGCACTCGCCGGCAGCCACTTGAAGCGCTTGGGGATTTGCGAGCATGATCGTACTGCCTGATGTGGCTGATACTCTGGCCGCCATGAAGCAGAGCGAGAACAACATTGAGAGCCACAGTGGCTGCACCTCGGAGGGGCTCTTCCAAAATTCGTTGCATTGTCGTTGAAAGTAGCCAGTATGTAGGATGGGGAGGATGAAAGTCTCGCCGTTGAAGTAGACGGACAGCAGGCGCTCGACATCATTTTTGGGAGGCATGTGGTTGTCGATGATCTGGTCGATTGAGTACATTCTTGGTAGCCCGTGAATGACCTCTTCGGGCGGACTGTCGACTGGGGTTTCGTACGCGTTAGCGTCGCCATCTTCGTCTAGCAGACCGCGCAGCTCCTGGATATCCCGAAGCATCGCAGACCAATGTGTTGAACCTGCATAGCCATTCTGCGGCGCTACGACTGGTCTGACAGGAGGCGCCGAGTCATTGCTATCATTAATCAAAGCGAGATTTGAAGGGCCTTCTGAGGGCAGGCTCTTTCTCTGCTCCTGCATCAGCTCGATCACCATTGCCTCCAAGTGCGCCAGCTTCTGTTTCTGTTCCGCGACATTCTGGTCATCTTTGGCCTTCTGCTCGCTGCGTCCAGTGTAAACGCATCGCGCAACATCACCGCGCTTCACACAGCTACTGCATGGCTGCTTCTTGTCGCATCCCAGCTTCGCAGAACGACATGGTGCACATGTCAATGTCGCGCGCGGTCGCTTCACCACCCGATCTCCTTCTGGACCTTGTACGCGGAATCTACCTGTGAAGTTCGAGATGTCTGACATAGGTGCTGCTAGCAGGCTACGAAAGTTCGACGCCGGAGAGTCCACCAGGAAGGCAAGGACGCGCTAGGTGGTTGTTCAGGGGCGATAGGTAACCCCGCTGCCCACTGAGACCCCGCGAAATCGTGCTGTACGCCAATTTTCATTCCCATGATCCATCTCGTTCGCATCACCATGATTGGATTCCATCATTGTTTATTGCCTTGCCTACATCTCCATCTCTTTTTCCTTCTATCACATCCTTCACAAAAGCACCTCCGATCGCAGGGTCCTGCGCGCCCATGGCTTTGAGCTTCTCCGCCCCATACCCTAGACCTGTCGCGAGCCATCCTGGACTCACACTCCATATCTTCACATTATCGTTGCCCAAGATCCTCGCCCACTCTCGCATCATCATGTTTAATCCTGTCTTTGCCGATCGATACGCTGGTATGAAGGCCTCCAACTTTGGCCAGCCTGCCTCTGGCGATTGATTGACTTTCAAGGATTGGTTGCCATGGTCAGTGAGTGTGGCAGTAGCGCTAGTCATGAAGATGAGGCGTGGGTCCGCAGACTTGAGGAGAAGCGGCATCAAGGCGTGAGTGATCATCCATGTACTTGTGGTGTTGACGGACCAAGTCCGATTCCACATGTCGCGCATTCCGATTTCGCCCGTGGCTACTTGTTGGTCGAACTGGGCGCCTAGATCCATCAGCATATGGAAGAGAAGCGCAACGAGCTTGCCCTAAAGTACCTGCGTTGTTGATCAAGACATCAAGCCGTCCATACTGCTTCTCGACGTGACTGCACAGGCTCGATATGGAAGCATCGTCCTCGATATCGATTTGAACCGCCTCCAACCGTGTCGAGGATGAGGCCTTCACCAACTCGGCTTCACTGAGAGCTGTCTGCGCTTTGTCGAGGTCACGACCTCCGACTAGGATGGTGTATGTGGCATTGGATTGAGATAGCGCCTTCACAATCTCGAAGCCAAGGCCAGTGTTGGCGCCGGTGACGAGTACGATACGAGACGACATGTTGAGCTCTAAATTGACTTGTACCATTTGATTTGCTTCCTCGAATCGACGGCACATATATACCAACGCGCGCTGTCGGTCGCGGGCTACTGTACAACCGACATCCAAGACGGTCTTAAGCGGAGCATTGAGGGATTACCCAAACAGGTTGTCTTGGCGGCCGAGAGACCCCTAAGTACCCTGCTCCGAAAGGTTTGACTTTTAGTATGTTACTAACCGAATCGAAAGCACTCGACTCGATGTCACGATGCGCCCTTGAAGCTACACTTACTATCGCTCAAGCACAGCGTCGTATATGCCGTCACCAGCTCGGCTCAATGGACCAGAACTGTAACCCGTCATCATCGCCCGTTGGAGTCATCGGGTTGGTCACAGCACTCATGAGCAAACAGTGCAACTCGTCAGTGCTTCTCCTCATCAGTTGTTTCTAGCTCATCCTTCCTGTGCCCCACCAGGTGTGGCCGCTCAAGCTGAACGTTGACTTGTCTTCACAAATGTTAGTCACCTCGTTGGCGATGATGTAGAGGAAGTTACCTGGTCAGCTTGTCATCAACGCCTCCGACAAACAAAGCACCGAATACCGCTAGGCCTATCGTCGTGAGCATGTGAGGGTTCACCGAGCAAGACCACTTACCCCCGAAGGCGATTGTCACCAGATAGACCAACTGGAATGCACCGACGTATACCGTCTTCTGAGCATCTAGGCCGACTCCCAGTACGGTGGCGTTGAAGTCCTCCAGAGCGGTCAAGTTCGCGATTTGCAATGCCCCTGAGGTATTAGCCCGGGCTTCATTTCTCGGAAAGGCCTCTTACCGAGAAAGGTTGCGACAGAAGTTGGTGGCAGGCCAGCCTCCACAACCGCTTCGCCCACTTCGACGGCCCACGTGTCTGCTATTCGGTTGTTGAGCAAACTTGAATAGATGGCTACTCCAACGGCACCACCAACAGCACGAATGGAATTTAGCAGCCCAGTCGCCAATCCAATATCTTCGTCCTTGGCGCCCAGCTGTACTATAAGTGTTGCGACGCAATTCGTGGCACCTATCATGGCCGAGGCAATGCCTACGAAGGCGATGGCTCGCGCGGGCGTGTGCTGTGTGACGGTAGCGTTGAGTGCCAAGAAGAGAGCCATGATAGTGACGACAAAGATGAACTGCCACCGGGTCCGACGGAGCGTTCCAAAGGTTTGCGCGAAAATCAGCAAGCCGACTAGAGACCAGTTCAGTACGTGTTAAGGGACGGAATCATTGTCTTGACGTACCAGTCGCACTCCCTTGGTTCGCAAGTGCATACCAACCGACTGTACTCGGATCTGTGGTAAACAGTCGAGCGATTTGTTGCGGCCACAAAGTCCCGAGGCTGATCAGGGCCATTCCAGTTACGAACGTCACGCCGTACGGAACAACCACAGTCCTCACATTTCGAAAGAGATGAGGAGGACAGATCTTGGCAGTCGTCTCCGGACTGTATACCTCCCACAGTGGGAAGGCAACAAAGACACAGAGGCCGCCCAGGATCAATGGACACAAGACAGTGGCGCTCGTCCACCGATATGGGTTTCCTCCAAACCCTATGCCGATGAGGAACACAGTGAGACCGCCCGCAAAGAGAGTTATACCAACAAAATCGAGCTCTGCGACCTGTTGGCGTCTGCTCTTGCCCTCCGGGTGAAGAGTGAGGAAGTCTGGAGGCCAGTAGCAGATCATGATCAGTACAAAAGCGAGGGCGTTGACGATCAAGGATATGTAAAAGGTCCAGCGCCAGTCTGCTACTCGGATGATGCTGTATGCTTATGGTAAAGTCAGAATTGAAAGCCACAGAGTTTGTTGCTGAGTAGCGCAATGCTCACCTATGGGTGCTCCAAAGGCAGAGCCTGGTAAAGAGACGAGTGTCACTATGCCCAATGTCGTGCCTCGATGCTTCTTCGGCACAAGCTCGTTAACCGCCGCCCAGGCAAGTTGCTGAAGTCCACCAGCCAAGCCCTGTGGATCGTGTCAGTGCCGGCGAAGACGCGTGGGTGGGATGTCCGCTCACGATGAATGTATTTCCGAGTATCACAAGCGAGACGTTGTGGGCCCTGGGACAGTCAGTATGAAGAATCCTTGCCCCTCGTTATGGCCAAACCACTTACCTGGAATTGATAGCGCATCCAATAATCCCCAAAGTATTCTGCCGGTATTGGTCAGTCTGATCACGAAATTCGGAATTTTGCAAGAGGCAGTGGAAGGACAGATGTGCTTGAGGCCTGACGATCGTGAACTCGCCGCCAGGAGAGCTTCAAAGATGGCAGCGCCTTTCCCCCGGGCTATAAGATGATCCACGACATCATCCAGAACAAGCATCTCTCTTGTTCAATCAAGAGTGCCCTGGTCGACTGATGATTCAGGTTCACAAAAAGCGGATAGACTTACGCCTGCCAAAAAGAAGTTGCGACGCCCAAAAATGTCGCTGAGTCTGCCGGCAACGGTCATAATCACAGCGCCGGAGAGTGACCATGCAGTCACCACCCAGGCGATGTTCATGGAGGGGCCGATGTCTTGGTTGATGTTCAACAGGACTGCCACCGGCAGAACGAATGAAAACAAGCATGACTCGTATGTGATGGCCAATGCCTGCCTCGGTCGTCAACACCAGGCTGTATGCTACCTGCCATTCCGGAGGGAGCACTTACTAGTATGCCCAGCACGGTCCGAGCATCAATCTTGCGTGTCGTATATAGTTCTTGCTCAGTTTCAGCCATTGCCGGAACGTCTTCGGAATGTGTCACAGAGGCATCGACCTTGTCGTTGCCTAGCTGTTGAGGGGCTCCTTTGGATGCCATCTTCTATAATCGTTGGTTCTGGCAAGACACTGATTTCGTCAGAGGGCGAGTGCAGCTTATGTATCCAGAGCCTTGGGTCACGGACATCTGTGGCTTTTGTGGAGGTGCTGGTGTGTTCCCCAGGACTTACTCCATGGGGCAATTCGAGGCTAACAACCCGCAAACCTAAAGTTGCAGGAGGAGCATCTGGAACTTGGACAACAGTTGATCCGATGCCATCTCGTCGGAGTTGCCAGATATGCTCAAGAAGTGCCACGAAGTCAACGAACGCTGCGGTATGAACAACAGTAGGAAGTCAGGACTCTTCCATGGAATAGTCTAGGCAGCTATTCGGCCCGCGCCCTGTTGCTCTCATCACTGTGGGCGCTCTCGGGATCCGACAGAGCAAAGGTAGGCTTGTCACGATGGTCTCGTAAGGTGGAAGGCACAAGCCTAGGCCTCATCAAGACTGTCAGCAAGCCCAGATAAAGGAGAACGCAGAGCAAGCGCTGCAGACGTTAGAATGCGCGGCAAATCCAGGACTTCCGTCTGCGGTACAGCTGCGGAGTCCACGCTGTTTATTACAGGACATTGCCCCTTATCCGCATACACGAGCTATCGCAATAGGGCATTCACTCGGTGTGTCTCCCATCGACCTGTTGGACTGACTCGCTCTTCCCATTCCAGGTAATGGTCAAATTGCTCCCCGTTGCCGTTCTGGACTCGGGCAATATACTCGATTGCAGTGTTGACATGATTGTATCTCTCCGTGAGGAGACGAAAGATGCGTAAGACCTGGCCCAGATATAGAGAGCCCGACCGGCATTCATCCAAGTTCGTCGACATGGAATCCTGCAGATGCTGTAGGCTCGCCGCGATGAACATGGCGGTGCCTACCGGAGGCAGCAAAGAGATCTCGTGGTTGACCTCGAGATCTCGGGCTATGTCCGTTATGCGGCAAGCAGAAGACCGCAGTGTAGAAGATGAGAACCGGCGCAGTGCTTCTGTGGCAGTGTCCGTCTGCCATTGCCGCAGCATCATCGGCCGGTGCACTGTGGACAGTGACGTATAGTAGAGCATCTCGAGCACAGCAGAATGCAGTGAAACAAGTGAGCCGAAAGGGTTATGCCGACGCTCGAACAATCCCAGCTGCAGAGCTTGCCCGTGCCACATTCGCAGTCTCTCGTCCAACGAGATGACCAAAGACCCCATGGCTTCCGTCTTCGGGATCAATGTCATGATAGGGATGCCAGGCTCGCTCACTCGAACCCCACTGAACTCGTACAGGGTATGCAGAACGTGCTGGATTTCTCGACACAGCTCCACTTCCTGAAAGAACAAGGTTCCGAACAGCTCTAGCTGTTGTCGCAGGTGAGCGACCGAGTAATATTCGAGGGCGCGGGAAAGAGAGGTATCGTCCCATTTCAGTAAATTCGGATCATGGAAACATAACACTGCTTGTGGCACCAGCGCCTGTCGACGCTCTCCTATGCATACCAAGCTGCTTCTGATAATGCAACAGCTCCATAACCGGCGCCGGAAGTCGTTCTCTGCGGGATCCTCGTACCGCAGGTTGGAGTTGTGCAGGCCAGCCTCTGTCGCAAGAGATATAGCAATCCTTAGCCAGTGAACACGTCCCTGGAAATCGTTCAGACGAGAATGCCAGTAAGTCATCAAAAGTAGGCTTTGGACCACGGTGACCGGATTGACCTCGACCTCCATATCATACAACGCTTTTGCTCGACCGAATAGCGTCCTTTGAACATCCTTACATTGTTGATATCCGGCGTGCCGGAAACCGGAAAAGTCTACAAAGACTGCTCCGGCCAGAAGAACTGCTTGAAAGAGCAATGGGCTGATAGTGTGTCCCGGCTTGCCCTCCAGTGCACTTAGAAAGGTGTCGAGCCGTAGGATAGGCAGTAGTGGATACACATAGCAAAGGAACGATCTGACGATCTCGTCTACCATGTCTGGAGGTGGAAATGCAAGTGCATCCTGTTGCACTAGTATCTTCAAGCTGTCCGAACCGAGACCCGTAAATACAGGCGTGATGTAGGCTGGTAAGTGAAACGAGGTAGTACTGGTGACGTTGGTCCCATGGTTGACAGGGGACCGACCATCGTGCAGGCTTGTTGATCTGGGCGATTCGCCTGATATAACACTTTGTGCCCCGGGTACATACTCGCCTAGATGACCTGGTCGAGCGTCGATTCTGAACCTGTGCGTTCTCGCCGAGGGCACAGCGCGTTGTGGTTGAGGAAGCGAGGAGTGCCCTGCTGACACTGCGCAGTGTGATGCGTGCTTCGAGCAATTGGAGCAGGGAGGACCGATGTATAGCACATCGCAACGAACTTTGCGACTCCGACAGAGGTCACAGGCTGTGGCATGCCGCTTTTTCGGCATCGATCGAGCTTCATGGTCCAGCAACAGCAACGTTTCCTGAAGGGCCTTCTTCCCGGATGTTCGTCTCCATTGTCCACTGTTGAAGAAGACGGCAAGTCCGAGCTAAGATTCGGAGATCAACCACGAGATTGTACAGTAACCCAATTCTAGAATACTAGCGACTGCCTCGGCTATGTCAACCCGGACGATTCGGACGGAAAGCGGTCCAAGCATATCTTAGGTACCTGCCTCCTGTACTATACCTTCTCCGGGGTCGCTCTACAAGCTGTTGATGATACAATTGTTCACATATCAGCCCCGCCCTGAGCTACGCGATAGGTATATATATAAGACGCGCCACATTCCATACCCGCAGAGTCGGAGTTCCCTGCATTATTCCTCAAACCCGGCACCTTCATCATGGCTGAGATTCAAGGCCACTACGAGCCGGCGTTCGAAAAGCTCGTCGACTTCTTTCGAGACAAGTTCTCGAAGGACGAGGAGGTTGGTGCCGCCATAAACATCAATGTCAACGGCAAAGACGTTGTCGACATCTGGGCAGGATACACGGGCGAGGACAAAACAACGCCCTGGAGTTCAGACACAATCGTCAATGTTTATTCATCGACCAAGACCATTGCCGCGATTGCCGTCCTCTTGGCTCAAGAGCGTGGCCTGCTAAGTGTTGATGACTCTGTCGCCAAACACTGGCCCGAATTCGCTCAGAATGGGAAGGAAAAAGTCCTGATTCGACATGTTATGTCCCACAACTCAGGACTTTCGGGTTGGCAAGATCCAATCACTGTCGAGCAGGTTTGTGATGTGCCTTACTCTACCGCTAAGCTCGCGGAACAAGCACCATGGTGGGAGCCAGGCAGCGGCAGTGGCTACCACGCTACTACCCAAGGCCATCTTCTCGGAGAGATTGTTAAGAGAGCGAGTGGCATACCCATGAAGCAATTCATCGCTGAGGAACTCTCCAAGCCTTTGAAAGCAGACTTTCAGATCGGGGCGAAGGAGGAGGACTGGCCTCGAATTGCTCCAGTCATTCCGCCGCCACCTCGGACACTCGATGAGAGCCAGCTCGACAAGAATGGCATTATGTTCAAAAGCTTCTTCAACCCACGGACAGACGCAAACTTTTCAAGAATGCCCGCGTGGCGAAATGCAGACATGTCTGCTGTCAATGGACATGCTACAGCCAAGGGTCTCAACCGGATCCTTCGTGCGGTGACACTATCTGGCACTTCACATGACGACACGAAGCTCTTGTCGCCGAAGACTGTTGAGGAGATCTTCCGCATACAGTCAGAGACAACCGATCACTGCATAGGCATACCCGTGCGATTTGGTATTGGCTTCGCTCTTGGCGGCGGACCGTCAGCTCAAGTGTTTGACTATCTGCCACAAGAGAAGATGTGCTTCTGGACAGGGTGGGGCGGCAGTTTCGCCATCTGTGACTTGCATCGTGGCGTGACGTTCACCTATGTTATGAACAAGATGGGGAGTGGCATCATTGGCAACGACAGATCGATAGAGTATGCTAGGATGGCGTGGCAGATTCTCAAGCAAGGCGAAGCAACGGAACTTCGTGAATGCCTGACCATCTTGGCTTATCCAGCTGGGTAGCTATCGATTCGCACGTAGGATCTTTCGCCGAGAGAAGGCTGTATACCACTGTGATGTTGGGACGTTCGTGAATGTATCAGCTGAAGCCCACCCATGTCCGTCATGAGACGGTCCGCACTTGCTGCCCTTTACCAACAAACCTATGATGCTGTAGCTCAGTGAAGCACATGTACCGTACCTAGATGATGTAGTCATGCTCCAGGCTAAATCACGCTGCGAGGGCCTCCTTGAAAGCCAAAAATCCGAGCTTGTTGACTTGTCGGTTGAAGTTTGCGTACCCTTTGAGTCCTCCTCATGACCTCGGGACCCTGCGTGGCTCCACTGCCGCCGAGAGACATGGTGATTTCCAAAACTGCCCCATTCAGCAAGTCCGAATCGAAACGCTCCAGACTTCAACTTCAGTCCTCCCACCTTCTCGAGCACCACGAATCCGGCTGAAGGTACCTACACTGCCATTCTGGCTACCCAATTTGCGATGCGACCGTTCCATTCTGCTCCGTACACTCAGGTGTGCTGACATATGATGTACATGAAACGGCCTCAACACTGCTCTTTTGTGCACAGACCACAGCAGTCCATCAAGCATAAAGGGAGCTTGCATTAGTCATAATGATCCTCAGAGTGTCTATCGTGGTCAGGTCACAACTGTGTGAGTTTGAAAGCAGGTTGCACGACTCGAGTCCGCTTATGCTCGCTGTCTCAAGTCAAGATGCAAATCAGGTACTCCGAAGAGACGTTTAAAGACGCACACCCCCGAGTCCTCAGAAGCCAGCGGCGAGCACTGTTGTGGGAGATTCGTACAGCGATAAGCGGGGGAAGATTTACGAGACTAACACCATGGCATCGCCGACAGTGGTCTTCATCACAGGTGCAAGCAGAGGTATGTTTGAAGACACCACACCAGTCATGCCAGGGGCGCCCTTTGGTGGCTCTCTACATCCTCGTAGCACTCACTTTCGCACAGGCATCGGAAAAGCCCTGACAAAAGCCTACCTCTCACTCCCAGACCACACCGTTGTTGCCGCGCTCCGCACCACCAAAAGTCCTCAAGCAGACCAACTACGCGCCTTATCCGTTGCCCCGGGCACGCAACTCCACCTCGTAGCCATCGAAAACACCTCCTCCACAGATCCCAATGCCGCCATCGCCCGACTTACCTCCACTGATGGCGGTGGCATTACGCACATCGACATCGTGATCGCCAACTCCGCCATTTCCATCGGCGGCGGCCCGCTAGATTCTGTGGACCCGAAGGACTTGACCGAGAGCTTTAACACCAACGCTGTCTCCAATTTGATTCTGTTCAGCGCGGCACGCGCTCTGTTGGAACGCTCGAGCGAGCCCAAGTGGATTGCCGTCTCCACGCGGGTCGCGTCTATCGCGACGACCCCAGCCCTTCTATCCCTATGCTGCGGCGTACGGCATGTCCAAGGCGGCGCAGAATTGGTTCACGCAGTAAGCTCGTCGCTGACCTCAAGTGATCTGAGCCACAAGGCTGACACCTTTGGTCCCTCCACAGAGCACTGCACGCCGGCAATCCATCGCTCATCGCGTTCGCGGTCCATCCGGGGTGAGTCAGTCCAGAACAAAGCGAAGGCCAAGTCCTTTCGGAGTCGCCGGAGAGCGGCAGTAATGATCAATACTAATCATTGGGCAGCTTCGTCGCCACTGATATGGGCATCGGCGCTGCAAAAGGGGCCGGCATTGCTCTACCGGAAACCTCGCCCGAACAAAGCGCCAAGAATATTATACGACTGATCGATGCCGCAACGCGTGAGTGCAGTTCGGGGAAATTCTTCGATGCGGATACTGGGGAGGAGATTCCTTGGTAGTGGGAAGGATCGGGCGTCTGGCCACTCAGTACATGAATGGCATTTCATTGGTCGTTATGTACGGATCCTTGTCTTGATGCTCTTGCCAAGGCTGCAGCCTGGGCAGGTGCTGTGCGACTTTACCGTGTAAGTATCATGCCTGATCACTGGGTTCACCCAAAGTGTAGCAGAATTGCGTGTCTGTGACCAGTATGGCGACAATGAAAGTAATGTCTGGATACAGCTACAAGAAGCTTGGCCCCGGTGAGATACGCCTCATGACCTTACTTCCAGGTGATGATCCCGATCTTTTGTCATTCAGCATCTGGCATACTTCTATAAAGCATGCGAGGCAGTTGCCTGCCTCAGAAGCAACATCGATGATGCGACAAGTACAGAACTCGCTACCAGCGGGTTGGACAGTCAAAGAAACGCTAAGTGGGCGCAAGCTATTCATGCGGATGGGCTATTCAGGAACTCCCATCACCTGGACTCACCCAGATCCCGCCGCGCAGCCAGACGGCTGGCAAGACAATACTGTCAAGCCGGTCACTTGCCCCGAGCCGTCCTATGAAGCTCTGTCATACGTCTGGGGCGCTCCTTCGGACATTGAGCCGGCGAATGTCATCGAGCTCGGCTCAAGCCCCGCCAAGCCTTTCATCAGATCCAGTATCGGCGCCAGCCTTGCAATTGCTCTTCGCCATCTACGCTACACTGATCGCTCCCGCACTTTGTGGGTCGATGCCATTTGCATCAATCAGAACGATGTCTTGGAGCGTAACTTGCAGGTAAAACGCATGGGTGAAATTTACTCCTCAGCTGCGCGGGTCTTGGTTTGGTTGGGTGCTCAAGCTGACGGCAGTGAGTACGCTTTGAGGACTCTGGACTACTTTTCTCAACAGGTGGAGTATACCACGGACGAGTCTATTGGAGACGCCCCAATGGCGAAAGAGCCACGTTGGTGGGATGCTGAATACGCACTTCCTTACGACCAAGCCATATGGGACAGCTTGGTTTCGCTCTTCCGACGACCGTGGTTCAGCCGGGTCTGGGTACTACAGGAGGCTCTTTTGGCCCATGAAGGCACTGTGATTTGTGGTGCAGAACAAATCCCGTGGTATTCTTTGCGGAAAGCGATGGTTGTTCTGGCTGAGAAGCTAGGCCTGCCAGCGGCACTCTTTGCTCTGTTGGGCTCGTACCGCATGGGTCTTCTGAATCGAGGTATGTGGAGTCTACCTCGTCTGCTATTATGGGGCACTTTCCGTCAGTGTACGGATCCTCGTGACAAAGTCTACGGCATTCTTAGTTTGCTTTCTACGCGAATGGCAAGCGCGATTGTTGTAGATTATGCCTTGCCGGTTGAGCACGTGTACATGCACACCTTGATGAGCCATGTCGAAATGACCGGTCGGCTCCACCTGCTACGCCACTGCCACCTGGAAGATCGTGCACCTAACTCACCGTCTTGGGTTCCGAACTTTGCTGTGACAAAGCAGAGTTTCTTTGGCTTCCGAAAAGGTCATAACAGGCAACCTTCGGGGCATACCGCAACCGATGCTTTCTGCAAGCAGCCTGGAGTCCTGGAGGCCAGCGGACTGCTTTGCGCGACTGTAAATGCGGTGCAAGACCTACCAAGGGGCGATCTCGAAACGGCTTTCGCGGCAGCACAAAGTTTCTCGGCCGCACAGATGCTTGCAGACAGCTATGTAGCAGGAGGCAGTATGCTCACCGCGCTAAGTGAAGTCATCACAAAAGGCCGGCTTTGCGACCGTTACCCGAATATCCAGCCATTTCCAAAACGAGCTGATATCTCTCAAGGACTCGCAGCTGTTCTAAACGGCGCGGCAAAGATGGAGGACACCTTCAGCTACTTCAAGGAAGAGTTCAGACTGGAAAACAGCTTCTTGTGCTCAACCAAGGAAGGGTACTTGGGTATCTCGGAGGCACGGCCACTCAAAGGTAGGGAATCCCTGGGTTCTAGCTAGTGACATCGCTGACCAGCTTCGCCTGAAAGATGACTGTGTCTGCGTGCTTCTCGGATGCGACTACCCAATCTTACTGCGTCCCACAGGATCTGGAGAATACTTGGTTGTCGGTCAAATATTTGTACACGGACTGATGGACGGGGAGAGCTTATTAGGGAGTTTACCACCCGACTGGGAAATTCGAATGCTTCCTGGAGGCGACGGGCGAGAAGTGACGTGCTTCTTCAATGCTACAGACTCAGCGCTCACCAGACAGGATCCGAGGCTCCCAGAAATGCCTCCGGAATGGAATAGGCTGAAACGCGACCGCGTACAAGATGATCCGTTCTTCCACCAGGACTACCAAAATCGGGACTCCGGCGAAATCATCAACTTCGATCCGCGCGTCGGTGTGGCTGCGCTCACTTCCCGGGGTACAAAGTTGGACAGAGTCCGCCTGGTCTGAAGTCCATGGAGATTCTGAGCCTTGCACTTTTGACATGCAACAGGCAAGCAGAGCATTGACGGTCGTCTAATTCCATGGTCTATGACATTGTAGCAAGTACCCTGGAGAAAAGCGATTCTTTTCCTGATAGGATCCAGGGGAGCCGGCGTCTGCGGCTGATATGATCGACCAGGCTCAAGAGAAGTTGCGTGAACGGTTGGCACAACAGTTCGAGAAGGCTGAGCGGGTTTGTGCTGGCCATGGAGATATTGTTCGCTTCAGCTGGGGATAAGATGATAGTCCCTTGCATTCGGAGCCAGACCTGACAGCTGATCGGGTTTTCATGAGTGTGGCATTTGGCAGCGAAAGCGAACTTCGGCGGATGTGTGACAAGACACTAGCGCGATATGGTGAATTCAGCGAACAATAGGTCTCACAATACTCATTATCGCTGGAGAGAAGGTTCGCAAGCACGGCGATCGGGGGCGATGTTACGAAGATTCTGACTCTGATCCGTGAGTCCTCCGGACTTGAGGCGATAGATACAGCTATACTGCAGACATATGATCATCACCTCGCCAGCGTCGCGACACCATAGCGTGACATAGACTAACGACACTCCCTGTGTCCTAATTCACCGTCTGGCGCGACCACTTATCTGCTCGACCGTTAGTTGTTAGACAAGATTCTAGCGCTACCACACTGCCATCCCTTGAGTATTTGATCCAGTCCCCGTCTGGTACACTGAATCAAATTTGATCGAACCTGGGCCACCACTGATGTCAAAAATCTGTATGCTTGAAGGATAGTTTCCATTGCTGGCGCTCAGAGCCCAAAGGTAGTTGCCACTAATCCTGAAGTCCGTCATTCCCATGAGGCCGGTCGGTGGGTAAAACTCAGTTGTGATCGCACCAGTGTTCACACTGGCTTCGACGAGCCGATTGACAGCAGCGTCAGTGATGAAGCCTCGGGTTGATTGAACTTGCGCCCAACAGCTAGCTTGTTGGCCCGTGACGTTAGTCACCGCGACGGGCTGTGCGTTCAAGTTGTCGATATTTAGTGTCAGCCCACCAAACCCAGCATCAGAAACATAGACGAGGTCGGATGAGCCTGGGATGTTAGCCATTCCGAAGAGAGCCTTGCTCCCAGGTGGAGTTGCCATGGTTGCAGTTGTCCCGACCATGCCACTAGCAGAAACAGGAAATGTCGCAGCATAGCCAGTGAACTCGGTACCATTGCCTTTCACCATGGCAATCAACAGTGTCTCATCTTCGGAGAATAACAGGTCGCCAAAACCAGGCGTGGGACCTGTGGGTGGAGTTACGCTCTCCCCAACATTCATGGGACGAAGAGTATCGAATCCTGCGAGACCTGCGTCCGAGAACATTGAGCAGGAGATTCCAGAGGTGGCGCCTGTGTTGCCAACACAAACACAACCGAGCTCTGCAGATGCAGCTAAGGTGGTGGGAAATTCGCCCATCGATGATGCTGGTTCACCAATCATTTTCAGACTGGTCGGATCGCTGGGCGATATCGCGAACATAGAGACGGTATTCGATCCAGCATTGACCACAAAGACATTCTATATGGCCTCAGTCAGTCCCCATGCATCAATGTATAGTCGAAACAGTCGTAGCTTACGTTTCCGGCCGTCACCACAGCATCTGCACTGCTTAGCGCATCGGGAAAATGTGGTGCGCCGGTGGTGCCATTGACATAGTTGCCGCCGATGCCTCCCGTGGCGAACGAAGACCCAGCAGATAGGCTACCATCGCTTCCGATTGACATTGAGACGACTTTGTTGCCAGAGACGTCATTCGTCATGACGTATAGAGCCTGCGCTTGCTGCATTGGGCTGCCAGTCCACGGCTTCCAGTCACCAGGCATACCAGCAACGGATGTGCCAAAGGCACACACAGTGGCGAGAGCTCTCGATTGGCGCATATTGAAATTCGCTTCGATCAGTAGTATTGCTCTGGTGGACAAAGGTCTGCAAATTGCCAGCCATGGCAACATTTATATACACGGAGCTGGTTTTCGGCAGCCACAGCTGCGACCGAAATCTTGTTGCGAACCACCCACCGACCTTGGATTAGTACTGACCTGACCATCAGGTGTACTCTGCAGGTACCACAAAGTCTATTGCTGCCACCGGATTTTCCGGGAACATCGTAGGTATGTGAAGTGTATGACGCGCGATTTCCACGTCGCTGCCGTGGGCAGTTGTAGCATTGTGAAGCTATACTTGGAACAGTACATGCTCACCGACGGCGTTCGGGGCGTCTAATCGAAAGTCAAGCCGCTGATCTATGCTAGATGAACCCTTCCTGCACAGGAAGTGCGGGTCTGGGGAGTCGCAGGTCGGATCGCGGACGATGCATGCCTCCCACGGTGACTCGGTGGCATTGCACTGGCGCTCTGCAGATCCATGTTCCCAGCCATCTGACAGGACGCGTAGGTTCCTACACGATCTAGCGAAGTTCGGAATCCTCACTTGACCAAACGAGTCGAAAATCTGCGTACATTCCCTTGTAGGAGGCGAGGTCCAACTCTGATGCCTTCGGGCAAATGCCAGCGAACCGTGCTGCGGCTAGCTTGAGGTCGAAATGACGCGGACCATCTGGCTATTTGGCCTTCGTCATTACGCCAAGATGTATCATTGACCTGCAAGGTCCCTACATGTAGCAAGCGGATTGCGCGGGCAAGGCGGGAGAGGGTGTCGAAATAAAGTTCCAAGTGTGATTATGGGATCATCTTGACTTCAGTCCCGCTGGAAAGTACCCACTCTGATTATTCATTACTACAGGGCAACGCGTAGCTACATATGACTGTGGTGGCTACCAGTGCCTTCATGACTGATCCGGGCGTACAGCAGCGTCCCCATCGCTCGAGAAAGGAGCGCCCGTGCGATCGCTGTCGAACCAGGAAGACCGCTTGTGTCATAGCACGAGGCGAACCTTGTCGGTCGTGTGCAAGCGCCGACGTACAATGCACATTCGTCAACCGGCCGACCACACGATCAAGCGTCGGCCAGACGATAATGCATCTCATGGTAAGACATCGTTTAGTATCCTCTGCTCGCAGCTATTGACATAGTCGAAGTAGATCCGGAAGATGTTGGACAACCGACGCCTTCCTTCGAACTCAACAACCAGGGAAGGCGCGACACATACAATGTCGCACAGGGCGGCTCGGCGGCATTCCCGCATAACCCAGCACTAGAGACATCGCGCCATGTTGAGGCTGATCAAATGTTTCCTTACGCATCTCGACCATCGTCTTATGATTTATGGCCGGCGCATAAAACCGATGTGCCCCAACACGACAACGTTGATCTCGTGTCTCCACTCCTGCACCATCCTGGCGTTCAACAAGTGCGATCCATAGAGACACTGGATCAGTTCAACGTGCAACTATGTGGTACATCCGCCGAGTTGGATCCCTGGCTCCTGAGGCATTGTAAGTTTGACGATGTTGGAATGCGATCCCACGGCAGAATTCGCATACGCAACGTAGGAGGCGTGCCTATCGACGATTTGGTTCCAGTGCACTTTACAGTGGTGGATGACTCGTTGTACGAAACGAAGGCCTTTCCATCGGATCATATGAGCTTATTAGATCAACGCCGTCAAGAGTTGAACGCATTGGTCTCCCCAGAAGCGGGCTTGCGGCTTATTTCTCTGTAAGTCGCGAATTGGACACATTACGTTTACTTGAGCGTGCTTTGCTGTACTGACATGTTACACAGATACTTCACATTTATCTTTCCCGAGCTCCCCATCATATCTCGTCATAGGACTGATCTTCTCACATCTGATCCTGCCGATGGATTTGCTGGATTTCCCGTGGTTTTGCTTGCCGCGATCTACGCATCTGCTTTTCCCTTCTGCGTTCACGACTCGTCGCTTCAGCTGTCAACTGCATTTGATGATGCCCCAATTGACGCGCTTTGGGCCTTGGTGCACAAGCTCATCACCGAGAATATCAACAGACCCAAGCTGGCTGTCGTTCAAGCTGCAGTACTTTTCATGCACCAGCCGGCGAAGGGAATCGCAAGAGCTCTGACTGACGGTCCTATGATCTGGTCGTTCTGGGCAAGTATCGTGGGTCTTTCCAACTCTCTAGGTTTGCATCTTGAGTGTCGGTTGTGGGGGATTCCGTCCTGGGAGAAACGTCTACGCCGAAGACTTTGGTGGGCTATCTATGTTGAGGACACATGGCGCAGTTTCCTGTCCGGTCGGTCACCTTTCATAGACAGAAATGAATTCGACACGAGCGAGCTCGATGAGACGGATTTCATGCACAGCATAGTCCCGATACAAGGCGCCAATCGGCTGCCCGTCTCGGCGACGAGCAGCAGCCGGGACTACATCTTCACTGATCTTGTACGGCTTACGCTGTTGGTAGCCGAGATCTACCAGACTTTCTAGTAAGTGAGGAATTCACGCGCTTTGTACTGGCTGACTACTTACTGTGTCAAGTACGCTAAAAGCATCGAAGACATTGGCGTCCGACTTTGTTGCTTCGATCAACACGGCGAAGCCCATGCGCCTGAAGCTTCAATCCTGGTATTCGAATCTGCCAGAAGCTTTCCGTATTGCCAGCCATGTGAGCACGCAGAAAGAGACCCAGAGATCTCCTCCCCAACACGGGATTGCTATATTGCAGTTTTGCTACTTAACAGCGCAGGTGCTGCTACATAGAGCTCTGCTACGAACAATCGCTCGATCGCCGCCCCTCGCCATCATCACCAGCAGCGACGAAGACGAGGCTGAACAGGACTACTTTCCACTGATAGATCAAATGAGTTGGCAAGATCTGTTCACAGCCAGCCAGGACTTTGGGCAATTACCATCAGCCAGCACGGTCGACTCTGGTGCAGCGCTTGAAGCCACGCTCGACGTTGCAGAGAAATGTGGGGCTGTCATCACTCAATTTGTGAGAGGTCTTGCCCACGAGGACTTTGATGCATTTTGGTACGGATGTACGTCACCTGCTCCCAGCATATCAAAGACTCCTCGGTCATCTGAAGCTGACTTTCGCATCAACAGGGATCCGTCTGTGCATTGCGGCCGTGTCGAACTTCATTGTTCTACTGCGAGTCCAAGCACCAAGTGTAGGACGGGCTATCAAGGCCAGAAGTCTCTGCAAGTTATGGACGGCAAGCTTGCAACGCCAGCACAAGAACAATGCTGCAATCTTTATACTCGGTCTTGTCAGGCTTGGGTCATGGTCATTAGACGAACTGGACACCATCTTCAATATCCCATCCCACATCTCTGAGGCAGTCCTTGGCAACGGCGTGTCTTCACGGAACGCACGGGAGTCCTCCAGTTACTACTAATGCTGACATCCCTGATACGACACTGATGCAGCGTGCATCTCAGATGTCTGACGGTCTGGACCACTCCATGCACCGATAGCTGACACTCACGATTGGGTGACAAGTGGCACCCAGCAATATCTATCAATATCATTCCGGGACTCGATTACTCCGGTCGCCGACTCCAATTGTTGAAGGCCTGAAGTATGATAAGGCTGCAGAACAATCTCAAATACTTTGGAAAATGTATACCAGCGTTTCATTGAGGTTCCAACAGTAGCGTCTGACAGCGCGGGCACGATGTAAATGTTGGCCGGTCCGGCGCTACCTTCGGCCAACCTCATCGAGATCTCGGCATGACACCGGTGCTGCCCCACCGTACGCGAACATTGCCCGAGTGGACTACCGAAGAGCTACAACGGCCAGCAAAGCATCACCTCCAGGTGATAGACATCCTGTTCCACCAAAGCCAAGTCCACTCTATCCACACTCTAGAGCACATCTTCGAGACTTGTGTGGCAACATTGGCCCGAAATACGACACCGCTGCTTGGACCATCTGAGGCAATCAACACTTAGGAGTTGCCTGATCACTTGAATTGCTGGCTGTATCATCCCAGAATTATCACAGGAGAACTCAACAACAATGCGTCTAGAGCCAGACAACCGGAGTAGAATCCCGTTATGGCTTGATTGCGATCCAGGTACACACCTACCGGCATGAGCAAGGCTCTTTGGGTGTAGAAATGCTGACATGCTGCCCTAGGTCATGATGTAAGCAACTTTCACACATACTCGACAACACTGACGAGGCTAGGATGCTTGTGCTATGCTATTATCAGTCTATCACCCAGCTCTTCACATCCTGGGGATCAGTACAGTCAACGGCAATGCGCCCATTGACTCAGTCACCAACAACGCGCTGAGTGTACTGGAAGCCATAGGTGCACCGCAAGTCAGCGTCTTCTCTGGAGCCAGGCGACCTCTCTGTCGAGATATCCGCTCCGCACCTGAGATCCACGGAGCAGGTGGTCTAGCTGGCACTGAGCTACTGCCGACTCCAATTCGGCAAGCGCAGACAGGCAACACAATCACAGCAATGCGAGATGCTTTGATGTCATGTTCTCCTGGAAGCGCGTGGCTCGTTGCCGTTGGCCCAATGACAAACGTGGCTTTGCTGTTTGCAACGTATCCAGAAGTAGCTGGTCATCTCAAGGGTTTCAGTGCAATGGGCGGAGCTATCGGCCACGGTTTCGCGCCGCAAATATCGATGGGTCCGCCCTACATTGATGAGTACGGTCAAAGTCATGACCGGCATGGCAATTACACCCCGTTTGCTGAATTCAATATATGGGCGGATCCGGAAGCAGCGCGAAGTGTCTTCATGGTCCCAGGCCTACAGGAAAAGACCTTTTTGATCCCACTGGATGTATCTCACCAAGTATACACAACCTCAAAAGCCCGGGAAATGCTACTCATTGGCAAGCACGGCCCGACACGATTGCGCAGAATGTTCAACGAGCTCTTCATTTTTGTTGCGGGTACCTACGAAAATGCCTGGGGCATGGATGATGGTGCTCCGCTGCACGATCCCCTTGCTGTCGCCATTCTACTTGCGGATCATCCCAACCCGGAATTTCGGATCGACTTCGACGATAATGATGGCGAGAGATGGCATTTGGATGTCGTGCTAGCAGGACTAGAGGAAGGAAGAACTATTGGTACCAAGATAGAGCAGGGCAAGCCGGGGGTCTTCATCCCAAGGAGGCTGGACGTGGACAAGTTCTGGAAGAGTCTGGAGGCCTGCATGAGCGCGGCAGACAAGAGGACACAATACGCGAAGTTGTGAACCTGCCAGTTTGCGAATAACCGATATGCTTTCGGCAGACACAACCCCATGAATACTTGATACAGGTTACGAACGATATGGCTGTACGAACTAGTAGTTTCGCCAATCATCAACGATCCATTGTGTTCTCAAAATCCAGATTGTCAATTCATCGGCCAGACTACCTAGGTAGCCGGGTCTGGCGCTGATAAGATCGTACCCACCCCATTCTGAAGCAAGCGGCAAGCGGGTTGTAGAGCTGATCAAGATACATGCCACCTTGCACGTTGTGCCAGAAGGCGCCGACCAGAACGTCGCTGGACTGCGCTACTGTGAAGCATTTCTCATCACACCAAAGCCGAAGCTCGGACACATAGGTGTAGCGACGCGACAATGGTGCCAAGCGATTACGATGGCGCGAGTTGCCCGATGGCTCCACTCGAAGCCGGCCGACCTGCAACTTGGCCGAGACCTTGATCCGCAATCCTCCCACGTAGCTAGTCGCGTTGAGTCTTACCTGAACGCGTAGATAGGGCTCCCGGCCGTCTCTTGAGGTCACAATGAGGCCAATCGTGAATGGTCCAGCCGCAGCATGCGAGACGAGATCGGCGACGATGGAGATGTGGGGTTTGGCCTCTCTACGCAGGTTCAGGAGCCCCTATCACAGTAGCGTGTTCAATGACCTCGCTAGCGAGTTCTCGATGGCACGGATATTCATCTGATGATATGAAAGGACGCGAAGTCCGATCAGTCTGCCACCATAGTCACCTGCGTGTGGCACGGTCTCACCATCTCGGAGTCTAGGACTAGAAGTCTCCGTGACGAAGGCACTCAGACATTTGACTCATCCAAACGGGCGACATCACTACTACGGCGCGATGGTGTCGGTAGCTGGCGCGGAATCAGCTGACCTGGTGGTCGTCGGAGCTGGTAAGAGTCTTCGAGCTACGAGGCAAGCGTTCAATGTATGGACGTTGACTGATCTGGTGCGCTGCAAACAGGATGGAATGGTCTCTGTGCAGCAAAGACATACCGCCAAGTTCACCCCAAGGCCAACCTGATCATCTTAGACTCCCAGCCTACGGTCGGAGGCGTATGGCAGAGCATCGTCTCTACCCGGGCCTCAAGACCAACAATATGCGTGGCAACTACGAATATGGTGATTTCAGCTTTGACGACGCTGGCCTCGATGTCAAGCAGGGCGCGCATATCCTAGGCCATGAAGTACATCAGTATCTACGCAAGTACGCCGAAAATTTCGACATCTATGATCAAATCCGATTCGAAGTTGAGGTCATCACCGCTGAGCATTTATCCGAAGGTCGCGGTTGGCTGCTCAGCACGCGTACAGTTGGCGGTCATGATCCAGAGAAGCAGGTCCTGGCGCGAAAGCTGATCGTCGCAACTGGTTTGACGTCAGATGCCTTCGTTCCCGATCTCGCTGGCAGTCAGACACGAGGAGCTCCATCAATCATCCACGTCAAAGACTTTCAGGCGCACTCCAGAGAGCTTTTCAACAGAACCAAGCGGGCTAGCGTGCTAGGAGGCACCAAATCGGCCTGGGACGTATGCTACGCCTTCGCATCCTCAGGTACCCCAGTCGACTGGGTCATCCGTAAATCTGGCCACGGACCCGTCTGGATGTCGCCAGCCTTTGCCAACAAGAAGAAGGGCGTGTTGATGGAGCACCTCGTACATACGCGTCTTTCCAGCTTTTTCAGTCCTTGCGTCTGGGGCGAGGAAGACAGCTACTCATGGATTCGCAGATTCTTGCACAACACGCGCCTCGGGCGATGGTGCGTGCGAAGATTCTGGCAGTACAGGCAGAGCAGTCTGGTACGCACTAACGCGTACGATGAACACGAAGAGGTTGGCAAGCTCAAGCCTTGGGTGGATATGTTCTGGATCGCGGGATCCTTGAGTATTCTTAACTATCAGACCAACTTCTTCGACCTTGTCCGGGACGGCATGATCAGAGTCCACATTGCAGACATCTCAGCTCTCGAGGAGAATCGAATCCGCCTCTCAAATGGAACAGTCGTGCCATCAGATACCCTGATCTGCTCGACTGGCTGGCGCCACCGTCCAGCAATACAATTCTTGCCAGATGGCATCGACTCTGTGATCGGCATTCCTCACGCAGGCCTCAACGCCGACACCAGCCTTGTAACAAGAGCAGATGCCGAGCTGATGAAGAGGTTTCCAGCCCTCAGGAACCAGCCGCGCCTCAACCCGCACTATGCACCGATGGAGGGCGCCAGACCCAGCGAGTCGCTAGCAGAGCCCTACCGCCTATATCGCTTCGTGATCCCACCCGCACTCTACAATGAGCGAACTCTTGCATTCGCTGGGATTGTCCAGTCCATAAGCACAGTCTACATTGCCATGGCACAAGGCCTATGGATCACGGCGTACTTCGACGGGCATGACTCAACAGCGCTCGCAAAGTGCAAAGATGAGAAAGAGCGGGAGGAGAAGATCACCTGGCAAACGATGCTGCACACTCAGTACGGAAAGTGGAGGTGCCCAGGTGGGTATGGGTCTCGCTTTCCAGATTTTGTATATGATGGCATGCCATATCTAGATCTGTTGCTTCGAGATTTGGGCTTAAAGAATAAGCGAAAGGGCGGGGCTTGGAGTGAGCTGTCGAAGCCGTACTTGACATCGGATTATGCCGCGATTGTCGATGAGTGGAAGGCGAAGGCCGCGAGGGGATATAAGACGTTCTAGCGGGTTCGATCATCTATAGCGGAAGCTAACAAGCAGACCGCTCTGTTGCGACGCTTTTGAAAGAGGACATAGGTAGCTGGAGTCAAGGTCGTCAGAGCTACAGAGAGTCTTGCAAAAAATACCTGCAATGCACTACATGCACATTACTACTGCTTTCGTTGGCCTACCTAGGCTGGCATACCCATCCCACCATTAATCTCCACCACACTCCCATTCACGTATCGACTCTGCTCACTGAACAAAAAGGCAACCACATCAGCCACCTCCTCTGCTGTCCCCAATCTCCCCAACCCAATGGTCGCAGCAGTCGCATCTACCCTCTCTTTTCCTTCCCTCACAGAGTTATTGGTCGGTGTATTGATCGGCCCGGGACAAATGACATTGACACGAATCCCTCGCCGACCAGTCTCCAATGCCAGACATTTCGACATGCCAATCACTGCATACTTAGTAGCACAATACACTCCCAAGCCCTCAGTTGGGTGTAAACCCAATACCGACGAAACGTTGACGAACGAGCCTCCGCTTTTCATATGCGGTAAGCAGGCTCGCGTCATGGTGAACATGCTCTTGAGGTTTGTATCGACCATTTTGTGCCAGTAGTCATCGGATATCTGGCTGATCTCAAGAGTCGTTGGGTTGATGCCGGCGCAGTTGAAGACGTGAGTGATGCTACCGAGTTCGGCCATGACGTCCTTGACGAACTGTTCGATATCCGTGGTCGAACAAACGTCGAGGCGGCGAGTCAGATGCTTCTGGTTGTCGTTGCTGGCTTGAGCGCATTGCTGCAGAGTGAGGGCAAGGCTTTTCTCGTTGATGTCAGCCAACGCCAGAACCGCTCCTTCCTTGGCTAATCTGATTGACGTGGCTTTCCCAATGCCGCTACTTGCGCCAGTGACGATGATAACTTGCTCTTTCAACGTCGACATTGCTCTTCAAACAGTTCGACTGGATACGTGAGAACGACATGGGCGACATTGTGCGATTCATACTATGCATAGTCACTGCTTTTAAGAAGTGGTCGGATTCTTCAACGCCAAGTGTGGAAGCTCACATGTGGTGACCTACCGCTTGGATGTCCCCAAATCCGGCGCCGTGCACCTGGGCGGGCCTCATACCATTCTGGGTCATGCACGCTGCACGATGCTCTGTCGACCTCAGGAAGTAGCGAGAGAAATGCCGTACGTACCTACCCAGACTAACGTTGCTGATTGGTGGCAAGGAAGTCACGATCGGCCAGCATCATTTAAGCGTTTCGGCCAACAGGCTTGGCAAGCTGGCCGAAGGCAACAACGGCTATCTCGTTGAACTCTCCGTGCACCACAACCTCTACGCTTCGGTTACCAGGTGCCAAGGGTAGTCTCGTCGGCTGCTATCTAGAACAGAGTCAAGGTGCTCTAGCGCTGCGATGCTCTCGGTGAGATGGGATTCCGGAAGCTGCCGCATGGTCAGATGGCTGACTCTGGTAGCGGCGAAGGCAGTCGCTCCAAGTCGCCACTGACTGCCTCACAGACGCTTACATGGCGCGTCGGGACTCCCTGGAAGCAGATAGCTTCCGTAGAGCAGGCACACCTACAGACCTCCTGATGCGCCCGTCGACAGCACAGCTCGAGGCTTTGAGACCTGTTCGATCACCTTGATTTACGCGGCCATGAACGGACCGCCCGTGAGACGAGGCTAGCCTTCACGGCCGCTGTTTCGCGTTCTCAGGTCGTGCACTATTTGAACGACTGTCGAAACAGCGTTCGTTCTTCCCGCGAAGATGATAACACTGGTCTAGATTCGAGGCGATGGATCTGCCTCGACTTGGCCGATCAGGGCATCTATCATTTCGCTATGTTCACTATCTCTGTATGATGGCTACGGGTGAGTGCCGAGGCTTGCATTTTACTACTTTGAGGTAAGAGTCTGATGCCCGCCCTAAGTTGGCTTGAAACATAAGAAGCAGCTGTGCTCATTAGTAGCACGCCGCTGTATTCATCGTACTTGAGTTCGGTTTCCATTGCTCAGACCAGAGAGTGGCTACCATGGCTTCCAAAAATCTCAGCCACAGTGTGCAGAGGGAGCGTCCGAACGAGGCTGCTGAGGACACTGCCGTTGGCGATGTCAACGTTGCGCCTCGTCCACCGACGCCGATCACGACCGACGCGACAAGCAGTCGCCAAAGTATCACCAAGAACAAGTTCGATAACCATGGGTCCATGACAGACAAGGAAGCCTTCACCTCTGCAGAAGTCTGTACGACTGCTGCGTCTCAAGACTACAACGATAGTGTTTCCCAGGGCCGCTGGAAGACTTTCGTAGCTACGCATCGCTCGAAGACAAGCCTGATCGTCCAAGTATTCGTCTGGCTCGTGTTCACGGCGTAAGTGATGGTCCTTCCCTGTCATTGCTTTCAATCTACTAATAGCATACTTCCAGATGGTGGATTACAGGCCTCGTCTTGCATCGACACGATTACGGGTGGTTGATCCCGTTTCTACTCTACCTTTGTATCACGCTGCGAATTATTTTCAACTTCGTTCCAATCAGCGTTGTAATGCGTCCAGTCCGCTGGATATACAACAACACAGCAGTCAAAGTCTATGAACAGATTCCTCCTAAATACCGTGAGTGGCTTGCGGCACTAGGCACTCTTGCAATAGTCTGCATCGGCGCCTTCGTGCCCGCCGAGTCATTGGACAATACACGCGCCAACCGAGCAATATCAATCGCTGGTCTGATCATCTTCATCGGCATTTTATACGCCTCATCGAACAATCGCAGCAGGATTCCTTGGCACACTGTCATTGGCGGAGAACTCTGTCAGTTCATCATCGCTGTGTTTGTCCTCAAGACCACAGCTGGGTATGATATCTTCAATTTCATATCCTTTCTGGCACGCGCCTTCTTGGGCTATGCTGGGGATGGCTTGGCATTTCTCACGGACGAGGATGCGCTCACCCTAGGTTGGTTCATCACTGGAGTCCTTCCAGCTATCATCTTCTTCATCGCCGTCACGCAGTGTTTATACCACCTCAAAATACTGCAGTGGCTGGTCATCAAGTTCGCCAGCTTTTTCTTCTGGACCTTGAGGGTATCAGGAGCCGAAGCTGTTGTGGCTGCAGCGTCACCTTTCCTGGGCCAGGGCGAATCAGCCATCCTCATCAGACCATACATTCCATACCTGACCAAGGCCGAGATCCATCAAATTATGTGCTCTGGCTTTGCGACTATCGCAGGATCGGTCTTGGCTGGGTACATCTCGCTTGGTCTAAATCCTCAAGTGTTAGTGTCTTCTTGCATCATGTCAATCCCGGCTTCGTTGGCAGTGTCGAAACTCAGATATCCGGAGACGGAGGACACGCTCACATCGGGCCATGTATCGATTCCGGAGGACGAGGAAGAGAAGTCCGCCAATGTCCTGCACGCCTTCACAAAGGGCAGCTGGCTCGGCATCAAGATCGGAGGTGCGATTGTCGCTGTGCTACTCTCCATTGTTGCACTGGTTGCGCTCGTCAATGGCTTGTTAGGCTGGTGGGGCAAGTAAGTCTCCCCAAATCAGTCTCCTTCTGTGCGGACTCCTGCAGAGACTAACATACCTCCTCACCAGGTACTTGAACATCACCCAGGACGGCGAACCATACCTTTCCCTCCAACTCCTGCTAGGCTACATCTGCTACCCAATCGCTTTCCTCATCGGCATTCCCCGCGCAGACCTCCGCCAAGTTGGGGAATTGATTGGCATCAAAGTCATCACCAACGAATATGTCGCGTTCAAAGCGCTTACAACTGAGGCGCGATATTTGGCGATGAGTCCGAGGAGTCAGACTATTGCTACTTATGCGCTCTGTGGTGAGTTGATCCTAAGATCCGCAAAGTCTCAGGCCTAGGCATACTTACAATCGCCATAGGATTTGGGAACATCGGCTCCCTGGGGGTGCAGATTGGTGTCCTCTCTCAACTCGCGCCTGGCAGAATCGCAGATGTGTCCCGTGTAGCTGTATCAGCGCTTTTTTCTGGCATCCTATCGACACTGACTTCCGCGTCGATCGCCGGCATGCTTCTCACAAATCAGATATAGAACATTTCGCGCATGTTGGGTGACGGAGCAGTAGAATGTGCGCGCCTTTGTGGAATGGCATGCTTTCTACTGCTTGTTGTCAATTGAAAGGAGGTGATTCGATATTTTAGTATACAAACTGTGTTAGTTGACCGTCTTGAGCGAATTTGGATGCCACCAGAGCATTTTTCGCAGAGTCAGATACCAAAAAGGTCTCTCATGCCAAGACACTTATGACCAAGTTGGGATTCTCTCCATTGACTAGAAGCTTCCAATTTTCCCCATTGCTTGCAGGTTATATATCGATAGCATCAAATCGTCCTTCGCAATCGACCACAGGGTGTGGAAAACAAGCCTTCCCGTCCGCTCAGGCAATTTAAGCCACACGCCGAACGGTTAGTAGTTAAGTGGGTGACCATTAGCGAATCCCGTTTGTTGATTGTTTTTGATTTTTTTTGGGCAGGTGTCCATCTTCACTGTCGTAGGGGAGCTCTCTATGACTCTCGTGGGTGTATCTGCAGTACATAAAGCTAGGAGAATAGCGATGGGATAGTAAGATGCCCGGGGCATAACGAGAGGGCCGGTATCTCGCGTGCTTTTTTCTTGCTCTTACAGTGTGAAAGATCATCGATACTTCTCGCTCCTACCCCTCCGCCGGCACCAAGCAGTCAGTGATAGCTGTGATCTTCCACCCCTCCCCTTGTCCTTCTCCTCCCTCCTCCCCACCCACCGCAAATTTATGCAGAACAACACAATTCCACCCCCTCATCACGACCCTCCCCTCAACACTAATCTGACTCATCGCAAGCACAACACCCATCTTTCCCCACACCCTAACATCCCACGGCTCCACAAATACCTCCTCTAGATCTGCTGTATGTCTCCCAGTGTCCTCAATATGCGTAGTTGAAGGCCGCGACTCGAACTTGCCGGCGTGAGAGGTCAGGCTGTGGGCGTCCGGGTGGATTGTTGAGAGCATTTGGGGGATGTTTTTGGCGTGGAGGGCCGTGAGGAGTGTGTTGACTACAGTGCGGATGCTGGCGAGGTCGGATTGTGAGGGGGTGGTTGGGGGTTGCATTGTGCGGGTATAAGTGGTGATATGATGTGTAGCGAGGTTTTGGACGACGGGTGGTGACGATTCTGGTCGAGTTCAGGGGTGCGACTCTTTTGTTATTTGAACCTGGTGCTTATATTCAGCACAACAAGCTGGACGATCGCGGCTCACTTCACGGGAAGCCGTGGTAATCACGCCGCTAGACGCCAGCCAGTGTGACGGGAGCATTGTCATAAGTGTTCCATTTCAGGACTTTGTCTTGCAGAAGCATCTTCTGTTCGTGAGGCGACTTCAATGATCGGTACCTCCTACACCTTAGCCATCACGATCCTTCGGCTACAATCAAGGTCTCCTTCCAGCGAGTGCATAGTTCTGATGCGAAACGCAGCTGTCTGAGTCATCCTGTACCCGCCATCTGTCTTGCCTTGCCACGGACGAAAAGTTTTGCCGAGCACAAACAATTCAGAAACAAATATCCAAAGAGTCAGCTTTCCATCCTGAATCTATATTGTATCCGCAGTGAGCCGCAGTGATTCGCAAGGGTCGAGGTGCGACTCATGTGGATCTGTGGGAGGCTGCTGCACATCATCGCAATATTGTCGGCCTTCGCAATCCCTCAAGACTTTGTAGACCGCTTTATGGACAGATCCATCTTCGCAGAAACTTCCAGACCGGTGTGCTCACGTTGTTTCCGCGCTGGTTCAGGCGTCTTGAATAGCTTGTCAGGCTCGTCGTGTGCGCTTAGTAGGCTGCTGTTGCTGCTGACCTGAAGGCGCCTGCCTCCCCTGCTTGTTGCTGATGAGGGGAGAATTATTGGCAGAGTGATTTGAAGCCGCAGCAGCAGACTCTGGTGTCGCAACCTCTGACGACGCTATCGATGCGGACTCGACTCGACCGCGGTCTTCGACTTCAAGGTTGTTAGAGCTGTTATTGTTGTTCGGTTCGTGATTCGTGATATTAGGCACATTAGTGAACATGTCGTCGTAGTCGTTGAAGGCTGGTGCGGCGACATTGTTATCAGTGGCATTCAGGTCAAAGTTTGAGCCGTTGAGTCCGTCGAAATAATCATGATCGGCGTTTAAAAAGTCGTCGACGTTCCAAGGAGCAGGAGGTAGATTCGTATCATCGTGTATGCCAGGAATGCTGCCAGATGGTGACAGGGGTTGGAGGAGATTCGTCAAATTCTGAACGGCTTTGTCCTGCTCAGCCTGCATCTTAGCCAATGAGTCGTAAGTTGCCTTCGAATCAGCAAGCTGCCGATCGAAATTTGTCGGATATGCTGGAGGTGTGGCATTGATCAGCGCATTGTCCCCGTTGGACGAATTTCCACCAGTGTTGTGTATCAGACGCAGCATATCAGCACGCTGGTTTGCGTTGAGAGGGTTGTTGCCGCCAGAGTTCTGCAAATCCGATATCATGTTTGAGAAATCGGCATTTGTACTAGGCGTGGAGTTGCGCGCATTAGAATCATTGATAACATTCATGATATCATGTTGCTGCTGCATTTGAGTGGGTGTATCGCCGGGATCAAAAAGCTCTTCCACTGTTGCTTGGGGCGTCTGGTGAGGTTGAGAAGGCCGTCGGCTCGGTCTGGGTGGGTAAGGACTATTGGCGGTGGACGGAGACATGGTCGAGGCACGACCCTGTTGAGTACCATCGGTAAGTAGTAGGGGTGCTCTTCTGAAAGGTTTCGCGGGTGAATTGCTGTCAGGCGCCAGATTGTCGAAAGTGTAGTCGCCCACGTCAACGACTGTGCCGGAAGGCTGCTCGTTGGGGATAGCGCCAGCTCCAGCGAACAAATTCTGGATACCTGGCATGTCTTCGTGGCCTTGCAACGACCGATTGTAGACTGTTGCAAGAAACGTGAGGATGGCGTTGATGGAGTTTTCATGCCGGCTATGATAATCCTGGTAGGTGTTGGCTTGTTTCACCAGATTCTGGTGGTCTGCGCGGAGTCTGGCCATCACATGCTGAATCTGGTTCTGCTGTTGCTTGATGGTTCGTAGTTCCCGTTGTATAGTCGAGAATTGTTCCGAAGACAAACTGCTGTCTCCTTGACCGAGGGTCAATTGCGGTCTCGGACGAATCCGAGTGTCCGAGACAGGCAGATCATCCACATATTCGTCGATGTCCTCTTCAACCTGATCAACATCTGCTTTCCTGCCCTTCTTGCCTGTTGTGGTCTTGGGCTTCTGGATCAAGTACAGTAGATCTGGATGGCCGCGACGAAAATATGGGTTTGAATACTCGCTTGGTGTCTTGTTCTTTCTCTCGCTTGCTCTCATAGAATTGTCCGACAATCCGACCTTCTTGTGGAAGCCATACATATTCTGTAGCGGTTAGCATTGATCAGCTCTGATGAGACACGACTCACCAATTGTCGCACAAATGATGCATAGTTGTTGTGCTTGAACAGCTCTGGGATGAGGGTCTTTGCGAATTCATCCTCATCTAGGACAATGAACGAATTGCCGTCATCCGACCACCGGATGAGACTCGTGTTGTGATTGTTCTCGAGGAAATTGCTTAACTTCTGCACAAACGGTGGAATTTGTTTCTTCTTGGCCTTTGATTCTGCCTTCGCGATCTGGGCTTTTCGCTCGAGACTCTGGACGTCGTCTGACCATGCATCTCTTTCATCAGGCCATTGGTTCCCAGCATTTTCGTATTTTGGTGCGGGAGTGATTGATTGATTCGCAGGCCGTCGGGCCAGTTGATTCGAGGTATTCGAAGAGTATGCAGCGCGGTTGTCGGCGTAGGCTCCGCTGTTGTCGTATGACTGAGGAGCGGCGCCATTGCCCCACTGCAAGAATTGATCATCCGAGAGACCCTGCCCGGCGAGCGGCGCATATGAACTGCTTGGCTGTTGTTGCTGAGGGACTTGCTGCGTATAGCCCACAGGATTCGCGCCTGGCGCAGGCCGCTTTCTCGAATAGCCTGACATGGCTGCAAAAGTCGGCGCAACAGGAACTTGTCGGAACTAGGCAGCGCTGCCCGGACCAATGCGCGATGGTCCCTATCGCCAGGACTAGGGAGTGTTCTTGACTCCAAATGTTTCGAGGTCGCTGCTCAAGCGAGCCTTTGTGTGTACCGGGATGTGATCATGAGTGAAGATGAGCGGTGTTGAGTGGGCTGTAAGTTGATTGAGGTAGAGAGAAGTGCGATTAAGCTGGGCAATATTTGCAAGAAGAGAGTGTTTCTTTCATTGGTTGCTAACTGTACAAATGGCAAGAAACATGGTATGTACAACCCAAGTTATTGCCAATGTGAAGATGTAGTGGTTGTGCAAGACTGCTTAAAGATTGCGGCCAGCAATGACATCGTTCCGACCCCACGACTTCCGCCAAGCCTGCCAGGCCCAAATGATTCGTCTCCGCTGCCTGCATTGGCACGTATGTTACTCATCATGTCTCCTGAGCTGACCGATGCGGCTCTTGAATCCCATCATAAGGGCATCGCAAGCTCGCTGATTCGATTCAGAGGCATCCGTCAGGGCCTTGATGGCACGCCAGTCTTCGACCATTGTCTCTGGGTTGGTTGTGCCGTTGAGAATGGTCACCTTGCCCAAGCCGAGCACGAGACAATACAGCGCCGCCTGAGGACTGATGCTAAAGGCATCGCTAAGTTGTCTTACTTCAAGTGATCGCAGCAGACCTGGATTCGCTGCCAACGTCCAGAAGGCTTCGTAGATTATGCCCCTCTCCTCGCAGAACTTGCGTAAACCGATATCGTATTTAGTGTCAGCATAGAACCTGTTCTGCACTGCCACAGGCTTGATGTTGCTGCGCTCGTACAACTCCACTGTGTAGATAGATTAGCTTTGCTTCGAAAGATGATCATCAAATGGAGGATGGCAAGAAAGAGGGCGGCAGTCATGTGTCGGGAGGCCTTTGTGCTTTCCTCCAGGCAAACATTCTTGTTATCGCTCGATTTCCGGTGCAAGCCTCCCAGGTTACTTACTGAGCGTGAACAGGTTGCAATTGGAGATCCCGAGATTTCGTATCTCTCCTGGGACGAATTGTTCAAGAGTCTGCCAGACCTCGAGGGTCTCAGCCATCGTGGGCATCGGGGAATGGAGGACCAAGGTATCGATGTACGGCTCTTTCTCGTCATCATGCTCACAGACGTCGGCGAAGTTGAAGTTACGCAGCGACGACATGACGGAGGCACTGACTTGTTCTGCTAGAGGCAACTGGGCATCGTATGGCATCGCCTTTGGGTCCTGGCCATGGATTGAGGTGAATTTGGTCTGGAGGTAGAGATCTTTCCTTCGAATAATTTTATCTTTGATAGCTCGGCTGATGCCGGCAGCTACGAGATCCTCCGATAGTGTTTTGGCTGTGCTGCCGTGTCGATTGCCGTACTGATGCTGTTAGCATGCAAGATTTGCTTGACCGAGGAAAGTTTAGGTAAGCCCTGGAGGAAGACGAATGCATGGAACGCTGGTACGCTGGTTCCTGTGCCACCGCCGCTCCGGGATAGACCTACAAGCCTTTCGACAGAGCCTCGTACACGAGACGCTCAGTCGCTTCCTTCTTCCATGCTGTTCCGTAGATGAATGGCGGAAGCTTGACGACTGACTTCATATGAGGTGATTGAATCATAAGCTTTTCGAGTATGGCAGCCATATCTCGCAAGCAAGCATGTCAGAGCAGCAGGACTCACACCGATGCCATGAGAAGTGCGTCTTCAAGTGTCCCTCCAGCAACTCGTTTGATGATGGATGGAGTATCAATTGAAGCTACTACTCAGTGCTGCTTCGGAAGTTGTTCATGCAGTGTTGTTGTCCAATGGTCTTGGCAGAATATTATGACTTAGCTTGTGCGACGTCCTTCTCCTTACCGGACGCGTATCCGCTCCAAGGTCATTAGCATCTGCGTGGTTGCCTACGAACGGAGCGTAGGTGACGCACGAAAATTCATTTGGCTACGAAACGATTGTGGTTGTAAATGTCAGGGAATCCAGATTGTTTTGTACGAACTGGATCGGAATTCGGCAGGGGGCAGAATTTCATGATAGGCGGGCCGGGATGGCCCTTGCGCACCAAACAAGCTCCCTTCGCATGGCAGCATGGGTCCCGCCCCGGCCAACAGCTCCGTCCCGCCGCCACTCTTTGTTGTGTTGCCTCATTCTTCAAGCATAGGCCACCTCGGCCATCAACAAGTCATGAACTCACATTATTGTACACAACCTATGAAGATTCGGGGGGCCATCTCGCAGCACCGCACTTTTGGGCCCAGGGTATATCTCTGGGATCTGTGTCACACGATCAGGAAGGGTCATCTGCAGATGATTGGAGCTCAGCAGACCTCCCCGAATGCATGCAGGTGTAGGTCTTTATCGTCCGGTTGGTTGTCGTAGTCTGAAGTCGCTGCAAGGTGAGGCGTCATCTGCCATAACAACTTGTATATTGCACTTGGTGCGTCCTGTCTTCGGCGGACTGCCCTCTACGTGTCTCGAACGTAACAGACCATGCTGTCAATAGGGATCATGATATTCCAGCAGTGTCGGAGACCCGAGAATGGATGTCTGTTCAGTGTTCAGGGGCCCGATGTACAAGTTCGTGGTGGCGGCCAGGGAGGACCTCCCCTGGGCCCGCCAGCACATCATCATACAGAACATTGGTGAAGAAGCCTTGTTTCGAAGATCATCTAGAAGGGTATGGTCCCACAAATCCATCACACCCCAAGAGCTGGCAGGCCAATACAAGGTGAAGATAGCGAAATTATGGTAGAAAGTGTGAGGTACTATGAAATTGGCCATCCACCCAAAGGTGCCCCGAGTTCATGGGCTAGTCTGCATGTTCTCAGCTAGCGCATTTTCTCCCCTTACTCTGTGCTCAGCGCCGTAGAAGTCGCATCCTGGATTATTTTCCTTCCTTCACCAGAATTCCTTAGACCTGCAATATTCATCTTCGACTTGCTCAAAACACGAGGCTCTGCCATCCTCTATTGCACCGATCGTCTCTCCGCGGTAGAACGATCGTGCCCGCTCTCGATACTGGTCTCGAGGGGGTACGCCAGTTTACACTGCAGCTATCTCTCATCTTTACGCACTAGATTACCTGCCGAAAACGCCTTTCCGAGCACCATCACCCGTAATGAACCACTGATATTCTGCCTCACCGACCACGTTGCAACACGCGAGAAGCGAACATCATCACAAGCAAGACTCGAGCCGAGTCACACGATAGCTACGAACAGCAATCCACCGTTTGAGCGACCAGCCCACGACCTACCGCCGCCGCAACTCTGGCGCTCAAAATGACAACGTTCAGCAATGTTGGCGAACCTGCCTACGACGACTTCAATCGCTCGCCGAGAGGATTCCGTCAGCCGCCTCCCGTCCAACGCCAGCCAGGCAGACAAGACGGATTCTCGACGATGCATGGACCATTTGGGCTGGATCACAACATGCCTGCCAATCGCTTCGGTAGAGGCGATCCGTTTGGCAACAGCTTTCAACAGCCGGCGGGAAACAATATGTCTCATTTTCCCTATGATCTGAATGCTGCTCAGACCTGGAACTCGCCCGCGCCTCCTATGCCTTCGCTAAGCAACGGTATGGGGCCCATGGGCCAGAACGGCGACTTCGGTCCTGCTCGAAGCGTCAAGCCCAGTCGCGGTCGCACCGCTATCAACCAGGTATGTGAGAGTGAGAGGGAAGCGGGACTTTGGTCTAATTGCATAGCAGATCTGGTACGATCAGGCACAAGGTCCTCAACAGCAGCCTCCATCTATCAATGCACCCCGCATCCACCCTGGCCGAATGGATGATGACGATGATGAGCTCATTCCAACAGCTATAGTGATCAAGAACATTCCTTTTGCTGTCAAGAAAGAGCAGCTTGTCAATCTGATGGTCGAGATGAATTTGCCTCTGCCCTATGCCTTCAACTATCATTTCGATAACGGTGTGTTCCGCGGCTTGGCTTTTGCCAATTTCACATCGCCGCAGGAGACCGAAGCCGTCATCAATGCGCTGAACCACATGGAACTCAGCGGACGCAAACTGCGGGTCGAGTACAAGAAAATGCTACCCTTGGCCGAGCGCGAACGTATAGAGCGCGAAAAGCGTGAGCGCCGTGGGCAGCTGGAAGAGCAACATCGTCCTCTTCCGCAAACACAGCTCTCGAATCAGCTTTCTCTCAACTCTCTTGGACCAGTGCGCAACACTCCTTCGCCTATGTCGTCCAGATCAGCTGTCGCGCAGAAGCCAGGTAAGTCGGGCAGAGCGATCATTCTATCCGTAGCTGACGATCATGCAGACGTTGATATGAACGATCCTCGTACCCTGGAACTCTATTCCGAGCTTTTCATGTTCCAGCGGGACACTTCTCGCGAGATCCTCATCTTCCCGACCACTCTCGACCCCCAGGAGCGCCGCACTGTCCATACCCTTGCCCACAATATGGGCCTGCAGCATGGCAGCAGAGGCACTGGCGAGCAGCGTCAAGTCCACATTTTCCGCGTCGCTTCTGGCAATAATGTCAGCCCTCCTGCATTGTCGGGCGCGTTTGCTTCCAGCGAAGGTCTGCGCCAGACTCTGGGACGTTCGTCAACAGGTGACATTGCTCATGATCGTTATGAGGGTGTCCCGAATTACAACAACAATAGCAACGTTCTCCGAGGCCAGTCTTCTGTCGGTCTGCTTGACGTCGATGGTGGGTATGGTCGCAATGCTGACAACAATCTGCGTAACGCCAAGAGCTTTGCTGATCTGCGGACCTGGAGTCCATCACCTGGCCAAAATTCTGTGAACTTCCCATCGGCTCTTCAAGATAACGGTGCGCGACTCCAGCGCCAGCAACAAGCTATCAACGACGCCACCAACGGCTCTAGCACCCCCAGCTTAACTCAGAACGAGCACCAGTCTCGTGCCCCTGCCGACGCGTCATTCCTCATTTCTGGGATGACCACCATGAACATTAGCAACGGCGCGAATACTAGTCCACGCCGTCAGCGCAGCCTCTTCGGCGCCAGCGACTGGAACGATGCCTCCAACTACCAACCCGCTGGACCGATTGGCAGCAAACGCGCTGTCAGCATGGGACCCAACAACCAGGAGCTAGGTCCATCCCGCCAACCTCGTGGACCGGCCTCCAACACCGTCGGCTTCCGACGACTTAACGGACGTGGTGATAGCGACGAGTTGCGTAAAGCTACGTCTGCTATCGCCGAATGAACAGGATACCCCCTTCAATACTGGAAACGCCACCAACAGTATTCTTACGAATCGCACGATTCACGATGATAACGAAATGCGGAACAGGAAAAGTTAGACGCATGGGAACAGTCTCGCGGCTGTTTGTATTGGACTAGTCGACTATTTCGAAAGACCGTTTGATTGCGACGAGACCATACGACCAACCCAAAATTCCAAGACGGACGCAGAGATCTAGGGTAAGGTGATTTCCTTCTTCAGCTAGGCTAGTGCCTACGATTTTGCCACGCTGTGGCTCCATGTACATTTGAGAGACGACCATGCATCCGGAACGGTGAACACGATGGACGGGTAGTGAACGATTTGTTTGTCATGAATACGGAGGTAGCTGGTGCATATGAAGGGCGAGAAAGGAAGCATATGTCTGGTCACTCACTGCATTACTGCTAGAAGCAGGATATCCCCCAACCGACCTACGCAAACTAATAGTAGACATTAGTCGTCTGCGAGCTGCTTAATTGATGATCATTGTTGTTGCATGTTGAATTTCCTGCTGCATACTGCCTACTTTCTTGTCATCCTGTGACTTCTGGCTACACTACACTGGCAAGCCTGAAGCTCCTGCGCCTGCAAAGTGACCTCAAGGCTGCCAAGCCCGGTATTCTAGCCGCATGTAACTCCTCTCCAACATCAACGCGGTCTGAACTCCTCTGTCACACGCTTGGTTCGTAGTATGGTGTGCCTAGCGGTATGAAATCCAAATCATCGTATTCGAACTCAAGTGGACCGCCCGTGCGAATGCCCTGCGGTGTATACCAATGCGGATGCGCTACAAACGCCACGACACTGACTCTGACGCCATACCGAAGATCCTGCGTTCCAAGAGCATAGCCATCAGTTCCCACCAGCGAGATCAGGTCTGGCACAGTGCACAACACCTCCCCTCGTTTCCTGTCCGGCTTCGACGCCGCCTCGCCGGGCTCAACAAGTTCAGCGTAGAGATATTCGTTCTGGAATGGCAGTACCATCTCCCGCTTTTCCGCGCTGAGCACCTCGTCGCCGTACTCCTGCTCGTCTTCCGAGAGAGGTTTGAGGCGGACGCTGCCTTCGGTGTAGCCGCCAGCGGAGACGTAGCGGTGGACATGCACGATCTTGCCGGTGTACAGCACTCGTCCGGAGGGGTTGGCTTCGACCTGTATGGAATTTGTCAGCGGCTTACGAGATTGGCAGAATCACGATCAGGAAAACTTACAATTGCCTTCATGATGCTGGTATTTTGCTGCTTTGCAAGGTACACAGCCCGACCGATGTACCATGCCAGCGAGGTTGTGCCGAGAGTACCGACCTGTTTTGTCTGTTTGACAGTCAACGGTGGAATGACCATTTGACTGAAAAGACCGATCTCCTGACCAGCTTTGCGGTGGATCTTCTCGAGCTTCCGGATGTCCTGACATTTGTTGACCGTGACGACATTGCCCATGCCATCACTTTGGGTGCATGGCGTGGCCGGAAGGTCATAGAGATATGGAGTAAGCAAATACAGGCGAGGGTATGCTCGTCCCATGAAGTCACCATCGATTGCTGGCACACCATAGTGGAGACCTGTGAGCATAGGCCGGATGCCATTCATACCGCCTATCTCGATTGCAGCTTGCGCGGCCATCTTCAGTCCGGGATGGCACTGCAACAATGCGTCTGTGGCGTCGATCGCCTCCGTCCCGCTGGGAAGTCTCTCTGTTGTGACCGTTGGCGCACCGTACGAGATGCTGCCCATAATGTATTCATCTTCAGGCAAGGTATTGACATCCACAATGCACAGGCGCTGACCGTTTTTGAGAGCAGCCCGCCCAGCCATATAGCACATATAACCCGGCCCGCCACCACCACACGCCAGGATACTACATCCAGTTGCCAGAAACTCCAGATCGACTTCCGAGACCCACCATTTGCCGCCCTTGTCGACTTCCGGGCTGTACTTGGTAAGATCAACCAGTGCGGAAGGACTAACGATGAAATCCTTGGGGTCTTTCTCGACGTCACGCTTCATTCGTTTACCGCGTACGAAAGTATCTGCTGCTTGATCCTCGGGTGCGATCTTGAGTTGGTCGATCAGAACACTTTTCCTGCTGAGCGCCCCTGCTGCGCGCGCCACAATCCGATTAGCTCGCATCTGTACGTACTGCAGAGGCATATTGTCCAACTCAATGATCTCCACTGTTTCCGGATCGGCGCCTGCGTCTACTGCAAGCTGTTTGGCCTCCTCACAAACTGAGTTGACGACCTCTTCTTCGTCCTGGTTCTCGAGGACTTTGATCACATCGACACTGCCGGAGACTTTAGCAATAGCTGCTCCTACGGCATTGGCACAGTCGTGGAATTGTGGTCGAATGAGTTCACACACGCCATCGAGCTCGTCCATATTGACGATGCTGCCCCCGCCAACCACGATGACAACTGCTGGATCTGCACTCAGCTTCATGATGTCGATTGCGTTCTCCAGAATCTTCTTCATGGCTACCCGAGCGGCTGCTATGGTCGACTGGGGAATGTGCTGCACTTTGCTGATGTCCCCAATTTCTGCCTTGCCTGCTGCGACCACAACATCTGCTTGGGTGTTTAGCGAAGTACTCTACCTGGCTGTTCGCAAATCGGCGGACGTACCTGTTGCGGTCAAGGTGTTCCCACCAAAGACAAGCCCCTCCTGTAGCAACCGATGTCCAACTGACTCTGGCCCAACTTTCGTCTTCGAGTCTGTCACCTCTACCAGTGTGCCTCCACCCAGGCCAACCGATACGACTTCCGGCATAGAGAACGAGCTCCGCACACCACCAATATCGACCCACGTACCAGCTTGTCGAGGGAATCCCGACGGCAGCAGCGCACAGACGTCAGTAGTTGTGCCACCGATGTCTGCGACTATCACAGGAGCTTTTGGCATCTTTCCCTTTGCGGTGTCGAACCCGGCAAGGTAGGCCGCTCCAGTCATTGAGTTCGTCGGTCCACTTGAGAATGTGCGAATCGGGCACCTTTCAGCTGTATCCGCATCAATTATTGTGCCGTCATTCTGTGTGAGAAATAGCGGGCAGGTGAGTCCCAACTCCTGCATGGCCAACTTGAAGCCTCGGATCGTTGACCGAGCGAACTTGAGGATGGAAGTGTTGAGAATCGTGGCATTTTCCCGCTCCAGGAAACCGAGCTGTCCAATGTCTCGCGAACAGACTACGTCCGCGTCTGGAATCTCTTCTTTGACGATGTTCCGCACCTTAACTTCTTGCTTACCTTCTGTATCGAGGGGCGAGAAGATGCCAATGATTGCGATGTCGTTGATCCATTTCCCTCTGATTGTCTGGCACTCCCGTCGGATCTGCTCCTCATCCAGAGGCATGATTTCCCTCGTGTCAAACTCCAGACCACCATCTAGATACGACACATGTCCGTTCATGAGCCGGGAAAGAATGGGCGGAAAGTCCAGAAAAGCTGGATTCTCCTGGCTGTAGGGACCACATATCCTCATCACCGCCACCCGTCGCAAACTTGAGTCATCTGCCTGTACGACTGCGTTGATGAAGTGGGTTGTGCCGATCATCACGGCGGCAATACTCGATAGTGACACGTTGCATTGTGATAGAGCGCCCTGGATGGCTTTGGCGATGCCCTCGGTCACGTCTGGTGTCGTTGGTGTCTTAAAGGCACTCCTTATACCCCTGTTTGGTAGGTCTGACTCGCCGGTGTGTATGATCACGGCGTCGGTGTTGGTTCCGCCGACATCGACGCCGATTCTGAATACTTTTTGGACCGTCATATTATTGGTATTGGTGTTGCTTTGGGGTGTGGGCGAACCTTAGAAGTGGTGTTGACCATTACACGTTCTGTTGTGGGAGGTGATACCTACTAGACCGGTCCTGGGGGCGGAACAGCTGCTTCATTCAGCCTACCTTGAATCATGAACTCGAGAGGCAGCGTCCCCGAGCAAAGGGTTGCGTGCTCAGTATCTGAACCTTTCTCGGGAAGGACTCTGTTTTGACTTTACACTTTGATTTTGATAGCGCTGAGTGCGTTTCTCCAACTACGACTGCAGGGTCGCCTCCTTATTCATTCTGAATGACAGCGACAGAATCACCAGATATCAACTACCAAGAAATCGCGTTGCTCAATGCATTGCCTGCCCACGCAACACTCTCAGGGTACCGATAGCGACCTCTGTCTCACTGTAGCGGCAGTAAGCCGACGCGTCGTTATCTTGCTATGGGTTCGAGTTCATGGATGAATGGGTCGGCGAGACATTCCTGACCCAGAATCGACCTTGATCTGCCGAGAAATGATAGACTTTGACCGAAGCCTATCATCCCACACCATGTATCCCACGCAACGCATGATGGGAAGAGGAAGGATCAACTATGCTGCGGTCAACTTTCGGAAAGGTCAAAGACTCAAAGATCTTCTTGATAGAGATTCCATTGTCGCCAGTCGGCGAAGCATGCTTTCCCCGGATTTCCAACGACCGGCCCTGCATTGATACGGAAGAGCTCCTTTATCGACAACAGCCATGTGGCAGAACTTTGATAGTCTATCGCAGACCTGGAGAGTCTCGACTCGATGTTCCACGTGGATCTATCTGCTTGCGTGACCGACCGTCTGCAGTTAAGTATCGCGTGAGCGACTCCGCTCTCTGTGATAGTTGAGTAACGCCAGACAGAAGGATACATCCTTCGTTCATTCAGGGTCACAGCACCACAGAGTCCTCCACGTATCCTTTGCAGCACAGACAAGATGCCGTCTACGACATTGGTAAGAAGAGCTCTTAGGAAGATTTCTCTTCCCGAGGAGCAAGAGTCGAACAGATGGTCCAACGAAGACATCCGTCCAGTGCCACCCGAGCGGCAGCGATGGGGCTGGCTACAGTTCGTCGAGCTGTGGTTTTGCATAAATCTCAACATGTCCAGCTACCAGACAGGTGCTGCTCTTCTCGCCAGCGGGCTCACCTTTTGGCAAGCCATTCTGGTCATCGTGTTCGGTAATGCCATGGCCACCGGCTTCGCTGTGCTCAACTCTGTCTCTGGCGCGCAGTCTCATCTGGGCTTCCCAATCGTAAGCTTTAGTACTCTGGCTTGTGGCCGATTGGGATCAACTAACACAACGCCAGGTATCGCGCTCGGTATGGGGGATGTACGGCGCATACTTTCCGGTGCTGAACCGCATCCTCACGTCAGTCGTCTGGTATGGCGTGCAAGCTGTCATTGGTGGCAACATGATCTGGATCTGCCTGCGCTCCATCTGGATGGATATTGACGAGAGAATCCCCAATACACTCCCGGCAAATATCGGTATCACCTCCTCAAAATTCGTAGGCTACGTCCTCTTCAACATACTGTGTGCCATTTTCATCTGGTTTCGACCTCAACAACTCCGCCCATACTTCCACTTCGCCTCGGTTCTAGTCTTCCTTACCCTCTTCATCTTCCTCGGCTGGGCAGTCGGTACAAGCCAGGGCTACGGCTCAGTCTTTGATTCCAAGTCCACCATGGCATCCGAGGAGTTGGCCTGGAAAATGGTCGCAGGCATGATGAGCGTCATCGGCTCCATCTCCTCCGGCATCCTCAACCAGAACGACTTCACCCGTTTCGCCAAGAAGCCCTCGCACGTCACATGGTCACAAGCCGGCTCCTTCATGACCAGCTCCTGCACCGTCGCCATCATCGGTGTCGTCTGCACGGCCGCCACCCAGCAACAGTACGGCGACGGAACTCCACTCTGGAACCCCGCTGACCTCTTCGCCAAAATCCAAGACACGCACGGCTCGCGCGGCCGCGCCGCCGCTTTCTTCCTCGGCATCGTCTTTATCTTCTCACAGCTCTCCATCAACGTTGTCGGTAATGTCCTCGCCGGTGGTCTCGACGTCGCTTCCGTCTTCCCCAAGTACATCAACCTCCGTAGGGGTGCCTACATCCTCGCCATCCTCTCCGTCGCCCCTAACCCTTGGCAGCAACTCGCCTACCCTGGCACCTTTCTATCCGTGCTGTCCGCCTATGCTGTCTTTTTGGGCCCGATGATCGGCCTGCTATGCGTTCACTTCTGGATCATCCAGCACCGCAGCTTCAATGTCCCGGACTTGTACGAGGGCTCCAGCAGAAGTTTGTACTGGTATAAGTGGGGCACAAATTGGCGCACGGTAGTGGCATGGACGCTTGCGATTATCCCGTCTATGCCTGGCTTCGTGGGCAGTGTCAACAAGAATGTGCAGCTTGGGTCGGGCGCAAATCGGGTCTTCAGTTTGAGCTTCTTGCTGGGGTTCACTTTGGGTGAGTCTTCCTATACCGTTTCTCGCTGAGGCGAGATGTACTAACGTTGTCGCTCCTAGCCGCAATTTTCGCATACCTCTTCAATTGGATCTGGCCGTACCCATATCCCACCCACACAATCCTGCTAGATGGCTCGGATGCGTCGAGAACGGGCGAAGACGCGGACGGTGCTGAGAAGGGCCTGCCCCATGTTACGGCAACGGAGACGGGATCCAATTCCGTATCGGATATGGAGGAAGTGCATCATGATGTCCATGGTGACGATCAGAAACGCGTGGAGGGCGCTTTTGCAAAGGTTTAGACCCAGCAAGCCTGGCTCCCGGATCGCGATAATGCAGGGCTCCGTGGAATAGGCTGAACAGCTCTCCCTCTCTTTCATAGGGAGCAGATTCGACACCACCTAGTGTGTTGTTCACAATTATACGATTAATCATATCTCGGTACATGTCCGCAACTAGTTCAGTACGTCGTGCTTCGCTTCTATATTTCATAGGATCGAGCGGGCGGAACCAAAGTTTCAGGCGTTATCGTGCAGTTCGAAAAGCTGGCTTCTTACTCAGCCCGAGAACTCTCAGACTTTTGCTTGCAACTCTTTGCCCAGCTCATTTTCGACGAACCAGCGCAGCTCCGCCCGCGACCGTTCCCTGCACCGCGCATTTCTTCGAATGTTCGCAATGATATAACCTGCCGGCTTCACCAACTCCGCACCACTACGAGCAGCGAAGAACTGCTCGATGTCCTCAGCAAGAGCCGTGTCTGCGAAATGGCTCAGACTCGCCTCAAGGAACCACGCGCGAACCGTGCCATTCTCGTTCAGTCGTTGCGAAACCCGGTCCCAATGTCGCTTGATGTACTCCCACTGAAGTCTTCGGCAATTGCGATTCTTGCCCAGGGATCCGCCGAGGATGTGTAGATGTTGGAGGTCGATGATGCTGTCGTCGCAGAAGGCCAGGTCAAGAAGTCGCGTGGCGAGGTCTGGATGCGTGGTGGCAGCAAGGGCTGTGAGCAGGTCTTCTTGTATCTCTATTGACTGCTCGGCGTCGAAGGAGTCGAGGATACGGGCGAATACAGACGGGTCCGGCCCGTTCACAGATGCAGATAAAATGGCTGAGCGGAGGTGAGGTTTAAGCTCCTTCAACGAAGGGGCATCCCGGAACATCGTCCGCGCTTGGCTGAGTAGCTCGGTGTCGGACGCCAGAACAGCCAGACGATACACATTCTTCTCCATTTCATCTTTCTTGTAGGATGATCGCGGATCGGAGTCTTTGGATAGTTGCTCGTGGTGGGACTGCATGGAGCGCAACAGTACACCGGTGAAGTGTTGCAGCAATTGGCTTGATGCAACCTCATCTGAGAATATGTTGTGGAGATTTTCCAGTGCTCGAGTGATTGACAGCCAGAGATAGACGTCTGTATGATTTTTGAGACGCAAAATGAGTTCGAGGAGATCACCAGCGCTCTTCTTACCTACCAACACCAGAGTGCTCATATCTGCCACCAAGCCGGCCAAGTCTGCTGAGGATAATCCAGGTTGGTGCCTGAGTATAGAAAGCAGAGCTTCACTGTCGTATGCCACGGTATAGCTGCCGCTATGACCTTTGTTAACGATAGAAAGAATTGTCTCTGGCATTTCAAGTTGTTCATTACCGACGAGCATCAGTTCGTCGCCATCAGGACGGCAGCGGCCCAATGGCGTATTCCACTGGTTTGAGCAGGACTGGAAGCCTGCGAACTTCCCCCGGCCTTCGCTTTCGGACAAGGCGAGCATGCTAGTCTGCCTCAGAAACGTGCTTTCCGCCTCAGAAGAAACTGTCACAACAGGGAATGACGGAGAATATATCCAGCTGTGCATCAACAATCCAACATCCTGGCCTGCAGACATACTCATTGCGCGCCATAGATCCTGTGAGCTAGCATTGTCGTATGAGTTCTCTCTGAGATAGCTAGAAAGTCCGGTGAGAAAGGTTTTCTGACCAATGTGATCGACGAGCATGCGGATAGTAGAGCTTCCCTTGAAATATGAGATATTGTCAAACATCTGAAGGGCGTCTTCCTCAGTGCTAACTTCCGATTTAATGGCATGAGTGGTGGGTAGCTGTCGATCTTGAGTGTATCATCAACTGTTTCTGCAACATATTGGCTCCAGATGTCCCACTCTGGAAAGAGCTCATCGACCGCCATGTATCCGGCCCAAGTTGCGAAACCCTCATTCAGCCATAATTCTGACCAGTCGTTCATCGTGACCAGGTTGCCGAACCACTGATGACCTAGCTCGTGCGCTATCACATAGGCTGCTTTCGACTTGACACGGTGCGAGGATGCGCTAGAGTCAAAAAGGATCTTTGTAGGTCTGAGGATGTCAGTCAAATTGAAGTCTGAAGAGCGGCAAGAATTGATGACTGGACGAGAACTCACTTATACGTGATGAGACCCCAATTCTCCATCGCCCCACACACAAATTCGGGCACGACCAGATGGTCACACTTGGGAAGAGGATAGTCAATTTTGAAAAGCTTCTTGTACAGATCCAGGACTTTACAGGCGACATCGAGTGCGAAGTGGGCCGAGCGAAGCATACCGATAGGAGTGTAGACACGAACGGTGACTGGGCTACCACCATGATGCTGCTCCGTCTTTGATTCGATGTATTCAAGATCTCCTATGGCCCAGGCGAGGAGGTACGTACTCATTTTAGGGCTGCGCTCGAATAGCACGCGTTGCAGCGTATGATCCGAAGGCACGTTGGTGACTGTCTTCACAGGCATATTGCTGAGAGCCGTAAAGTAAGTGGGGACCTCCAATTGTAGGTCAAAAGTTGCTTTGAAGTTTGGTTCATCGAAACATGGGAAAGCAGTGCGTGCGTAGCATGGCTCAAATTGAGTGGTGAGTAGGAAGACATCGTCGCCGTCCTCGCTCTTATACTTGGCTCTGAAGAAGCCGCTCATGCCATTGCCGATATCGCCTTCGTACTCGATGTTGATCTGCACGGGGCCTGGTTGCAGAGTTTGGGACAAATCGTAGACGGCGACATCTGGGCTATCATGGCCCTCAGAAGTAGCCTCACAGCCACCTTTAACATGTCAGTCACTGCACATGGCATCTTTGGGACGTACTGACGTATGACTGTGTCCGACTGGATGCAGCAGACGTGAGATACTGCGAGTCCAGAAGCATGGAAGCGTATCTGATTGGTGGCTTTGGCCACTGCTGTGATCGTCACTGAGCCCTTGAACCGCCATATAGGAGCATATCTGATCGAAGAAATGCATAATTGATAATGGATCGGCCTGATCGAGCCATCTCGAGCTGAGGAAGTGCTCATTCCTTTCAGAGGGTTGATTGTTCCGTTCGTTCAACAGTGCATAGCCACCTGCCAATCATTTGCGTGTTGGTTGCTCTTCCCCTTGCTGACGAGGCTGACCTTCTCGCAAAAATAGTCAATCACCCGGTTACTGGTTCACTCTTGCCTGTCGACATCCACTGAATCACGTGTCGTTCTGTATCTCGAGTTTGCGCCCACCAAATTGTTGGAGCTGCCATCTTCAGCAGAGATTCGTACCTATCACTCTCAATCAAGGTAGCTATCTAGCTCTGCCTTCCGATGAAACTGCATACTCAATCTCCGCTGCTCAGAGTTGGCAGGCATGCCGACTGACGAGACAAGGACGAGAGGTTGATTTGAGGTGTGGGAAGGCGTCGCCGAGGAACGAGGCCGCCGATAAGGGCGGGCAAAGTCAAAAGTGGGATTCGACGCCACCCGTCATTTGTATCAGACCTCCACCTTTCTTCGGCGACAACTTCTTGTCAACGATGATGAGGACCCTTTGCCCAGCTTGCATAACACATACCGGCATGGACTTGATGGCGGAGTGGCAATGGCCAACACGAAAACACGTGCATCGAAGCCGCGTAGTAGGACATTCAGTGGCTGTTTAACATGTCGTAAACGGAAAGTGAAGTGTAGCCTGGAACGGCCATCCTGCTCAAATTGTGTACGTCTTCGTCTTGAATGTGAAGGCTATGACGGGGGACTATCCTGGTTGCCGAACTACACACCAGGCACAGAGAAGGAGGATGAGAAGCATAATGGCAAATGGCGAACGCGGTCAGAGATGTTTTCTGGTAAGTCGGCAGCCTCTACGCCAAACGCCTTCTCATCTTTACATGGCTCATACTCAAGACCATCAATATTGACGCAGTGCGAGCAGATCAGATGAGAGAGCTCGAGGCGACAAAGTTGATGTGCCACTTGACAGAAAACTCTTCTGGTGCAGATGTAAATGACTTACTGGATCAGCTTGAACAGGCGGCGGAAGAGGAGCAATTTCTTAGGGCCGGCAATGACCGCCAGTTCACTATCGGTCCATACTCTGTCTTCTCGACGATCAAGGCACCAAAGATCACTGTCGCTGAGCTTGACCCTAATGATGTGGTTGGTGACGACCAAGATCCGCCTACAACACCGACACCCTTCGCGACTCTGAATCCATATTCGGATCCGTACACTTTTCACACTGGTCTAAGCCAATATGGGACCGATAGTTCTCAGGGAGCCTTACTCTACGATGACAGCGACTTCTTCATCGGACACGAGACGTTTGACTTCAGCATCGACCCAGCAGTAAATTTACCACTCTCGTCACACTCGCCAAAGCAGGTCAATCCACACAATCAAGCACTCTCAACTCCGTTCAACTTCAATGGGGAGCAGGAACAGCAGACAGAAATTGAACTGGATCCATGGACCAGCCCTCAGTTGTGTTCCTCGCCCTCTAGCTCGCCTTATCTCCCGTCGAATGTCAGGTTCCTTCTCAATCACTATGCTACGCATGTTATCGATTCGCTCACCAGTGTTCCCCTTCCGAAAGAGCGATCGCCATGGCGTGGTCTCCATTTGTCCTGCGCAATGACCGCCTACGGAGAAATGGATGTCCTCGGTACATCCAGTCTCGCCAGAGTCTCGTTGCTATACAGCCTCTTATCGCTGACTTGTTCCCATCTGAGCTCTATGTATCATTCAGACGAAGCAAGCACTACAGTTAAGGACTCAGGTTCCTTTCGACAGGCGATGGAATCAGCTCAGCACTGGTCGGGACAGGCGCAGAAGTTCCGCAACATTGGTCGCGTTGCGTTTCGAAAGCACTTAGAATCCATTGACGCTTCCCACAAACCCAAGTACAAGGAGTCTCTCATGGCTGCTATGAGTCTGGTCTGCGTTGGCATTATGAGTGGTGATGTTTGGGATTCGCGATTCTACATCTTGCAGTGTGAGAACATCATCAGGAAGTTGGGTGGGAACAAAACCCGGTTTTCGAAGAAGGCCCTGCAGTTACATCGGATCTTTGCCTTTATCTCCATATTGGAGAGAACAACATTCTTCCAAACGGAGACCGAGTATGGCGAGCTTCTCGAAGATAACGAGTGCATCACAAGTGAGGCTGGTAGGATCAACTGCGCGACCAGTGCCCAGCAGGACCTTGTGGTCAATCTGTCCAGAGATAACGAGTCTCGACTTACAGTACACGAATTGAAGCTTGATATCGCTCGGGATGCCGGTTTCGAGACCTTCTCGGGCATTCCTGGCACTTTATTCGACATGCTAGCAACGACAAACACCCTGATCGAGAAGATTGGAGCCAGGGCTCTGCGTGGAACAAATCAATACTCGATTCCTATCGACTTGTTGGATGAGGTGGCCCAGCTGGAACACACGATCTGCAACTACGAAACGGAGTCGGCGTCCTCATGCCGAAGGTTAGACTTTCTTCAGTCCTCTACTGCTTTAGCATACCTCGACACGGATGAAGCTGCGGCAGACTCGAGCAGTGTGATGGCATTCAGCATGCGCAATGCAATATACAACGCCTTGCTGGTTTACTTCTTTCGAGAGATTCGCAACACTAACGCCAAGATTCTCCAGCACTACGTCAAGAAGGTGATCGTATGCCTCGAAACCCACCAAAAAGTCAAGTCACGGCACTATTCATCGAACCGGATTGGGTTGGTGGTGTGGCCGAGTTTCATCGTTGCATGCGAAGCGCTGAGTGCTGATTTGCGGAGTCGCGCCATCGCTTGTATTGGGCATGCTGTCGAGGCGGGCTTTAAGAACGGGGAGATAGCCCAGACTGTGGTTCGAGAGGTTTGGAGACAGCGCGACGCCGGAGATGCGAACGTCTCGTGGCGCGAGATTGTGCGGAGATCGGGCGTGTTTATGTTGTTGACTTGAAGCAGGCCTCGAAAGAGACGCTGACCTGAGCACAAGTCGAGCATATGTCAGATCACTCGGCGTCACTGCTAAAGGCAGGTTAGATATCCCTCAATAAACCTGCGCGGGCTAGTAGCAGATATTAGTCATGTGCGAATTGCCCATGGTTTCGCTGAACGAGACGAAGCGCTGCTCGTGTTGCCCAATTGTGTGAGAAGCTGTGGTCTTGAAATGCAGATATCAGGACATCAAACGTTGGGGTCACTTCCTGCGCATCGATGCCAAGCCCGGCAATCAGCCGTGGCACTCCAGCTTCCACCAGCGGCCTTCCATCAGCCAGAATACCATCCTATGCACTTAATCTTTGTCGCAGGTCTTTCCTGCTTGATTGAAGCCTTCAGAAGCTCCTGTCCATTGACCCCAGGGCTTTTTTCGGGTCTTTCTACGAGTCTGTGGGCTAAAATGGCCTTCATCCAATTGAGAGGGCTATCCCTGGCCCTCTCCTTAGCACACCATATTGAGGGTCTCTACTGACATCGAATCCTTCTATTGCTGCTAGAGGTCTTCTCACTGTTCACGAGGATCGTCAGGACTGTCTCAGCAACCCCAGAGAGACAATGAAGTCGCTCTTTCCAGGACACTGACCGAGTTTCTTTTGGCCGTGGCCACCAATTGAAGTGTCGAGAATGCGCTAAACCCGAAATGGTTTTGGCACAAACACTGCAGTGACTCAAGAGTCAGCGAAGGGAGAAGCTGCGCCTGGAGGTGCCCGCTGAGGCCTGTTCTTGTCGATTTGCTGGCTTTTCACTCGTCCAAAATCCGCCTTCCGCCCTCCAAAACACCCGCGCGATCAACCCTGCCACAACAGAGAAACATCTCCTCACCATCACTTTGCGCCCGTGTGGATTCTTTCTCGCTCGATCTTCTGACTTCACTAACTTCATTATCCATCTTCACTTTTGTTGCGTATTGCAGTCTACGACTCTTACACACTCATCTGTCACACCGCAGATTATCCAAAGCTCTCAGATCGACATCGCGCGATCCCATCGATCACCTTCGAATCAATTCATCCCAAATCGAACGCATAATCCATCATGCCCGGCGGCAAAGGAAAGAGTGTTAGTGGCAAGGCCACAGGAGCTAAGGACTCCGGGTCCAAGAACCAGAAATCTCACAGCGCAAAGGCTGGTCTGCAGGTAAGCCAATACTGATGGTTTTATCTTGGTCTTCGGTGTCGCGATACTGGTCACACAAGAGATGATGCACGCGCATAATCGACAACGCAGCACTACACAACACGTCGCGAGCTGGATCTGATCAGTTTGGGCGAAAATCAGATGGCAAACATCAACGTGCCTCGCGAAACAACACGCGCATACGAAATGAACGCTGCATGGCATTGTCTTATCGTATCAGCGCGTCTATGCACATCTGTCGCAAAACTTCGCCACGACCAGGCATCACACCTTATCATCGACTGAGTCCAGTTCGAGCACTTCGACGCGTCTGAGCTTGCGACAAGAGGCTCACCAGCTCGTTGTCGCTTGCCCCACCATGTCATTCGCCGGAACGCGTCACTAACAATGCTTCAATAGTTCCCTTGCGGTCGTGTCAAGCGTTTCCTCAAGAACAACACTCAGAACAAGATGCGTGTCGGCGCCAAAGGTAAAGTCACACCACCTGCCTTCATCATCACATCCTCGTCACCACACGCCATCACTTACTCCGTGGAACCATTGGCTAACCTCGACTCTCAGCTGCCGTCTACGTCACTGCCGTCCTCGAGTACCTCACCGCCGAAGTCCTCGAACTGGCTGGCAACGCCGCCAAGGATCTGAAGGTCAAGCGCATTACGCCACGCCATCTGCAGCTCGCCATTCGCGGCGACGAGGAGCTCGACACACTCATCCGCGCAACGATCGCCTTCGGTGGTGTTCTCCCCCACATCAACCGTGCTCTCCTCCTCAAGGTCGAGCAGAAGAAGAAGAACAAAGCTATCGAAGCCTAGGTGGATGACGGCAGAGGGTGTAAGCGGAATCGGGTTGAAGCATGGACACCTCCAAAAGTCTGGCCACCGGACGGCATAGACCACGGTACCGGGCCAAAGCGAAAGGTGCCAGTGCCTCAGGTGCATTTAAACCAATAGGCTCTTCTGCCATCTCGACCCTGCTAGCTGTGCTCATTGCTCTTCGTCTGGTGGTTGGGGAGGCAAATGGGGCGTTCATTCTTTGATTATCAACGGCGGGGGGGCTTTGCGTTCTGCAGTTTTTGTACGAATACCCGAGAGCGGAAACACAGACAGTAACCCACATTATCAGACAGAAACCAACAAACAGGAAATGAAGAAATGCTTTGAGAAGAGAATGGGGCCATGAATCTTGTCGAGTCCTGATTTTGGTGCCTTCGAGTTGTCGATTATCTGCACCGCCATTCTCTCACTGACGACAGATGAGTACGCCCCAACAATCGAAAATGCTCTATCATAAGTGAAGAATTGTTCGAGGTGTCCTCCACCGATTCATTAATGATGTGAGCAGCGATCGGTGCTGGATCATGATCATGTCGCCGACGTCACACAAGCCGTTTAAGGCAACATGCGATGTTCTGTGTGACATTTACACCCGTCTGCGGATCGAGGCAGGGCCCTGACTGTTCTGAGGGCTCGAAAGGCTTGTTGGACTCAAGTCACTCCAATAGCTCTCGAAGTCGGATCTGAACCTGAATCTGACTCAATCGGGAGATTCGTCGCGTAGCATTATGCAACAAGGCAGACACGATGTGCCCAGGCTGCTACGGCAGGCCATTGTTATTGATACCGCGCGACTGTGAGTTTGGGGGCAGTGGATTCATCAACGACTGGTACCAGTGCGGTGACGACGGTCGAGATGGGTGGTGCAGGGATCCGCATGAGCGTGGAGGGCGCTGTTGCACTTGTGATGGGCCAATGGAGCGACGGCGAGGGAGTAACTATGTGTATGGGTGCGACGGTGGTCAATGCCCCGTGATGTCAGGCGCGCTTGGCCCGTCAGCAGAGTATCAACCGAACGCCTCTGTTGATCTTCCATATAGCGACAAGCAACGAGACGGCGGTCGCACGAGAGTCGAGGTTGGATCTCCGTGTCGGGATCCGAGCCAGGATGGCGGAAGAGTACTCACCAAGAAGAAGGGAAGGACAGCCGTTCTCAAAACACGGGCCGCGGTCTGTGCTGGCGACAAGCCGGGAGTACGAAAGAAGAGGGTGAAGTTTGACGATGAAGTTGAGATCACTCCATGGGAGGCAGGACCCAGGAAACGTCACGAGAGTGCAGAGGAGACATTGCGCTTATCGAAGCAAGGTCGCAGGTCTGAGACGAATGTCAAAAGAAGTGATAATTTGGAAGGCTATCTAGTTCACAACCAGCAAGGTCGGAGCGATCGGAAGGGTGTACCGTCTCGGTCGCAGTGCTGCAGGGACAGTATGTTCAGGACACGACCTGATGACCTCTCGTGTCGTTGTCAATCGAGACGTCAATACCATTGCCACGAGGACGAGGATGGTGCCCGCAAGTCAGGTAGTCGCAGCAAGGGCGCCATACATTCTGCGAGATTAGGTCGCCAGCGGCTCCCACGACCACCTAGTCGCCCAACGGAGTTGCACTGCGCTGATGGTGAGATGGGATCGCCGGAGCATACAGCCCTTGTGGCTGCGTACATTCGCGGACTAGGCAGCTATCTGAATGCTGACCTTTGATCCTGACAAGCGTTAGCGAGCAGTGGCTGTCCTAGTGGCTGCGACAGACATGTTTCAGACCACTTCAGCCGCAGCCGGCGAACAATCGAGAAGTCGCAGCAGCTTTGTTGGCCAAAGTCTGACCACACAAGCCACATTCATGCCCAGACAGGAGTTCGTCTCTGCCCGCAGAACATGGAAAGTGGGAACGAAGCTGCGAGCTTCACCGGAAGAGGGGACGCGCAGGCGGACAGATCGACAGGAGCCGCGATCGAGCCATACAGTGGCTGCGTCAGAGTCACCGTATGAGCCACAGTCAAACGGTGTCCGCAGGGAGGGCGTCGGCAAGGTCAATGTGAACGAAGGAGATACAAACCAAATCACATGGTCCTCCTCATCTTCTTTCTCTTCGCATCCATCTCCCTCTGCTTCTTCTTTCTGTCTTGCTTTTCCGCAAATGCCCGCAACGGACTTGCCGTGTCGTTCTGTTTAGGCCCAATGGCCTTCTTGGCTGCATGGCCCATAACGCGGCTATGGTGATCCGGTGGGAGCTCGTCGTCCGTGGCTTCTCCTTCCTCTGACGCGGAACTCAGATCTGCATCGGCGTCATCTCGTTTTCGCTTGGCGGACACAGGCACTGCTTTGCGCTTCTTGAAGGAGCCGAATGTTTGACGGCCGACGGGAGCTTTGGAGGACCAGATCTCGTCTTCGTCGGACGAGTCTGACTCTGTGTGGTCGTTCATGTGGGTAGTAGTAGATTTGAGTACCCACGCCGTCTCTGCGCCGGGATTTGTGGGAGTTTGCGACAGTTGGCCGTTCTGCGATTCAGTGGTATTGAGCGAGTGTGTGGACATCGATCGGCTCGGTGTAGATAGCCCGGAGCCGAGTTCTGTTCGTCGTCGCTTGTGTGGTGGTGCGCTGTTCGGCGTCGAATTGGTTGGAGTGCCACCAGAGGCTCTTTGCATGAACTAACAGTGGTTTAGATGCACGCTGCTTAAGCGGAGCCGTAGATGTTACCTTCAAGTTCATCAGTCGTGAAGACATCACCTTTGGTTGCGCCATTACACCAGGCGTGTCGGAGCGCGACATAGTGACGACTATGGTATCCGAGGACTATCAATGTCTGAGACCAGAGGGATAAAACAGGAGTTGACATGAACAAAGAACGAAGCGAAAATGAAGGTCCACGGGTGAGGTCAGTGCCGCGAGGCTTGGTTTTCTAATTGAGCAAGGCTGGCCGGTTGACCACATATCTAAAGCCAAGTCGCAACCTGCCCTGCTTCATTGCAACAACGGCTTGAGTCTGTCAATAAATGCGAACGCTGAGTGCTCTCGCCAAACTACGGCTCGCTGGACCAGAACTTTTGGTAACAATCTATAATTTCGCAGACAGTCACATCTTCTCGCCCTGTATCGTTGCGACTACCTTCCTCGTATGTCGAGCCGCTCTGAATTCAAGATACCACACACCTTGCCATGTCCCTAGCGCAAGTTTCCCGTTACTTATTGGCACTGTCACGCTGGCCCCGACAAGAGCTGATTTGACGTGGGCCTGGGGTCTATCAGTACACGGTGAGGCAGCCCCTGGTCGAAACTTACTGGCATATCGTCTGGACCCTCACAGCTGTGTCGATACAGGTTGCCTTTCTTATCTTCTGGCACTATCCGATCGAGTGCATCTGACATGTCTACCCGCACATCACTGGCATAGTTGTTAGTCGCCATCGATGCACTGTCCCGCTGTACGCACCTGTCCCAGTTCTCATTCAAGCTCAGACCGCACGAAGTATGCTGGACGAACAAATGCACAATGCCGACCTTGTAGTTCTTCAGCTCCGGTAGTGCTGAGACGACCTCTTCTGTAATCAACTGCGAGAGTCAGCAGAAGCTTTCTACGTGGCGCTCCGTCCACAACCCCGACGTGCCATCTCGATCACTTACATATGAGCCCCTCGCCTTTGGCGGCAACGTGAAAGTCTTCTGAAACCAAGACATCTCGCCACTAGATTTCAATGCTGGTACGGAAGTACAGCCCACTGGGCAGAGAAGTGTTTGGACTGCTGGAGACGATGGTGTCCGCGACCAAAGCAGGGACAATGGAAGCGTAAGAAGATACTGTGGTAGACCTGGCAAGAATGCGATGAAGAATAGCACTAAGAAAACCCAGGTCCAGGGATGCGATTGTGTAGTGGGAGGAGGCATCGGAATGATAGATCAATTCGAGAATCAGTAAAGCGAATATCCGCTTTACGTCATGCAGATGGAAGTCTTGGCAAATCTGGGGAAGGTCGGACAATGAAGAGCGGAAGAAGCAACGCTTCTGTGATTGCCAATGCTCTTCGCGGCTTGCGATGACGACAAAAGCACGAGTGGCCGGTTTTGCGCTCATAACAATCAGGCTGCAGTCACGCCTCCAAAGAATATTGGGTATCTCAGCCTTTGGACAACTCCACACCTGAACCGGTCAATTCGTAACTCAAATGGAATCCTCGGAATTTCGGCTTCTCTACTGACGTGCCGTTTATATCTATCGTTGAGCCCCAGCGACTGACTGTGCATCGACTTCGCCCTTCAGGGCAGGATAGTGGCCATCAATCTCTCCTTTTTGTGATGGAGTCTGAGGCATCTGCACTTGTACCGGATCATTGGTCGGTGCTAGAGGATATGTTGTGCTCGGAAGAGATTGAAGATACTCCTTGTGGGCTTTCTTCGCCTGTTCGAACAGTCAGCCCCACCTGTAGCAGACACGCCTCTAAGACTTACATATGGCAGACCGCAGTATGTGCACCAGCAGATCTGTGGCTTGTCGACGTTGATAAAAATCCTTGGATGACCTAACGGGCCTCCTCCACCATCGCAAGAAGTCTGCTTGCCGTCCACCCACCTCACAGGCTGCTTGTGAATGAGATCGATTGCCGCATATGGTTGTGGCTGGCTTGGTATTAGCATGATCACCTCCTGGCCAAATGACATCCTACCTGTAGATCCATAATAGTCTGCTCAAATCTCGGACCACTCATCGCAACTTCCCTGGGCTGCTGGCTCCTGCTCCAGACACCAGCTCGATTTGGAGCTTGCATCTGTCGCTGTTTCTCTGCTGATTCTGTGGTCTCCTGTAGAGTGCCATCTCTGTTTCCCGACGCCGTCACGCCTAGCTCGTTCGTCTTTGACACATTCGGTGTCTCTTTCCGTGGCGCTGGGTCGTTGGCCTGCTCGCGGTTCTCGCCCGTGCCGGGACCTTGATTTCGGAGTGGTGTCGCGGTTGTGAAAGTCCGTGTAGAGGATCTCAGAGCCCGCAAGCTGCTCCGAGCGCAGCAAGTGCGCAGCGCAGGAGCAAGACCAGCCATGTCAGAGCGCACGCAAGATGTGTCAGTCACCAGTGGACTACTGTAGTAGGAGCAAGCAGCTTGAGGTGATCCTTGACCCAATCGGAGGGGAGATCATCTGCTAGGGTTAGGGGTGGAATTTGGAGATTCGAGCTCACCGCGGAACTTGAAGGCGGCGTCGCGTTTGCGCGGCCCTACATTGATCGAGCACACCTGTATTGCGCATGCCTTCTTGTTTGTACCTGCAAGCCCATCTTCGGCATCCCACACAGTCTTCCTCGCTCCGTCCCATCCAGTCAAAAGCCCACGAGAGACGCCATACAACATGTCCGGCTACGATCGAGCACTTTCAGTGTTCAGGTAGGTGACTCCGCCGCCGTAAGGGGCCGTCACTGACAACGTCAGTCCTGATGGACACGTCTTTCAAGTCGAGTACGCTCTGGAAGCCGTCAAGCGGGGAACATGCGCAGTCGGTGTCAAAGGCAAGGACATTGTCGTGCTTGGGTGCGAGAAGAGATCAGCCATGAAACTCCAGGACACCAGAATCACCCCCTCGAAAATCGGTCTCATCGACTCACACGTCTGTCTGGCTTTCGCCGGTTTGAACGCTGATGCTAGGATATTGATCGACAAGGCCAGAGTCGAGGCACAATCACACCGTTTGACTGTTGAAGACCCAGTCACCATTGAATACATCACAAAATATGTCGCCGGAGTACAGCAGAGATACACTCAGTCTGGTGGTGTGAGACCGTTTGGTATCAGTACCCTGATCATCGGATTCGACAAGAATGATGCGACGCCACATCTCTACCAGACTGAACCATCAGGCATCTACTCTGCATGGTATGTGACCTCCCAAGCGAGGCTGAGCACTACTGATATGTATACAGGAAAGCCAACGCCATCGGCCGATCAAGCAAGACCGTGCGCGAGTTCCTCGAACGCAATCACAAAGACGATATGGACCGAGAAGCCACCATCTCCCTAACAGTCAAGTCTTTACTCGAAGTCGTACAGACGGGTGCAAAGAATATCGAGATTGCTATCATGGCGCCGGGCAAAACCATCGAGATGCTGCCATCTGAGGAGATCGAGACCTACGTCAAGACAATCGAGGCGGAGAAGCAAGAAGAAGCGGCAAAGAAGAAGCCTGGTCGGGGCGGACAGGGCACGTCTAACTTGCCAACGAGACCTGCTGAAGAAGGCTCATGAAAGGATCGGGCCGAGGTTCGCCGACATTTGAGTAGCGTTCTGACTGTGTCGAGTGTGTGTGCATTAGCGACTGGAGTCCAAGGAAAACTCAGACATGGCACAAAATCCATTCCAAAATCAGCAAGTTCTCCATCATGCAACGTGATTGTTGTCCGTTCCGCGGTCTCAGCGGACCACTCCCCTAGCACCTTGCCAGAGCGTGCATGTTCCACCGCGTGACTGGTAGCTTCGTTAACGTTAGCTCCAAATGAGCAGGCTCTCAAAAAGCAAAAACTAACCAACACACCAGGTCTCAAACACCAGGTCTCGAGATGAACTCGAGAGGGTACATTTGAGAGGGTACATGCCAAGGTCAGAAACTCCTCACAGCACACCACTTCGAGCGAAAGTGATTTGTCCGTGCCGTATAGTAGGAGTTTTTGTGGCTCAAGCAACACATATCGCATACCCAACTTGGGTGCGATTGTTGGAGGAGAATTGGGTAACTCGAATATATATAGTGACTGACCACTCAAGCAGAAGAGGAGGGAGCCAAGCGCGTTGTCAGGTGCGACTGAGGGCTGGATAAGGGGGAAGCTAAGGCGTTCGGTGGTTTTTCATCGCGCGAGAGCGTGAGGCGTGCCAAGGCTCCGCGGACTACTCAAAGGAGACTGCGTGCTTCGATGCCACCCGATATGATGTCGTAGAAAGTGAAATATCACCTGAAAGAAGCTCACCAAGCGTAAAAGCCTCAAACCCTCTCAACCGACCCGAACATCATGCCTTGGACCCGTCCCATCGCATCAACCCAGCCTTGCCTCCCCACCAACATCCTCCCAAACATCCCCCTCCATCTTCAATTCATCCTGCAACCGCCGTGTCCGCTCGTCCTTCAACATCCGTGCATCCATCCGCGTGTCCTCGCTCTCGACTTTCAGTGCTGCTTGGGGTGTCTTGGCCTCCAGGACAAAGTGGTTGTCGCAGTTCGGGCAGTATTCGTCGGCTTCTTCGAAGGTTTCCATGTTTTTGCGGAAGGCTTTGCGGCAGCGTTTGCATATGAATGTCTAGGGCTGGGTGTGAGTTGTGTGCTCAGGATCGAGATTGGTGGGAAGGGAGGTACCATTTCCATAGTCTGCTGTAGAGGATGAGCTTCTGTTTCGGCGTGACATTCGGCGCAGTCGAACCACTTTTTGCAGCAGGGCGAGCGGATTGAGACTTGGGCGTTGAGGATGTGTTTGCACATTGTGGACGGCCGTAACGGTACCAGATGTATGTGGATTTGGCGTGCAGGTTTAGGTGTTGGATGGTGCCAATTTGTGAAGGAACACGCTATTTGGGTTGCTGGTTGAGTCGAATTACACGCTGGGCTCGATGTTCCAGGTTGCTGTATCTGGGAATTGAGTATGTGCGTGTTCAATTCAGTGATGAGGATCCGAGTTTGAGAGTGAATTGAAATGCAAATGTCAATTGGTCATAAGCGATATGAAGGTCAAGTACGAGGCAACCAAATGTAGAAAAGAAGGCGACCATTTCGTGCCACGGGACGCCGGATGACGAGCCGGCCGAGACGAAGACCGGCTGACATGCCTTTTCTCTACACACGTTGGAGGCTGCTAACCGGTGCGAAATTGTTGATAGGCGCTTTCACGCATTCTTTACAGCATCCTGTGTATACATTGCTGCACCTGAAAACGCATTTCGCACTGAATACGGGGCCAATTTCCCACTGGATATGATTCAAAGTGACAGCAGAGGTGGATTTGACACGACACTTATATCGAGCTTACTTACGGCCTTGCACTATACGCAACCAAATGGATTGGTATGTTGGCCTCCATCACTTATCGTATGGATTTGCGCGCCTGTCCTTACCACTTTGCAAATATATGCTGGCACGCATATCGAACAGTGGATCATCTGTCTCCTTCACGCCGTCGATCCTTGGAATTGGATCGAAGATGATTTTCCTCTGCGCATCGTCGTTGTCTTCTACGACCCCATCAAGCTTCAACGTGCCCAATTCAACTGTCTTTCGTTCTTCCGGCCAGTGAACAGTTGCATCGTTCGTAGGATCGCCAGTCTCAGCCACCTGAACCAGCAACTTAAAGCTGACGCCTCCGTCGACTACTCGGGTCTGAATTTCGTTGTGGAGGTAAGCAGGATCGCGAGCTTTGGCGTCCTCATCAGAGAGTGTCTGTTCGCCGGCATCTGGTACCCACCGGTACCGCACATTTGTATCCTTGCCATCGGCGGAAGTGAACGTGAACGCGCTGACACCGAAGTAGGGCAAAGTGCCGAATGAGACTGGATTTGGCTTTGGGTCGCCGACGAAGGCAGCGGCGCTTGGATGTTCTCCCAAAAACTCTCCAGCCTTGCCGCTACCAAGTGCCTGAAGAAGAGCCAGAAACAATTCACCGGTTCTTACGGGGAAGAACTTGCTGCTGTGAGCGACGATATCTGTATGAGCTCTCTTTCCATCAGATGTGTTCGGAAGGTTGAATCGAACGGCAAGCCCACGGGGAGACGCGTTCGAGTCATTGTCTGGAATTTGGGGGATGCCGGTTGAGTTCGAGAATCGAGCAGTAACGGGGACACTGTTGTTGAAATGGTACGCCTTGCTGAGCGATGCAGCTTCTGTGGTGGGTGTCCAGGTCCCCTTCAGTAGGATGCCACGAGCATGAGCCGGTCGAAATCCAGCAGGCGTGTGGAAGGCGCCCTTCAGTGTCTCGATGACTTCCTTGCCGGTCTTATTCGTCGCTTCGTTCTCAGGAAGAGGCATGTTTGCGCTGTTGTACGGGTGAGAATGCTGCTTTGCAGAAACGAGAGAAGCATGTGTCTTCTATATATGGTCGCATGGCGTCCACCATTTGCCGGATATGATACGGGACACGCGGTACCCTCGCTGACTACTCGCGCCAGAGCGCGCATAGGCGTGCACTCTGTGCTCAGCGGAGGCGAGCGGACACCCAATGGGCTGCTTCTGAATGGCTTTACACATGTCGAAATGTACTCTTGGGATGGCGCCACAGGATCTTGAGTGCTGTTGGTCAATGAAACATCGTAAACATGTTGCGATTGTGGGTAATGGGTAGCTGCATAAGGATGACTAATGTGGGCATAGTTAGCGACTTATGTGGTAGGTAGCTCCCACCTCATACGGTCTTTCCAATCATGGGTAAACCAATTATCTGCAATTTATTTGGAATGATTCTTCGCATCTCGTTCTGCCTGCCGTGAATAGTCATCAAGATCTATGAGGGAAATCCAGCGGCACGGTTCTGTGACATCGCTGTGATCAGAATGTGGTTTTCCCGCACATCAGCATGTTCTCGAGACGGAGGCGGCTTCGTGCTCGCTACTTTGATATGTGCCAGTGGGCCTGAGCTTCAAATGGGCATCTTTGCGAAGTCTGGCATGTTGTCGTGCGTACGAGTCCGACTCAGAGATAGCTCTGCTGGACATGTGCTGCAAGCGAATGCGCTTGCGTGGAGACGACCGGCCCGTTATTTATGGGCGTAGTCGATTCATCACTCGGTCAGCTAGCCCACTGTTGTGGTCCGACGGCGTATTCTGGCACAACGGATGCAATATTGAGCGCAAGCACACCAGAGGGGCAGGTACTTCGTAAGTTCGAGCTTGGAGGCTTCAAGTTGGAGCCACCAGAGCCGGAGAAATGCTTACCTAAAGCCTTGCATAGGCTCGTATCGATAAGCACTGAGGCGGGGGTGTGGCGTCTCTCTATGTCTCTCTATGTGGCTGTGCTTGTGGTGAACTGAAGGAGGGTCCCACAACTTGAACGCAGTCTGAAACAGTTCAGTGTGAACATTCACAACTAGTAACAAGCAGAATCCTATTCGTGCCTGCAGGCGACCTTCCACACACTCGTTGAGCATTCTTTTCAAGCGTCGACCCCTTCAACGACCGCAGATCACTCGAAACATCAGAATATTCCGGCTTACACTATACGTGGGCAGTGGTTGCGTGAGCATGGGAAAGACCAGTCTCCGGTGACGCGTACTGTCGAAGGCCCTAGAGGTCTTGCGTACTGCTACACTACGTGATGCTGGACTCATACCATGGACAAGCGCGCAGATGGCACCGACGATGCTCGATCAGACCTGTCTCATCCCTCCGCGCCAAATTCGAGGGCCTGAAAGCCTCGTCACCCGCACGAGATGGCGCTCCTAGCCCGGTGCTACCTTCGCCGGGTTTTCGCTCCCTAGAACCAGACAGCTCGGTGCCAACAGTACGTGCCTCTTTCGATTTGTCGCGGCCGACGTCGCCATGGCCCAACAATGGCGGCCAAACCTCGCCGAAGACTCCCGGCGATCGAGGGAGAAGCAGTTCACCACCAAAGTCTGGACACAAGAGGCCGATGTCAATGGTCATGCAGGGTTCGCCGCATCTCGGCCCTTCTGTTAAGGTGGACTCGCCCAAATCGCCGCCTCGAATGCATTATGGTCCTGGGGTTCAGCTATCTCCAGCGCATGCCGATACACCACCTGTGGGAAAGGTGAAGGATCTTGTCTCTCAGCATACTAGTAGATCAGCGAGCCCAGCAACGACTCCTCATATTGGTCCACAGTCGGATTTTCAGCAGCCTGGAATTCCGTTTTCTGCCACCCTGTCCCAGGCCAAAGGTCCACCACCCATCAATCGCGCCGAGAAGCCTAGGATTCCGACGAAGCCGGCAGTAATCAGTCACAATACGTTACAAGTCAACGATGCGGTAGCCTTACAGCCTTCGCCGCGGAGAGCGTCGTCAGAGGCCAGAATCAGTCCATTCTCTACACCTCCAAGTAGTGATGAAGACGGAAGTCCTCCAAACCCACCCAATGCGCAGGAGCTTTCACAGTCACTGAAGTCGTTACCAGAAGACCGAGTGGCTCCGACACCGCCGAAGTCGAGCGATCCGAGAAGCATGGGCTTCGCGCGCACCAGCACTGCGCCGGTTCGTGACCCTAGAGCACTCGGATTTGGCAAGCCAGATTCACCTCAGCCAAGTCGAGATGTTGTATCAACCTCTGCGCCGTCGCGAGCAAACACCGTCTCAGAACGACCGGTTGCCCGTGACCCTCGTGGCCTAGGATTTTCCGGGACGCCCACGCCGCGTCACGTCTCCGAGCAGATACGGCACACGCCTCCTCCATTAATCTCGCCGCCAAGGCCCTCAGCTCGTGACGCTCGCACGCTTGGCTTTGACAAGGACCCTGTCAAACAGGACAGCCCGCGAGAAATGCCAACACGACATGTCGTGCGGGCACCGCCTTCGCGCCCACTTGACGACTCAAAGAATACGATGGGAAAGCCCGCGACGAAATCTCAAGCAGCTTTACCTGATCGCTCCACAAAGCCAGGCGCAGTGCAAAGTATTGCCAAAGCGCCGCCACTGCCGGCAGTCAATCCCAAATTTCCTCCACCTCCAAAGCGGAATAACACCGATGGCGACACAGAGCCGCCGCTACCCAGGAGATCAACCGCTAATGGTGGTAACGATTCAGACGAAGCGGAAGAATTCCTTGCAGCCCCAACATCTCAAAGGGCAGATTATCCGGACGCGACGCAAACGAACCGCAGACCACCTTTCTTCCACGATGGGATTCGCGACATCCATTTGAAGACTGATTGTCGCTCATTTGATGTTTGTGGAAGGTACCTGTGCACTGCAGGCTATACGACTCGAGTATTCGATATGGCTTCAGGCGAAGGTCTTACGAGCATCAACCATGGCGAGACAGTCAAGGCCACAGCGGCCGCTTTCAAACCTTCGGCTGATCTCGAGAGTGAAGGCAAGACAATATGGATTGGCAACAACGTAGGAGATCTTCTAGAGATCGACGTCTTCAGCCATACCGTTCTTGCTCAGAGTTCTGTGCACAACAAACGTGAGATCGTGCAAATCTTACGCCACAAACGAGACCTTTGGACGCTGGACGACGATGGCAAGCTTTTCGTGTGGCAAGCAGTGGAGGAAGGCGGCCCCGAGCTCAAGTACAGACATCTCGCCCATAAGGTCCAGAAGGGTCATTCATGCTCGTTAGTGGTAGGCGATCACCTGTGGCTGGCAACCGGAAAGGACATCAGGGTATATCGACCTGGAAACGAAGCCAAATTCGCACCACTATCCAGCCCGCTCTCTCAAGCTGGCACTGGCGACGTCACATGCGCAGCCTATTCGGATGAGCAAGGAGGACTCGTCTATTTCGGACACACCGACGGCAAGATAACCATCTACTCAGCGAAGGACTTCTCATGCCTGAACACGGTCAAGGCAAGTGATTACAAAATCAATGCGTTGGCCGCAGTTGGCACTAGCCTGTGGGCGGCCTACAAGACCGGCAAAATCTATGTCTATGATACGTCTAAGAACCCATGGAAGGTTCAAAAAGATTGGCGAGCCCACGATGGTCCGGTGTCAGGGCTTGTTCTCGACAGCAGTAGCGTCTGGACTATGCAACGCTTGCAAATAGTGTCCATCGGACAAGACGGCCACGCACGACTGTGGGACGGCATGTTGGAGGAGGACTGGCTAGAGAATGCCATGAAGGAGCGTGATGTGCAGTATTGTACATTTCGAGAAGTGAGCGCAGCCGTCGTGAGCTGGAATGCGGGTGCAGTGACACCATATGACCTGCGGACAGACTTTATTGCGGATGCCATCCACTGCGAAGATCCGCCTGAAGTTCTGATCTTCGGATTCCAGGAAGTTGTCGACCTCGAAGACCGCACTGTGACCGCCAAGAGCTTATTTGGATTTGGCAAGAAGAAGCACGACACTGATAGCTCTGAGCAACACCAGAGTCGAGTCTACCGAGAATGGCGGGACTACCTTAGCAAGGTGATCAGCCGAAGCTGCGGGAACCATCGGTACTCAGAAGTCCATATGTCCAGCCTGGTTGGGTTGTTCCAGTGTGTCTTCATTCGACAAGAGGAGCGAGCCAATCTGCAAGACGTACATGGTGTCAACGTCAAGTGTGGTATGAAAGGACATTATGGCAACAAGGGTGCTCTGATCACGAGATTTACACTTGATGACAGCTCACTTTGCTTCATCAACTGCCATCTGGCGGCTGGCCAGAGTCACACATCGCATCGCAACAACGACATTACGGCAATTATGGAATCCGAGAACCTCCCAGCAGAGAGAAATCCGGATACTCGCATGTCGTTATATGTCGGTGGTGGAGATGGGACGCAGATTCTTGATCATGAGATCTGTATCCTGAACGGCGATTTGAACTACCGCATCGACTCGATACCACGTGACAGAGTGGTGCAGATGGTCAAGAACAACGACCTCGCGAAGCTCCTCGAACGTGACCAGTTACTGGTGTCCAGGCGTCGCGTAGCTGGATTCCGACTGGCCTCGTTCATTGAGCTGCCCTTGACGTTCGCACCCACCTACAAGTACGATGTCGGCACAGACAACTACGACTCGAGTGACAAGAAGCGGGCTCCTGCATGGTGTGACAGGCTGCTCTATCGAGGTCCTGGTAGAGTCAAGCAAGTCGAGTACCGGAGGCACGAAGTCAGAGTATCAGATCATCGTCCCGTAAGTGGCCTGTTCAAAATTAGGCTCAAGAAGGTCGACCCGCGAAAACGGGCGAAGGTGAAAGAAGCATGCTTGGCTGAGTTTGCTGTACTACAGAAACAGATAGCCGCGAGAGCTAGCCAGCGCTACCTCGTCGAAGGCTTGGGTGTGTCGGAGAGCGAGGCCAAGAGGCTGCTCGCGGGTGTATGACCTTTCTTTGGCTTGACCATTGGCATTGCAAGCCTCATCATACGTATCATCATGACCACATCATTCAACCACCTTACACCGTTGCAGTTGTCCTCAAGGAGTCTGCTCCTGCTTTCCCCATGTCCGTTCAACCAACTGGATAATTCTCCAAATATTTGACCCCCGAATATCCACTCTCAATCCCGACAAAAGGCGGCTTTGATCATCTGTGTTTCGATGACTAGCATCCACCATGCTTTCATCGTCCATCAAGAACGTGAGTGTGGTAAGCGGACCGCTGCTAGTCTCCTGGCAGCCTGGGCAGACGAGTCTGGCTGCTATGGTGGAGATGATATGTGTCGTGGCATGGCGGGGTGTTCTCCAAACATGATCATGACCATCTTCAGCACACACATTCGAAGTAGGTGAGTATCTGCTGACAGGGTTGCACGCTGCCTGAAAAGAGATCTCCTCTCAGCGACTGAAGCCATAGGCGAGACTGTTGCGACGCGTGGGACGTGTCGGTCACGACCGCGTGTTCACGCTGCATAGGCAGAGAGGCAACATCTCAGACTCTACGTTGTGACCGTACATACCCATATCCAACAGAGACCGCTATTTAACCACGCTCGGCAACTACACACGTAGAAGCACAGCGTGGTCCACCAGCTGAGCTCATCTGCGTGGAGGAAAGACAGGAAGGCCTCCAACACCCTGCACCAAAGGCCACCTCACAACCACCACCAAGATGTCGATGTACGGCACCCTAACAACCTACCCACCCCTCAACAAACTCACAGTGCTTTCCCCACCACCTCCCAACAGCGCTCAAAGGCTCCAGATCACAGCCCTCCTGACACACGCAGCCGGTCGGCCTCGCTACCCTTTCGTTGTGCGCGTGCACTATCACGCTGAGCCCAACGCTTCATCTTCAGGAGGCAATGGCAATTCAGACCCGCCGGGTCGCTGGCCGTCGATCCAGCTTAGCGAGGTGGTTGATGAGCAGCAGCAGGATGACGGACATGGGGGTCTGGGGCCGGTGAGTATGGTGCGGACGACGGAAGAGCGGAAGATCGAGCAGAGGAGGGTGTTTAGGGGTGAGATTGATCTTGATAGACTTGGTCTCGGCAGGGAAGGGAGTGGAGGGAGGCTTACGTTCGCGGCGAAGTTTACGCTTGATGAGGGGGATGTGCGGTGGCGGTGGGCGGAGGGCAGTGGTGGGCTGGGGTTGGGGGAGGTCCTCGTTCCGGCGAGCGCCGATGGTGCAGAGGGTGCAGGCGCGGTGCGTGAGGTGGAGGATGTATTCGGACTGGGCGCCAATAGTTCTGCGTGGACCGTAAAAGAGAAGGGCAATGATGTGCTGCAGCTCGAGAGTAAGGACGACATGCCCCGTATAGAAAACGGAGAGAATGCTTTTGGTGGCAAGATGGCGGAGCTAGCGCTGGGCAAGGTCAAGGGCCAGGTCAGATATATGAGTCTGGTCCGACTGGAGCCGTACTGGTTAGGAGTACAGCACGGTCTCACGACTCGCGAGTGGGAAAGTGACTTCGACCAGAGCATGGACGGCGTGCTCGTTGCTTTCCTGCTCAAGAATGGCAGGGTTGTCGTGTTACTGGCAGTACACGGCAACGAGGATGTCTACACCGTCATAAGATCAGGTGAGGCAGGCGAAGTCGTGATTGGCGCTCGCAACGATGGTGCCGCAGAAGAGAAGTGGAAGATACTGGTCTCGATAGGCCCCAGCATCGAAGACTGCATCCACAAAGTCATGGTCGAAGCCAAGAACATCGTCGCCCAGGCGCCCAAAATGACCGATCTCCTGCAACGAGCAGATACAATCCTCAAGGACACGCCCATGGCCCCGGAGACCTGGTTCGACGGCCTAGCCTACTGCACCTGGAACGGTCTCGACATGCACCGTTGCAACGCTGCAGCCGTCCTCAATGGCATCCAGACCCTCGAAGACAACGGTGTGAGGATCGAAACCTTCTTGCTCGACGACTGCTGGCAGAGCACCCTCCAGCCCGACGGCAAGACCGAGAAATTCGGCGCGTTCGACTCGGGCTGGGACCGCTTTGAGCCGAACAAGAACTTCCCGGATGGTCTCAAGGCTGTGATCTCGGAAGTGAAGAGGAAGCACAAGAACATCAAGTCCTTTGGGATCTGGCATGCTTTGTTCGGGTACTGGGGCGGGATCGCCGAGCACGGGTGGATAGCGAGTAAGTATAAGACGAGGAAGGTCAGGACAAAGTATGTTGAGAAGGGACCGGCGACTATGGTAATTGTTGATCCGGAGGATGTGGAGCGGTTCTATGATGACTTGTATGAGTGGCTGAAGGGCGAAGGGATAGATTTTGTGAAGACCGATGTGCAGCACATGTTGAGTATGCTGGAGGATAAGAAGGATCGGGAGGAGGTGCCGGCGGCTTATCAAAGGGCTTGGACTTTGGGTGTGATGAAGCATTTTTGGGGAAAGGTCAGTTTTGAATCCGATGTGCTGTAAGAGCACGCAACTGACATTAAGCAGGCGATATCTTGTATGAGTCAAACACCCCAGACCATGTTTCACAGCCTTCTACAGGATAAGACGCCGAAAGTCATGCACCGGAACAGCGACGACTTCTATCCTGATATCGTAGGATCAAACCCTTGGCATATTTATGTCAACGCCTTCAACGCTCTCATCGACCGGCACCTCAACGTTGTGCCAGACTGGGGTGAGTACCTGCTGCTCAGCTAGCCAGCCAGGTTCTCCGTACTGACAGTCACAGACATGTACCAGACCGGCCACCCCTGGTCCGGCTATCACACAGCTGCTCGCTGCATAAGCGGTGGGCCGATCCTGATCACTGACATCCCTGGCAAGCACGACACGAAACTCGTTGGAGAGATGACAGCGACGTCACTCAATGGCACGCTTATAGCATTGAGACCAAAGCCAGCTGCCGTCCTCGACCACTGGGATGGCTACACACAAGGCAATATCTGCAAGATCGGCACTTCAGTTGGGGAAGGAGGGCAGACGGTTGGCATAGTGGGCTTGTTCAACATAGTCGAAGGAACAGTTTCGGAACTGATCCCGACGACTGCCTTTCCGGCCATGAGTACAGAGGACACTTCGGAGGTAATAGTCAAGTCACACAGAACCGGACAGGTCTTTGGACCTCTTGAGCGTGACGAAGGTAGCTTGCTGAGTATCAGCCTTGAGCCTAGGGGATATGACATCCTGACGGCATACCCTGTTCGGTACGGCGGAATTGCTGTACTGGGCCTGCAGGGGAAGATGACTGGTGCAGCAGCAGTGGTTGGGCAATCTATGGACGGACAAGCTGTTACGGTGTTATTGAAGGCGCTGGGGAAGTTGGAGGTGTGGTTGGCAGACAGTGCTAACAGAAGCGTGAAGGCGGTGCGGCTCAAAGAGAAAGCGCTTCCGGATAGTCGTATTGCGACAAGGGCACTTTCCAATGGCAAAATCTTTGAGATCGATCTTCTGAGTTTCTGGCAGGAGAATGGGCTGTGGTGCGAGGACGCGGAGGTTGACGTAGAGATTGAGCTCGTTGGGACATGACAGAAAGTTGATAAAGTATGCTTGTACAGATCGGCCGCTCGAACAGGACACCTGAATGAATCATTTCCACCACATTCACGCTTCTTCAAGCACGTGCAGCGTCCGCGTCTCTCTACATCTACACTTCTAAGACACCTACTCCTTAATCACTATCAATCCAGTCATATGCATTATGCATCCGACACGTATATGCTGCTTGAGATATGCCCAGGGTAAATTTGCTCGCACCCCTTTCTCGAAATTTATTACTCTGGACACATCCCAAGTGGCAGATACGTGTCGGATGCACAACGCAGCTTCCTAACATGTGTTCCTTCCTCAAGGGCTTATCGAAGACACTGAAAGGCAACTGCATCACGTCAGAACACCGTAGGCTCGCTCCTAAGTTCTTTGTGGGCAGTCACGCGGCACCTGCCTCGGAAATGTATCGTGTTCAGTGATCTTCATTTTGAGGTACGGTCCTCGCGGCCCAACCCTTTTCGTGCTTGTGGTATAAATTTCTGTACTTAAGTCAAGTCATCACCCAACGTCGAGCACACCAGGGGTCATAATGTCTACTTCCCCGCAACCCCGGGCTCAATGGTACGCGTTGGCTCGCCATCCTGATCAATCAAATCGAGGCCACTCTTCCCCTTTATGACTGGGTGAGCGTTATCCTCCTTGCTTCGATAATTCATGCCGCCGCCCTTATAGTCATGGTCCATCCGAGGTATCTTGGTGAGTTCTTCAAAGGCCTTTACTGCCGCCTCAGCAGTTGCTTCCGCTGACGCAGGGTTCGCACCAGTCACGATGCGTTCGTCTGTTTGTGTGAAAGAATCCCATGGCCTGGACACATCGTAAGAATTAGACCACACAAGAGCTTGGGAGACTGCTCACCCTGGAGGCGCGACGTAGGTAGCACCACAATCTGCAGCTGCCTTTTCGATAGTTGGGCGATTCCAGGACTTGATTGTGTCCAGTACCCCCTCCTCTTCCTCGCCTTTGGTGGTGAAGCCGGTGACTTTGCGGCCGTGTATGATGGGTTTATCGGTTAGCTGATTCAGCACGCCTGGAAAGATTGCGCCGCCATGACAAACGGCTGAGATGATTGCACCGTCGCCGTACATCTTGGACGCCATGGTCTGCAGGCCTTTTGCCTCGGGATAGTCTATCAACGACGCATGCCCAGCCGAGGCAAAGAATATGCCATACTGCTGCGGTCAGCCACGTGAGCCCGATGGAGCTGTTCATCCACTCACATTGTCAGGATTGAAATCCCCGGGCTTCAGCCCAGCATCCAATTTCTTCCTGAACTCACTATTGCTGTCCTCCCAGATCTTCTTGTCCTCGGCTGGCAACCATTTGTCTTGCTGTGAGAGCCAGTCTGCTTGGTAAGTTCCCGTTTCCGACACAAGGTCTACTTCGAAGCCAGCCTTCTTGAACACCTTGAAGGGATGCAAGGCTTCTGTGATGAAGACACCAGTCTCCTTCCCGTCAGGATACAGCGGCGCGTGAGCGGATGTCACTGCAATGATGGCCCGTCGTGGTGGACCGGTCGTCTTTTCTCGGTCGGCAATTGGGGTCGCCATTGTTATATCTGGTACTTGCTTGTCTAGCTATGAGAGCGGTGCAAAAGGTCTGCCGCGAGCGTGCACGGGAAACGATACCGCTACTATACTTGCTCTTGGTCTTACATGTGATTCTGCATTGTGAGGTATACCGACCCCGCGCTGGGGAAGATCTGCGGATTGAGGTATGACGCAAATGGCACAAAGTCAAAGAGCACGAATCGAGCATGCACTGTCGGGAAGGAAGCCAGCCACTGACTCTTGGGGCTTACGAGCGCGAGAAACTCCTTGGTTGACCATCAAATCACACAAATGTCATAAGCAGCATTGGCCCGACGGCTTGGGAAGGCTCGCGCGTGTACCGGCGACACCCGTGGACGTGTAGCGGAGGAAGGAGGGATCCGTCACAGTCGCTGCTTCCACTGCTTGGCCCTGCATTCTGAAAATGGGAGGATAGCTAAGCCATGGGCGTATGGTCAACTGAGATAGCTCTGAGAAAGGATGTCAAGGGTATATCGCGGGAAAAGCTCGCTGTCGCTACCCACGACAGAGGTGGACTTCCGCTCCGCTTCCACCTAATTGCCCGCATCTCAATTTTCTCCAAATCCCTCCAACTGCCACGCCGTCTACCAGCAACAACCTGAAGACCTTGCAGTGGCAGTAGTGTTCCCTATACCATCCGTGAGGCTTCGACGACTTCCGCAAGTGCCTTTGTCTGCCAGCAAACATGTCTGCGCCAATCAAGACGCTGTTGAGCCGATCGTTGTTGCGACAAGCTCGACCTGCATCTATACCTCGTCATCGATACCTCGCGACTATCCGAGTAGCCCAGCAAGCCGCCTCCCGGAGCTTCACTGTCTCGTACCGGCGAAGAGATGCTGCTTCAGACACCTCAGAGCCCCACCACAGTGTCAAATACACAACAGATTCGTATGACATAGAACGAAACCCGGCCTTTGCAGAAATCAGTGCCGAAGATGTGCAACATTTCAAATCGATACTGGGCGATGACGCGGCAGTGATTGACGGAGTTACGCAAGACGCGACGGATGACATCGAGGCATATAACAAAGACTGGATGAACAAGTACCGAGGGCACACCAAGCTTGTGGTCCGGCCGAAGTCAACAGAAGAGGTCAGCCAGATCTTGAAATACTGCAACGAGCGGAAACTGGCCGTTGTACCCCAGGGAGGCAACTCAGGCCTGGTCGGAGGCAGTGTCCCGGTTTTCGATGAGATCGTTCTGAATCTGGGCCGGATGAACAAGATTAGAAGTTTTGACGACGTGAGTGGCATCCTTGTGGTCGATGGTGGTGTCATTCTGGAGGTAGCAGACAATTATCTTGCAGAGCAGGGCTACATCTTCCCGTTGGATCTCGGTGCCAAGGGTTCATGTCAGATCGGCGGCAATGTTGCTACGAATGCTGGAGGTTTAAGGTTTCTTCGATATGGATCATTACACGGCAATGTCCTGGGCATCGAGGCAGTCTTGCCTGACGGGACCATCCTTGACGACCTGAGCAAGCTCAAGAAGAACAACACAGGCTACGACATCAAGCAGCTGTTCATTGGCGGCGAAGGTACGATAGGCGTCATCACAGGTGTGTCGGTCGCATGTCCTCGACGGTCCAATGCGGTCAACGTTGCCTTTTTTGGCCTCGAATCCTTCGAGAAGGTTCAGCAGGCTTTCAAAGAGGCCAAAGGCCAGCTTGGCGAGATCCTGTCCGCGTTCGAGCTTATGGACGGCACGAGTCAGGACTTCGTAAAGAAAGTGACTGGCAACAAGCATCCTCTTGAGGGCGAGTATCCGTTTTACTGCCTGATCGAAACGAGTGGCTCGAACGCCGAGCACGATCAGGAAAAGCTAGAAGCATTTCTGGAGCACGTCATGGGCGAAGAGATTGTTGCAGACGGCACTCTCGCACAGGACGACACACAAATCAAGGCACTGTGGGCGTGGCGAGAAGGCATCACGGAAGCCCTCGGACATGCAGGCGGCACATACAAATACGACGTCTCCATCCCCTTGAATGAGCTGTACAAACTCGTCGAAGAGTCCGAGCGCGGTTCGAAGAGCAAGGTCTCATTGGAGAAGGCGAGTCGAAAGCGCTCGGCGTTGTGGGCTACGGACACATGGGCGATTCGAACCTCCATCTGAATGTGCCCGTCAAGAAGTACTCCAAGGAGATCGAAAAGGCGCTTGAACCTTACGTCTACGAATGGATCCAGAAGCGAAGTGGCAGCATCAGTGCCGAGCATGGTCTGGGCATTGCGAAGAACAAGTTCATCGGGTACAGCAGAAGTGACACCATGATCGGACTGATGAAGCAGATCAAGAATCTGTATGATCCGAATGGGATCATGAATCCATATAAATACCTAACATAGTTGTCGCAGCCGGCGACCACAACGAAGCCATCCCGCAAGCAGCCATTTACCTGGGCTGGCAAAGTCAGCGGATCCCTTACACGTCGAGGCAATTGTAGGTCCATAGGTCTGACTGCATCCTCGTATTTGGAGCAACGCGGTGAAATCCACACCTCGGTTAGTGACCAACTATAATCCCCAACTCAATGACGATATCAAAGGACGTTCTCCAAGACACTTCCGTTGTATGCCACTACTGGTATACAGTCGACTGCAGGACAGAAAGGTTATGCTGACTTCACATACAGCAACACAGAACAGCGCCACATTAGGACGGACGACCCAACTCTTGGAACAATTACACGCGCCAGCAATGCCATCAGTCAGACAAATAGCAGACATCTGCGTCCCTCTGGAGAACCACCCAGCATACCAAAAGCGAAAGCTACGGGTCGCCACGATCGGCGCGGGCTTTAGTGGACTAATACTCGCGCACAAGATCCAGCACGCTCACCCAGATCTGGAGGATTTCATCGAGCATGTCATCTTTGAGAAGAACGACGGCATCGGTGGCACATGGAGGGAGAACACCTATCCCGGCGTTCAAAATGACGTCCCAGCACATATCTATGCGTTCCCATTCGATCCAAACCCTAACTGGACCAAATTTTACGCGGATGGAGCGGATTGCCTCGAGTACATGGAGCGGACGGCCGAAAAGTGGAACTTGAAGCGGGATGTCCGATTCAACACGCGTGTGACCTCGCTCGACTGGCTGGAAGAGGAAGGCAAGTGGCTTGTCAGAGTTCGAAGGGACGGCAAAGATGAGAAAGAGGAGAAGTTCGACATCGTCGTCTCCGCGCAAGGGTTTCTCAATACGTGGAAGTGGCCCGACATCCAAGGTATACACGACTTCAAGGGCCACAAAGCACACTCGGCCGCGTGGGACAACTCATACGACTACTCAGGCAAGAAGATCGGCATCATCGGGAATGGATCTTCCGCCATCCAAATCCTACCACAAATGGCCAAACTTCACGGCACGCAGATCGTAAGCTTCCAAAGAACACCCACCTGGATCACACCAAGTTTAGGAGAAACACTGGCTGTTACAAGCGGCGAGACAAAACAGCCAGCCCACGACGAATCAATCGGCGTCGACATGGCCGAGGTCAGCTCCTCAGACGAAGAAGTCGGCAGCAACTTCAACCCTCGCTACAGCAAACGCGACCGCCAACGCTTCCAAGATCCCGCAAAACACCAACAATACCGCAAAGAGCTCCAACACGGCATGAACAAAGGCTTCCGCATCTACTCCAAGGACTCGCCCCAAAACGCCAAATCCACAGCCGCAACGACCGAGCGCATGCGCAAAGCCCTCAACTACGACCCGGACCTCTGCGCCAAGCTCATCCCAACCTGGACCTTCGGCTGCCGCCGCCTCACGCCGGGAGAAGGGTACCTTGAATCCTTTCTCCTCCCGACTGTGGCGCTCGAGCAAACTCCCATCTCCCATATCACGCCAACCGGGATCCAGACGGAAGGCGGCCAGCACCACGACCTCGACGTCCTCATCTGCGCCACCGGCTTCGACGTCTCCCACATTCCTCACTACCCCGTCACGGGCCGCAACGGCGTCACCCTCGAGCAGCAATACAGCCCTGAGCCCGAATCCTATCTGTCAGTAGCCTGCCCCAATATGCCCAACTACTTCATCTTCACCGGCCCCAACGCCACCGTCGGCCACGGCACGCTCATCACATCCATGACATGGTCTGCGGAATACTTCGTTAAATGGTTCCGCAAGATCGCAAGAGAGAATATTCACAGTGTGTGCCCGACGCAGGCCGCTACGGATGAGTTTGTGCGGTATGGAGACGAGATTCACAAGACGTTGGTTTGGACGGGCGGGTGTAAGAGTTGGTATAAGGGGCATCGCGTGGATGGGAGGGTGACGGCGACGTGGCCGGGGAGTGCGCTGTTGTATAGGGAGATGATTGAGGAGATTCGGGGGGAGGATTTTGATATTAGGTACAGAGGGAGGAATCGGTTTGCGTTCATGGGGAATGGATTCACGGAGCTGGAGGGGAGGGAGGGCGCGGACTTGGCGGACTATATTTGATGAGCGAGCTTTCTGCTGAGCGGGCGGTGGCAGGGCACTATAGCAACCAATGTGAGCATTTGTACAAAATTGACGAACCGTGCCTTCCTGCCTTCGCAGTACTCTTGCGTTTGGCGCCAAAATCTACAACAGCTATAGCTAGTCCGTCCACCAAAACAACGACTTGCCACCTTCACCTTGCCCCGTCCTGATAACACGGGGGATCAACAAGATGTTTGTCTCGGCATAGGTCGGCGAAGCTCATAGCTGGGGCGGTGGAGTTGCCTCGGGGCGACGAATTCGTTAAAATCAGTTCCCGTAGACACCGATTTTGAGATCGGGCATTCCTTGAGACATGGCTCGAAGATGGGTACGGACAGATACAGGCTGACGCAGAGTCAATGCAGACCTAGTGGAGAGTGCTGGACAGATCTATAGAAGATGAAATGAAGGATCGAAGACTGGCTGGTCTGGGCGCAGGTTGTTGGCCAGGCTGTATGTGACGCCGGATGACGCGGTCCCCACACGAGACCGGATGACAGTTCAGCGATAGTACTTATCTAGCACCGGATGACGACCGTTCTTAGGCGAGACGCAGTTGAGTAGCGTTTCCATGGTGGTTGTGGTACTCACGACACCAGCACAACTTTACTGTTGCAAGAACTTGTGCACATTGTAATCTGCTGAGAAGTCTCGAACAATCTCAATCCGTCTATTGCGCTCCCTAATCGCTTCTCGCTTCCTTTCGATCGCGAGGGTCTCCACACAATCATTGGAGGTATCATACATGCCAGCTAATTATATTGTCGGCGGTGCTAATTTGCTCTTCGGCAGTACCTGGTCAGGCACTTTCTCTCCCTCATTGCCCTCGCTTGCCCGGCGACGGCGTCAACCACACACGGACAAAAGGTTGTCACATGCCGTGTCAGCCCTGCTGCACCCCGGAGGAACATTCGACGTTGCCCTTTAACTCAGGAGATTCGCGGCTCGTAACGAAGCACCCCAGCAAAAGTGACCAAGCGGGCAGAGTAGGCGGCAGCCTGCTGTCTGAACCATTCGAGCATGACGGTTGCTAAATCATGGCCGCAAGCGTTGCGGGTCCCTCGGAAACGGCGTTGCCTGCCGCACATTATCGAGCCCCAAGAAGAACTGCACGATTCGGTTCAACCCCAACCCACCACCCGCGTGCGGCCGACAGCCCTGTCGGAATGCATTCACATAGTCCTGGAAACCCTCTGCCGTCGGATCAACGCCCTTAGCCCGCATACTCTGCTCTAACTCGCCCGCATCATTAATGCGTTGCGCGCCAGACATGATCTCCTCTCCTCTCATGAAGAAGTCGTACGAGTTGCTCAGATTCGGGTCGGTCGGATGTCGCTTCGTGTAGAAGGGCCGTACAGCCATGGGGAACTCGTCGAGGACATAGAAATCAGTGTCGTACTTCTCGCGAATGATCTTGCCAAGCTGCTTCTCCATGGCGGTGCTAAGATCGGTCTCGAAGCGGTCTTGCTCGGAGGTGTCGACGCCAGCTTCCTTGAGAAGGCGGATGCCGTCGGCGTAGTTTAGGCGCAGGGCTTTGTTGTCTTTGATGCGGAAGTCACCGGCACGGGGGTAGAATTTTTGGACAGTGGCGATTTCGGCGGCGTAGGATTTCTGGAGGGTAGTTATGATGAAGACAATAAGATTCTCGGCGAAGGTGAGGACTTCGTGGTAGTGATTGGTGAAGACCATCTCGAAGTCAAGGCCGGTGAACTGGCAAGGTTAGCTGGGTTGGGGCTCAGTAGGAGATGGGGACATACTTCAGTCAGATGGCGATGGGTGTTGCTGTTCTCAGCACGGAAGACAGGGCCAATCTCGAAGACGCTTTCGCAGTCGCCAGCAATGAGCATTTGCTTGTAGAACTGGGGGGACTGGGCGAGATATGCGCTCTTCCCAAAGTAGTTGGTGACCTCAAAGACGCCGGCACCACCTTCTGTTGCTGCTCCGACAAACTTGGCTGTGTTGAATTTCCGAGAACCTGCCTTGACCATGTAGTCGGTGAAGAGGACTTCTACTGCGCTGGAGATGGTGAAGATGGCCTGGTTCACGTCGGTCTGGAAGTCGATCACGCGGTTGTCGAGACGGGTCTTGAGGGTGACGATGGGACCTGTGGCGTCGCTCTGGCCCTCCTCATTCGACTCAGGCGGCGGTCGCTCGCAGTCCTTGACCTGCATAGGTAGCATCTCCATTGCTCTCGAGATCTCGTAGATTTTCTTCACATTTAGTTCGAGATTTGAGATGCTTGCTGACGCAATGGCAGGGTCGGGCTTCTTGACTAGGCCAGTCACTCTGACAAAGGAGTTGACAGGTATGGCTGTCGCCCACTTGATCATCTGCTTCGACACATCGTCGCCGGCTGCAGCCATTACAGCCTGAATAGTTTCTCCCTGCTGTCTGAGCATCAAGAACGCCAACTTTGCACTCTGGACTCTGCTGTTGTGTATTCTCGTTATGACTGTGATCTCTTGGTCGGCATGAGTCTCGTTCAGCTTCTTCAGATGAATCACACCAGTCTCTTTTGCTTTGGTGATGCTGCCGTAGTTGTCGACAGCCTTGTCCTCATCGGCGGCAGCGGCTTGCTGTGCACGTTGAGCAGCCTCCTTTTCTTTGGCCGCGGCTTTCTTTGCTGCCTTCTCAGCCTCTTTGGCGGCCTTCTTCAGAGCACTTTTCGAGGGAGCGTTCTCTGCGTCAACCATTGGGTCATCCTTGGCGTGCACGGGCAAAGCCGCGCCTTTTGGCTCCTCGGATGACATTGTGCTGGTCGAAGATAGTATGAAGATGAGCGGTTGTCCTTGGACCGAATCCCGTACACGATCTGACGCAGAAGGTGAGCACAATCAATTGCGAGTCACAACTTCTGCGACCGAAACTTTTTCCCGTTCAATGGCAGGCGCGGGGCGGCGGCGGGGCATTCCGTGCCTGCGTTTAAGCTTATCTTAGGCTCCACCTGTTCCTGATCGCTGGGAAGCGGAATTCTTGAAGTCCACGACCTCTATGCCATTGCGATGCGGGACTGTACAGCTACGAGCGCTTTCACACGACGTCACTCTCATCATCACTTCGGCGGAATTACAGTGGAATGATGCTTCTAGGTGCTCGAAAGCTGAAATGTTGCTCCCTGCGCAAGTATCTTTACGCTTGTTCATCGGTAGCGTTGCTGTCGTTAAAGTCGCCAATAACGCCAAAGCCCTAGCCTTTCTCGACAACGCGCCGCTCCTCAGTCATAGTCCTGAGCCTCCATCACCGCCCTTCTTGTCGCATCCTGATGGACCCAAGCCTCGATCCTCTCAGCAGTGTCGCCCACAAGCTGAGCATAAGTCTCACTCATGACAAACATGCTTGTATGCGCAACAACCTCATCCATGTTGGTCATGTACACCCGCACCCATGTTGGGTCTCGCTTCCCGGTCTTTGGGTCTTTCCCCGGTAGCGTGCAGAACTTCCTATCCTTTTGCTTTGTTACAGGAGGAGCAGACGATTTGGCCTCTTTCTGCAGCTGCTTGTCGTATGTCTCTGGGTTCAAAGTATTGATACGTTTCAGATGCTCCTTGGTCTTCTTGTCCTCCGCTTTCTGCTCCGCCTTCCTCTTCTTTTCCAAGAATTTTTGACGGTCACGGATGGTCTTCTGGCGGTCTTTGACTGCCCTTTCGTATGCTTTGAGTTGACGGTCGTACTCTTTTGATCTTAGCTTGAGTGTGCCTGGGTCGTGGCAAGTGCTTGGGTCGAACGGTATTGGTGGGATAGGTTCCGAGGGCAGGTCAGGGAAGGCATCGTCGTCAATGGTCTTTGACTCATTCTCGGCAATGCTGGCGAGTTCGGTGTCTGATGGGATGCTTGGCTCCGGGTGAGGATCGAGAGCAGTCATCTCAGGGCTTGCACTACCTCCGCTTCTGAGCGATGCCCTATCACCCTCACCGATCTGCAGCTGATCTAGCTCTTTCTGGATGACCTCGCCATCACGGTGCTCCGACAACGATATGCGAGGACTATTCGTACTTAGTGGTGTGGAAGGAGCACTGTCTTGTCCCGGTGGATGCAGTGTAGCATCAATTGGGCTTTTGCTAGACTCGGCAACAGCCGCCTCAGACGGCTTCCGCTCTTTTATGCGCCCGGTACTGGCCGAGTAGTAGTTGACGAACCTCACTCGGCGGCGCTGATCAGGTCCAGCAAAGTCATCAAGATCCTCGAGTAGTCTGATTGCATCATAGCGCCGCTTCAGACCCGGGTAGTCCAGCAGACAACCGCCAAACTCGAGGTGTGATGTGACATAGTCCTTCGATGCTTTGGTGAGCTCACCCCAATGTTTGTTGAAGAAGTAGAAGCCTTTCTCCCACTTTCCCTTACGGTTTGGTAGGTTGATGTCGTTATCGAAGGATGGGTTGTAGTTGAGATCCGAAGGACTCACTGCTGAGAAATCTGACAGACCTGACATGGAGTTGTTTGTAGATGTCGGCGCTAGAGGGCTCATCGCTGGGGTAGTATCTTGACTGCTCGGTTCTGGCGCTGATCTGAACAGGCTGGCAATGCCCGTACTGACCACTCCAGGGTGCATGCCCAGAAATGGCGTATCGAAGGCGATTAGACCTAGGATGCGGTGTCTCGACTCTCGCGCGCCTGCTTTGAGCGGAAGAAGAACAACCTCAGCGGCAAGAATGCCTCCAAGACTATGCCCAACAAGAATGATATCCGTGGTTGGCGAGTCGTGAGGCAGAAGCCATGTGCTAAAGTCATCCCGAGCGAAAGTGATGTTCTTCCTCGACTTGTACTTTGGGTAGATCTTCGAATACACAACGTGGCTGTCGGCCAAAGTGACGGTCAAGATGTTGTGTATGTGGGCCGGAAAGGACTTGAAACTGGTCTCGTTGCCCACAAATCCATGAATGTAGACCAGTAGCAAAGTTCTCCTTCCGTCTCGTGACTCAACTGGTCGCAGAGACTGTTGAGATGAGGCCCGTGGATCATCGAAGCCTCCCGAGTAAGGCGAATGATCTATTGAGTGCCTGGGATTGAGGTGTGTCGCATCATCATAACTTGGCAGTGGTTCATTTAGCGAGGAGACCGTGCTGGCCGCCGATGCGGCGCGAGGCGGCAGCGGTGGTGGTTTCTGTGCCATAACGGCGCAGGGGAAATGCTTCTTACTATCATGATACCTCAGGCATGATAAGTAGGCAACATAAGTATCTCTATGGACAATCGAGGGTGCCTGTCAATGTCTCAAAGATAGTTTTGATGGAGCAAACCAAGATACTATTGCCCGATGCCTCGTGGCAAGCCGGTTGACGTCATCCTGCAGGCAGTGGAAACAAGAGAGCGTATTCACATCCAGCTCGTGTCAACTCATCTACATCGCGACAAACAGATCAGCACAGCGGCGCGGACTGCGTAGTACTACAGGTCTATGCTCTTGACATCCATGCACCGAAGTCCATGACATAGCCCTTCTATCTACCAGCATGGCGAAGGTCGAAATCACAATCCCCACCACCTTCACCAAGAACGACCCGAAACCACACACCGTCTACAACATAACCCTCCGCCTGCCCCTCCGCTCCTTCACTGTCCAGAAGCGATACTCCGACTTCGTCGATCTACACTCGTCTCTGACCTCCGTCTGCGGCCAGGCCCCACCCTCCACCCTCCCCTCCAAGTCCTGGTTCTCCAGCACCCTCAACAACCCTACGCTGACCGAAGACCGCCGTCGGGGCCTCGAATCCTACCTACAAACCATCAACACAGACTCCGATGCCCGGTGGCGGAATAATGCCGTCTGGCGCGCGTTTCTGAACCTGCCTTCCTCCTTCGCTTCTACTTCGAACCAGTCGTCGAAAGCAGATACACTGCACTCTTACATATCCACCAACAACGATACCTCAATCACAGACCCAGTCCTCTGGCTCGACTACCACCGCGACCTGAAAACCCACCTCCACGACGCCCGCCTGCAGCTCACGAACCGGGACCAGGCATCGACACCACAGAAACAGCACGAGGCTTCCGCCGCGGCGAAGTCCTCGCTAGTGAAGGCTGGGAGTGTGTTGTCCTCGCTCGAGGATGGGCTATCTGCCATTCAGAAGTCTGGGGGTCTGGGCGCGGGCGAGATGCGCCGGAGGAAGGATTTATTGAGTTCCGCGCGGAGGGACCGGGATGGACTGGAGAGCTTGTTGAGTGCTATGGCGCAGAAGTCGAAACTTGATTCTGCTGTGGCGCAGGCTTCGACTGCGGATAAGGACGCTCTACTCTCCGCATCCACAACAAACCCAACTCACCAAAAACCTCGAGGCGGCGGTCGCGTCCTCGGTCGGGAAACGGCCGAGACGCGCGAACTCGATAATCAAGGCGTGGTCCAACTACAGAAACAGAAGATGGCGGATCAAGATCTAGATGTAGAGGAGTTACGGAAGATCATTCAGCGGCAGAAAGAGCTAGGGACGCAGATACACGAGGAGCTGGAGGTACAGAATGAGATGTTGCGGATGGTGGAGGAGGATGTGGATCGTGTTGGAGGAAAGATTGATGTTGCGAAGAAGCGCGTCGCAAAGATCCGGTAGGACCGGGTGGGTTGGGTGTTTGATAGGGCAGCTGGGATTTTATATCGGGCTTGCCGCGAAGAGGAGGATGACGACGAGTGAGCGTTCGGGTATTGTCACCGCGTGGAAATTGTAGCATTATAGCATAGCACATGGGTATCATTTCTTGCTTATCATCACATGGCACTTGGGCGGCACTGCTACGTGTACCATCAACCCATACTCAGGTTCTCCCACTCCAGAAAGCATCCGCTTCCCCTTGCTCAGCCCCGTCCCTGACCTCCTCATCTTCCTCACCTCTCCTCCTTCCTTCATCCTTCATGATCAGACCTAGCTTGGCCTTGCGTACCGCCCACCAAAACTCCTCCCTATCTCCTCCCAGCTTCCCTCCCTTCACTTTATCCCTGAATCCCGTCAAGAACTCCCTCCACATCCCCGCCCGCTCGTTCTCATACAGCTCTTCCCTCACCACACCAAGCATTTCGACCGCCCTCGCATAATTGCTGTCGCCAAAACTCTTCTTCACGAGGTGCTCCACGAGCGAGAACATCTGTTGCGTGAGATCGCGATGTTGGTCTTCTGTCTCAGCGCGGTCCATGGCACGCTTGTACTCGGGGATAGCGTTGTCTGCTGAGATCGTCTTCTTGCTGGAGTGACCGTTTGTGGTATTGAAGAGGGCGTCGACGTCGAGATCACCGATGGGTTTCGCGGACTCGCGCTTGCTGCGGCGACCGCGTTGCTTGGGCGGGATCTTCTTCACGTTGGCGACTTTGATCAGGTGGTCCAGCGCGGGTTTGGCGGCGGATTGGAGGTGGGCTGGTTGGGAAGAGTAGGAGGCGAAGAGTTCTGGTTTCGGTGGGAGAGGAAGATCTGGGTGTACGGCGCGGTATTTGATTGCACCTTCTATGGTGTGCAGGACCGGGGAGTATGTGTCCTCGATGGGGAGGTGTTCAATGTCGTCGGAGCCATCGGCGGCTTCGCCTGGTTGGTATAGGGACATGCTGTCGACGAAGTCGGACATGGCGTCTAGGAGGTCGTCTTTGGGGAGGCGGTAGTGCTCTTTCACTACCTCTCCGGAGACCTTGAACACTCTGTCCAGAGGTGGGAAGCGATATTTGCGGGCGTCTTCGGCGAAGGGGAGGATGTTTTCGATGATGCACTCGAAGTCGGGCTCGATGTGAGGTGAGAGGAGGGTTAGTGCTGGTTCGGCGCCGTCTTTCTTGACGAAACGCGCGACGGCGAGGGAGCCTAGCTCGTACAAAGCGCGGATGAAGGATGAGAGGGCCAGCGCGGCTTTGTCGTTGCCGCGTGGGGCGACGAGCATGTTAGTGTTGTCCATGATCATATACCGCTCGAGTTTCTCGGCTGGGATGAAGGCCATGATATCGTATGACTGGAATGTCTCTAGTTTGGTGATGTTCTCGTCTGACTCGGAGATATGAACCGCTGTCCTGCCGTACTCGTAGCCTTTGGCCAGGTCTTCTCGCTCAACATTCTTCTGACCGTCTCCGCGGGTGGCGTCCTTGACGAAGTAATTGTATTTGTGGGCGACGTCTGCAAGGCCATCATCGCCGTCTGCTTGAGCCTTGATCGCAAAGGAGCTCGCTGTGGGCGCTTTCCGTACCGAGACCCTGAAGTATCGTTCAACGTCGATGGTCACAGCCGTATCGTAGTTCTCGTTGTCTCCTAGTCGTAGGTAGCCTTTATATGTCGGTGTCGGACGAGTCTGCTTGACTTCTGGAATAGCCAGGCCCTCGATCGCCTCCTGCATGGTAGCATATCGACCACCGCATAGATCACAGAGCTTTCTCAGCGTGCGTTCGTTCTGTGCCTTTTCTGGGGACTTGTCCTCTTCCTTGAAGCCATACTCAGGGTCGTCAAAGTCGATACCGAGCAGGAGCAACTCAACGTCGTTCTTCTTCAACTGCTCCGCCGTATCTTCGACATCATCATCGTCCATCGCGCCAAGACCGTTGGTGACAACAATTAATTTCTTCTTGTACTTCAATTGCTTGCAGTGCTTCATGATAGCATCCAGTCCGACGATAATGCCAGAGAGAATGTCTCTGTTGTCTGTGTTCGAAGGTTTCAAGATCCGCGGTAGGCGCTGCAGATCTGGTAGCAGTATTTGAGATATTGGCTGAAGAATGGAAATGTGCTGGTATGATTCGTCATCTTTCATGTCGTCGCCAACGTTGGTCTTGTCTGTGCCCATTCCGACGACGCCGGCCAGTAAAGTCTTCCTTCCGGTGCCCACGATGGTGCTGATCTTGTCCCAGATGTACCTCAGGGACCAGTCAAGGTCACTGTCTTCTCTACCTGAACTCCGCACGCCCATCGACCTCGCTACGTCCACCACGAAGACCGTCGCCTCTTTGTCGGCCATGGTGAAGGCTGCTTGATCAATCGAATAAACCTTGCATCGATCCGCAGCAAATGAAGGGCTGCTGGGTGCGGCACAGAGGAAAGCAGCGCCAGGTTAAAAAAAGGAAAGAAACTGTACCTAGCTATGTTCACCGGCACCGCATGACTGTTGCAGTCGCAGGCAAATCGCGAAACGCGAACGAGATTTCCAGGCGGTCACTTCCCCGCAGTCGCCTAAATTCGAGCGCGTGATCACGTGGCGGATTCCAGAGGGAAAGGCCCGACCCCAGCCGCAGCTCTTTCCAATTGAAGGCTGGCATCGACAGTGATCTCAACATTGAACATTGCAACATATGCTATACCGCGACGACATAGGTACAGTGAAAGCTATTGGCGTGCCAGTCATCTATTGCTGCGGAATGGCTCCTGCTGCTGATGCATGGTCGTGCAGGATGCATGCATCATTAAGACACACTAACCTTGAGCTGCAGGTAGAGCTCCGAGGTCACCGGTGGTCAAGAGATTGTCGACTTATATGTGATCGCACCCTCTTCCCTCGCCGTCGTGAGCGTCGACAATCCTTTGAACTGATGAGTATTACTATGACCAGCCTCTCTTGTTTCAGGTAAGTATACGTGTACCGAGATTGAAAAGCTGCATCTCAGCCAGAAATTCGGTGGTTGGCGGGGTGGTTGGTCACCACCAACAAATCTCACTGCAAAAGCCCAACCATAACGGCTTTTCAACTCTGCACCTCATCGTTCCGCACATTCCTCGACAAAAGTCTACCACAATCCCATTGTTCAACCTCATCGCCACTGCGACAGCGACCACATCGACGTGAGCCGAGCACAACTTTCCACCGCCTCGGCACGACTGTTGGGAGAGACCGATCCGAGATCAGACCTTCTAGGTCGACCATATTCACAGATACAGTGCCACAATGCCTTCTCTCCGGGGTGCGCTGTTGGCCACGACCACTCTCTTATCACTGTGCCGAGCTATGATTTTACCCAACGAGCTTCGTTCATTAGAAGATTTACAAGATCTACATAAACGTTGCAATAACCCTTGTGGAAGTGGCGGCTGGCTATGCTGTCCCGACGACACTACTTGTTATACCGACTCTGAAGACAAGGCACAATGCGCTTCGGGCGGATATATTACTTCGACCTACGTTTTGACCAATCTTCAGACCGTCACCACGACAATCGCAATAGGTGCAGCACAGACAGGATCAAGCTGCAAGTGGTCAATAGGCGAGACTTCGTGCGGCAGCACGTGCTGCAACTCACAAGAGTTCTGCGCGTCACAAGAGAACAGCATTTGCCAGGACAATGGTGCCGGGAGCTCCGGATACTACAGCAGCTTGCGCACTGTTACGACAATTATCACCAATACTGCGGCAGTCGGTACTGCAAGTCAGCCTTTTCTGCCCACCAGCAACACAGTCGTCACTGTGACTGCTACAGGTACAGCGGGAGAACTTACGACCACGCGGGGGTTTATCGCACCAACCAGCACGATCATCTCTGAGTCGAGTGGCGGTGGTGGCGGCGGTCTGAGTGGTGGCGCCATTGCTGGTATTGTCATTGGTGTCCTTGCTGCTATCATCATCCTGATCTTGATCTGTCTGTGCTGCTGCGCCAAAGGCATATTGGACACCATTCTCGGTATTTTTGGATTGGGGGATCGGAAAAGACGACGAACAGAAGAGGTTGAGGTCTATGAGAGCCGACATCACCATGGTAGCCGACGAGGCAGATCGGCGTCGGCTGCTGGCCGACGAACATGGTTCGGCACCAAGCCCAGGCGGAGTACCTCGGTCGTGGAAGAGAAGAAGAGTAGCGGATGGGGACGAGCAGTAGGTGTGACAGCTGGACTTGCTGGTCTTGCCGCCTTCTTGGGATTGAAGCGAAGGAGGGACAGGAAGGACCACAAGAGTGAGGTTAGCTATGGCAGCTCTTACTACTCCGACTACACAAGCAGTGAGTTCACTCCCAACATAATCACTAAATTCAATACTGACTGATTCCAGGCTCGGAAAGTTCCTCAGATAGAAACACGAGACGAGGAGCATCTCGGTCTCGTTCGAGAGCCTACTCGCAATCAAGAGCTGGGTCGCGGAGATGACAGTTTTTCAAGTGATAATCGAGCATTTGTGAGCATTTTCAGAGGCATTTTCACCTTGCATATGAAGAGCTGGGGCACAAGTGGACATACTGTTGCATAGCTGCGTAGTGCTGTACATAGCAATTCAGAAGTTGATTCTCAGGTTCTGGATTCTTGAACACTTTGCTCGTCAACATGGTTGGTTGACAAAAACGGTCAAACTGTTGCTTAACACTAATGTGAGGCTTTGGCTACCTAAGTATGCAATGAGGGATGCCATCAGTTTGCCAAGGCGCCATGTGACCGTGCCGGCGAGGCAAGCGCTGTACTCCAACTCGAACTTGTAAACCTTGACTCCTCTCACACTCTCTTTGATGCTGTCACATTTGCGCATGCTCGAGTACCTTGTCCCATACTGAAATCACGTACCCGTCCTTGCCTACACAGAACTCTGCCACTGCTGGTGTATCTTGGTCCATCCGTCATCTCGATCGTACCCCGAAGGATTAAGCCGAACTGCCGAGACCGGTCGAGGATGAAACCCAGTTGACCTCGATCCTATATCCCGCATGATGTTGCAAGCGCAGCATCCATATCAGTCACAGTATTCTCAGTTGCAAGATAGTTGGCCTCATGGCAACCAGCACAGTACCCAACAGGGGTCGAGTCACAACCAGCAGGGCCAGGCAAGCCAGCAACACTACACTCGCATTGCCGTGAGCCAAAACAACGCCTCTAGGGAGAACAACAACAATCCGCCCGCTGCTGCTTCCCTCGCCGCCATGGGCGAACAGGGGGCTGATCAATCGGTCTCCGAGGACAACCGCAAAGTCCTGCAATGGGTCGCAGATCTGATGGAGCCTGCTCGCAGGGAAACCGCCCTGATGGAGCTCAGCAAGAAGCGAGAGCAGGTTCCTGAGCTTGCCTTGGTTTTGTGGCACAGCTTCGGCGTTATGACCAGTTTGCTACAGGAGATCATCTCAGTCTATCCGCTGCTCAATCCGAGCCAGTTGACAGCGGCTGCCAGCAATCGGGTCTGCAATGCTCTCGCTTTGTTACAATGTGTCGCTAGTCACAACGAGACTCGAGGCTTGTTCCTGAATGGTAGGGTGCATCTGCCCTTCAAGACCGCTCATACTGACGAGTCCCAGCTCACATCCCACTCTTTCTCTACCCGTTCCTTAACACCACTTCCAAGTCAAGGCCTTTCGAGTACCTGCGCCTGACTTCCTTGGGCGTCATCGGTGCACTTGTCAAGAACGAGCCTTCTTCAAGCTCATATCCTAGTGGCAATCCTGCTGGTCCGGGTCAGACCAACAACTCATCGCCCACCATCACGTTTCTCCTTACCACCGAAATCATACCACTTTGCCTCCGAATAATGGAGACAGGTAGCGAGCTGTCCAAGACAGTGGCCATATTCATCGTACAAAAGATTCTGCTGGATGACACTGGCCTCGGATACATCTGCGCTACTTATGAAAGATTCTACGCTGTGGGCACAGTGCTGAGCAACATGGTGGTTGGCCTGGTGGAGACCCAGACAGTGCGGCTGCTCAAACATGTCGTCAGGTGCTTCTTGAGGTAAGTTGAGCTGGCTTTGATCTACACCGGCAGTGACTGATCTACTTCAGACTGAGCGACAACAACCGTGCTCGCCAAGCACTTCGACAATGCCTCCCCGAACCACTACGCGACGCCACATTCTCCGCTGTACTTCGTGACGATGCCGCTACTAAGCGCTGCTTAGCTCAGCTATTAATCAATCTGAGTGATAGCGTCACTGATTCCGCAAATGACCATTTCGACTAGAGACCGGTTCGGATCATGAAACCTGATGAAAGGCACGACTTTACTCATGAGAACGGAGATACACGTCTTCTATCAAGCGGCTCGCAGCATGGGAAGGTCAATGTATCGGAAAAGGCACGGCGCATTGCTCCTGAAACGCGTGACTGGCAGGAAGCCTGTTTGCTGAGCTTAGATCTAGCTGAAGCGCGGGATACCAATACTACGGAATAATCATGCTCCAAACGAAAAGCCATCGTGGGAAAAGGAAACCGACACTGTTAATATTATGAGGGCACTACGACCAGGGCGTCTACAAGGAGAGGCAGTTGAGGGACCATATGTGGGTAGGTCTGATCATCCACTGGCAGGCAAACAGGTTGCGGGAACGCCAACTGAGGCTCGGCGCGGCGTTCGAGAATGATCGAAACCAGGAGAAGGTTCGCATTTCAGGCCTTGGACGGCTACGGATACCCAGAGTAAGAGGTCGACACAACCTCGGAGGCAGAGCAGCAGGCGCAAACACGGGTCGGTAGCACACGCTCGGAAAAGAAGGGACAGCATAACAACTTTTATGTATATGGCAAGGAGCGGCGTCATTGATAGGGAAGATACCAGGAATCAATTCGAAGCGAAAAGCTCATATCGTATCAGCAACTCACGCCACTTGTTGCAACGTACCTTGCCGTGTTGTGCGGCACTCGTCCCATCAAATAGCAGCAGATTGCTATCTGAAATGGCAAGTACACGAGAGGCCATAGGTCTGGCTGGAAGGAGGAAGAAAGAAGGCAGAGAGCACGGCGGGACCAGACGCCTACTTATACCTCTTCAACGAAGTGAAGACCTCAGCAAACCGATGCAATAACTTCACTGACTCATTCTGGGGGAGTATTCACTGTTCGTTGGTTGCATGAATCAACAGTCATCTGACCAACAAGCATTGCGTTGAACTTGGAGTCACTGTCACCCTCACTCGGAGGGTGACACTTCTTTAATCGTCGACCATGCCAACAACGATGTCGATCGTCTCTGCACCGAACAACATCCTAGCTACACCATGAATTGCTTTTGCTTCGAAGAAATATCTCCAAGAACTAGTCAATCTGAAAACCTCTCGCCATCATCCAAAGTGACAGTGACACATTCGCATGTCGCTGCTTGGCCACTATATGCCTTGCCAGCGCTTCACTACTGGCGACCATACGGTCAGTATCAGTGACCCGTCCAGTGCATCGTGAATCGAATAGCCTCGCCCAGACGGCAAGCGCGATCTTCCCGCCCGAACTTCCGTCTTCGCTTAGATCCACTTCCCGCGATCTCTTACGCACCCTCTCCACTATTGCGTCACCTTGTGCCTTGCCCATGAACACTACCTCGACTTCATAATTCCTTGAACGTTTCTTCAATCCTTACAACCCAACTTGACCACATTGTTTAAATCCAGTAATTGAGAAGATGAGTTACGGCGGTGACCAATACGGCGATAGCGGCCGCGGCGGCGGATACAATGACGACCGTCGAGGTGGAGGAGCAGGTGATAGCTACTATGATTCAAACAATCGGTAGTAAGTCTTGAACCCTGTGCTAAGCAGCCCCTAAGCTGACCTTTCAAAGCGATGACGACTCTGGTCGTGGGGAGCGCCGTGATGGTGGCAGAGACCGTTATGAAGGGGGCAACACTGGTGGTGGCGACGGCTATGGCGACTCACGACGCCGCAACGATGATGACGGCGGCTACGGCAACTCTGGCAACCAAGGAGGCTATGGTGGGGGTGGCAATTCGGACCGCTACGAAAATGACCGTCCACGTCGCGACGAGGGCTATGACCAGCGCTTTGGCAACCAGAGTGGAGGTGGCAGAGACGACGATCGTTATGGCGGCAACTCGTCCTCCCGCCCCTCAGAGGGCCGCTACGGTGAAAGTGCTCCGTACTCAGGCCCGCAGTCCGGTCAAGAAAGCAGTCCATACGACGCTCCCTCCTCTGGCTATGATGGTCCTCACCGCCCACAGGGTGGCCAGCATGGCGGTGGCGGTGGTAGTGGCCGCCCACCATTGGCCGACGAAGTGACCTCCCACGCATCCTCAGACGAAGATAAATCTTTCTTCTCATCCGCACTATCCTTCCTGAACAACAAGCCTGCCGCAGGTAACGAGGACGTCGACGAAGGACGCATGCAGTCCCATCATGACGACGTGTACTCCGATCGACCCCAGGGTGACCAGAGTGCGAACAGTCTTGGAGCTGCGGCCGCTATGCACGCTTTTCAGAACTTTACTGGTGGTGGCGGTAGCGTAGGCAGTGGTGGCAGCAGTGGTGGTGGGCAAGGTCAGCTACTGGGAATGGTCTTCAAAGAAGCGAGCAAGCTCTTTGAACAGCAGAACGGGCAGGGGAATGTTGCGAGCGGGGTCGACAAGCAGAACGTGATCAACCAGGCTGGTCAGATGGCCGTCAAGCTCTACCTGAAGAACCAGATGGGTGGTGGTGGTGGAGGTGGAGGAATCATGGGGTTGGCGTCGCAGTTTTTGAAGTGATGCAGGACGACATAACGGTTGTTCCGAACGGAAATGAAGTGCTCTGGTCGACAAGGTTACACTCATGGATCGGATGGATCGGAATTCGCTGCTTCGCGGGATCGGAAAAAGTATACGGATATCAGTCCGGCACGAGAACAAAGGACAAGCGTTGTCTCTTAGCTAGGGATCTTGTAGCTGAGAGTGAGCAAAGCTGCAACGCCAGCTGAGGTGCTTGCTTGCCCACATTCACGTGAACACCAGCTATAGACGCGGTGTTCCTAGGAGCAACCCTGACCTCAGGAAACACACAGCAACCAAATTGGGAAGGCTGCCTTCTCTTTTAGGAACTCTCCAAGTTCTATCTGTCCAGTGCGCATTGTTGCGCGCATAGTTGTGTAACAAGGACGTAAACTTCACACTTTCTTGCTACGGCCAAGCACTCTGGCTTCTCATGTGCTTTTCCTTCGCAAGGAGCACATGAAGTACTTTCGATGCTACCTGCAGCAGAGTGCCGGGTCAGAGGTGTCGCTCGGCCTCTCAATTTTCGAGGCGAACCGGAGCGTGTGTCGTGGGGTCGTCGTGGTCGAATTTGGCGCAAGCACCGTCATCCGGTCTTATATAAGACGGACCCCCGTCGACCAGTAGTAGCTTCCGGGCACGAACGAGCACACGATCACTTGCCTTCTCGATCATTACGACTCGCGTGTTCATTCTACTTACCCTTGAAAAGATCTTGCAGGTTCTGAAGAAACGACCAGGATCGGAGACACCATGAAGAGGCATCAACACCCCCGTCGCAATAAAGGCCCTCGTGTTTTGCGCAGGCCCTTATCGAGCTCGTGCCATTACGAATAATGGCAGTCGTTCTATAGAGATGCAGAGTTGCGATTTCCTCGAGATTACAATTTTTGTTCTGGCAGCAACGCTCGCCAACGTGAAGCTCACGAACCAGATCACCATGCTCTTCTTCGCTGGTTTGCGACGTATCTCGTGCTCCACGCGCATTCGCTCGATAGTTCCTGGACCATCTCGATAAGGCAGATCCTGTCAGAGATGGCAAGCGTCAGGCATGTTCAAAAGCCATGAACCGGTGCTATATGCCGATGCAAGCTCCGCAGTACCTGCATTGATCTCAGGTACTAAGATCGTATTCACGATGCCGGGATGTGGGCACGATCCAATCGACCCCAGCATGCAGCGCCAGTAGTGCGCCATGGGTGATGCACGCGAGCACAGCTAGTCCTGCGATCGTCTGGGGTACTTCTCAGGAATTGCCGTTCTTGCAGAACTACTGAATACACGGTAAGTGACTCCGAAGCCCTTCTGCATTGATTACGGGAGCAGCATACGGCACAACGGACCCGAAACTTCTCATGCATGCTGATGGAGACAGGTATTGTGTCGCGTGCCACTCATCTAGTTCTCGAGAAGAACGATGGGCATTTATGCAAGCCACTCACCCCGTCGCATCCATGACACATCAAATCTGCTGGGTGCTTCCACGCGCTTCCCCCAATTTTGCCACCTTCCGAGCTCCCTCAGCACACAAGGTGAGGCAGATTCGCGCCAGTGAATACGAGTGACGGAGACAGCATGAGGCCAGAACTTGTTATGTCTACAAAGGAAGGCATGTGTGCTGCGATATCATGGGGAGGCCTCGAGCCTTGACCGTCTCCTTCGCTGCAGTTTGATGCGCGACTATGCCACCTAACCCGCCGTTGCCCTCGAATGCTGACGAAAATGCTTCCGGTCACATCATCGGGGCTACTGTGGCCGTCTCCGTCCTTGCACTGCTTGTCACCGTTACAAGATTTTATGTCCGAGGGTTTATTGTCAGAGCTGTCGGCTGGGACGACTGGTTGATGGCATTGGCAATGCTTCTGGTAAGCGGTCTTCTCTCGAGTGTCTATAAAGGCCGCCAGGCTCTGAACAGCATGCAGTCAATCTCAACAGAGATCTTCATCATCCTAGCTGTTAAGAATGGCGCCGGGCAACAGTGAGTGCCCCATCATGTGGTGAGTGCAAATGCTGACAAGTTCAGTATCGGGGACGTTTCACCACATCAATACTATGAAGCCTCAAAGTTCGCCTTCATTGTCCAGGACCTCCCCCTGTGGGCTATCTGCATCGTCAAGCTCTCGGTGGGATGCGCCTTACTGAGGATCGCTGCACGAGACATGTGGAAATGGATCATCGCTTCGGTCATGGCCTTCATGATCGCATATACCATTTCAGCATTCGCTGTGCGTGTAACCCCTGCCCAGCTTTCTCCAGGTGCTGACTTGACTTTGCAGACGACAATTGCTTTCTGCCAACCGATCAGTCTACCCTGGAATCCTCAAGCCCTTCTGGATCCCGCCAACGCCGCAAAATGCTGGCCTGTGCAGACGCTGCAAGACCTCACCATTGCTCACGCCGCGCTCAACATCTTCACGGACATCGTATTCGCCGTTGGGATTCCTATACCAATGCTGTGGAAGCTGCAGCTAAACAGCCGTACCAAAGCTGCGATTATGTTCATCCTGTCGCTTGGCATTTTTGTTTGTGTCGCTGGTGTGCTCAAGATTCCCGAGATCCAGAACTTCGGTGAGTCTAGTTTCGGATCGTCCCCAGCATTTGCTCTGACACTTATACAGGAAAACAAGGCGACTTCCTCTGGTCCATCCGCAAATTCATAATCTTCTTTCAAGCTGAAGTCAACATTGGCATCATTGCTGGATCGCTACCGGCACTCAAACCGCTCTTCAATGTTCTTGCAGACAAGACGAGCATGACGGATATATTCTGGACGACCAGACGTAATGACACAGTCGCCACCACCTACGCCAACCACATACAGGATTCCCGAGTTGCATCCTGGCGGCAAGAAACGACAAGGAAGACTTCAATAGCCTCAGTCACGGATCCCGAACGTCAAGACTTCGGCGATACTGATGCAGAAAGCAGCATAAGCCACCACAGCGCCGTGAGTCAGCAAAATCTCGTCATGGAGGCGAACGGTGATGGTCAAAGGAGGAATATTCCAATGGGCGTGATACATAAGAGTGTCACCACCAGCGTCACGGCCCTACCGGAAGATGAGGAGTATTCGGGGAGCTCGCCACCTGGGCCCGGATGGGCGATGTGAGGATGAATGAACTGTAAAGATGCCCAACGGCCACAGAGGCCGCCCGAAAAGTGTGGAACAGAATACAATGAGACTTGTAAATAGTCCCAAAAGCACGATTGTCTTGCCAGCTTTTCCACCACTCCAAACGCGTCGGGTCAATGTGCCCCGGCCCATATCCCAGCCATGCCGTGCCATGCACAAATACTTACCTCAGTGGCTTCCGCCCGTAAACGAACACGAAAGGCACGTAGATGTGGGCGTCTGTCGAACATCGACTCGTCAGCCCCTATGCCGGTCCCGTGTGTATCCTGAATACAGGAATAGAGGACCGTGGTTGAACTCACCAGAATTGACCAGATCCCGCTTAAGCCCATCAACGATTCGCTGCGTCTGCTGCAGCGAGTACCCCAAGTGTCGCGTGTATACCTGCGTGGTCAGTGGTTCAACGGCGTCGAGATTGTGGGCGAGAAGGGACAGTCCGAGCTCTTTGTTGGTTTTCCCGCGAGCCCAGGTTCCAATTGGTGCCTTGAAGCATTGTGTCAGCACATCGAGCGAGGAAGAATCAGCAAGAAATGAAGACGGTGCGTACCTTGTAGCGATCCTCCTGCACATCCACGAAGCCTACCTCGGACAATAATCGCTTGTACTCGTCAGCAATGCCGCGCATTGGCGTGCCTGCTTCCGCCAGCTCCCGCTGCCACGCCACCAGCGCAGGCACGAGACGTAGCGTGTCGTCGTCGCTGAGGAACGTGTTGGGCGCATAGTCCTGCAGCTCGACCCAGCCGCCTGGATTGAGGTTGTCGTAGATGTGGCGGAGGAGGGTCGGGAAGCTCATGTTGGTGGTCGATGACAGGGCGCGGGCGTGGATGAAGTCGAATTTCTCTGTGCCGAGGTCGTTGCCAGTACGGAAAGTGCAATTCGAGGGCTTGAACTTCGGGCTGGCGGCCGTGGAATCTGAGGACTGAGCGATCACAGTAGCGCCAGGTAGCGCATCAGCGGCTTCCATGGCCCAGATACCGCTGCTGGACGGGGACAGATCGAGGACACGTTTGGGGAGACGGGCATTGGGACCGCTGATTGGGGCGCGCCATAGATCGCCACCGGTCAGCACTTTGAAGATGTGGTGTAATATGTCGAGTCGTTCAGGAGTCGTGGCAGTCTCGCTGGAAGTGGCGTTTGGGTCCAGGAGAAGAAGGTTGCCGTCGTTATAAGACTGGTAGCGGCCGCCATCCTCGTACTTGTAGTTCAGGACGGTGGCGGCGAGGCTGGCGCTGCCTTTCGTGATCAGGGCTGGCTTGTACGGTTGGGCAAAGCGATGCTGTTGTGGGTGTGAGTGAATGTAAGTAGCATGATCTTAGGTTTGAGCAGCGTACATCGATCTCCAGGGGCACGGCGGCGCTGCCAGGGTGGGCTATTGCTGCCATCGTGAGTATTATCCTCGAGGACGCTTCTTAAGTGCTCTTTGAAGTCGGTAGAAGCTCAGAGGTCTCACGACAAGTCGAGCACGCATCGACCGTCTATTTTCAGTACGCGACAACCAAATCTGGGATCATCAGCAGTTCACGCTCATTCCGGATACTACTCCCATACCCCATAAGCACTCTCGCTTAGCGGTCTCGCAACCACAGGGGTCGGCAGGGGTGCCCATTGGACGCCTGTCAGTAGAAGACATGGCTGCAGCGCCTCGTATCATCATCTTCTGGCAGTGACCGCTCACGGCGTCGGCTTCATATGGAGTGCAAGGAGGACATGTTGAACACGATCCTCTGCGGTTGGAATGGCGTGAGGTTGGAAGAAGCCCTGCGGATCAAAACGCCGACGAACGTTCTGTACGCCCCCAGAAAGCTTGGCATCATCGAGCCGAGCATCGGCCTCCAGTGCTTTCGACGGCGGTGATGTCAATCTGCGGGCGCGCGTGGCCACAAAACTGAAGTGAAGATCGTAAACTCATTGATTGATTTCTGTTTCGTTTCCATCGATCCCCTTGACACCGCTCGACATGACCACCATCGTACCCTCACGTCAAGTGCTTCGGCATCTGGCGCGCCTGTGCGCATCATCTCAGCCTGTGCGCCCTTTCTGCTACGCTGCAGCCCACCAGCCAGCATCACAGATCGCGAATACTGCTAGAGCACAGGGACATTGTACACGGCGCGGACTTACTACTACCTCGCATCTCCGCCAACAGGCCTCGACCTCTTCGACTACCCGAAATCACAGCGCCACCAGTAGCGCAACCCAAGAAACAGCCGGCGCACCTCCCCTCCCAAACACGACAAACCACTACACCATCTTCCCTCTCACCCTCCCGGATGGCACCGTCAATGTGGCACCGGTACTCGGCACCGGGGACGTAGCGATAGACGCGGA